GCGCTGGCCGCGGCTGCAGGCTCCGCCACGCCAGCAGGCGCAGCAGCAGGGGCCGCCGCTGCTGCTGGCGCTGCTTGCGTCGGCGCTTTGGAGGCAGACTGGCGGCTGGCGGGGCGAAGGCTGAAGCGCACCGGAGCAGCAGCAGGAGCGGCTGGCTCAGCAGGTCGGGGCCGCTCCTGTGCGCTGTTGGGGAGCTGGAGAAGCGGCGGGGGAGGAAGACGCGCAACGCCGGGCTCCTGCTGCTGCTGCCCCTGCTGCTGCTCCTGCTGCTGCCGGGGAGCTGCAGGCGCACCCTGTGCCGCCGCTGCTGCCGCTGCTTTCTTCGCAGGTGAATGCTTGTCACCTGAGGCACCTGCCGCTGCTTCCTTCGCGGGCGGTTGCTTGTCGCTGCTGCTGGCCCCTGCTGCCGAGGGCTTGGCCGCGCCGTCCTTGCCGCCGGCCCCGCTCCCCTTGGCCGGCGATGGCGCCGCCGCTGCCGGCGCGCTCTTTCTCCCGCTCGTTTTGCCGGGCGCCGCAGCCGCGGCGGCGCTGCCGTTCCCGCTCTTGCCGCTGGCGCCTGCCGCGCTCGGGGCTGCTGTGACGCGCCAGCTGCTACTGCTTGAGGAGCTTGAGGCGGCATCCAGCTTCAGGTGGCCCTCGCGCTGCATGGCCTGCAGGTGGAAAGCGCGGCGGGCACGGCGGCTGCAGTGGAAGGCGGCAAGCATAACACAGCAGCTGCCGGGAAGGCGACCCGCTGATGCCGCAAATCACTCGCAGGGCGCAAGGTTGGGGTGATGGATGCAGGAACAGCTGTGCAGCACGCAGCGCAGGCAGACTGTGGGGTGTGCGCCGCCGTTGCCCGGCCCGGCCCGGCCCGCTCACCAGCAGCAGCTGCAAGAAGGGGGCCCCCAGCTCCCGCCGGCACACAAAGCCGCGCTGCAGGCCCTGCGCCAAGCCACAGCAGGCGCAGGCGGCGGCGATGCAGGCACGTCTGTCAAGCGTGGACAGCAGCGGCACCCTTGTGTGCTGCCAGGACATCAACAATAGTGGCGGCTCACAAACAGGTCTGCACGTCCTGATTTGATCCCTTTTGATGGAGAAAAAGGATCAAAACAGTTCAAAAATCCCGCGCCAGCCGCGAAGCGGTGGCGGGAGACAACGGGCCGGCAGCTGTCTTTCCTGCCGAGGAGGCCGCCAAAGGGCTCTTGCCTGCTCATTGCTCACCTCCATCTGGCCCTCGATGCGGCGCGCCGAGAAGGGGAAGTGCCAGAGCTTGCAGCAGCGGCGCAGGGCCAGCAGGAAGAGCGAGCGCACGCTGCAGAAGGATGCGGGAGGTGAGTGGATATATGGTGCGAGCTTGCTGAGCTGATGCGCAGAAATCTGGATGGAAGGTAAGCAGCAGCAGGGCCGGACCCAAAGCACCAGAACGCAGCTGCGGCAGCAGGCGCGCGGCTGCTGGGCGCACCTCTCGGGGACCTTGAGGCCCCTGCTGCCGCCGCTGCCACCGCCGCTGACCGACTTGCCCTCGCCGGCTGGAGCAGCAGCGGCAGGCGCAGCTGGAGCGCGCAGGCTGCTGCGCCCTGCGCCCAGGGCAGCCGCGTCGGGGGTGGTGGACCGACGGCGCAGCAGCTCCAGGCGCTGCTGCCGGGCAGACGGCGGCCGGTCCCTGCTGCTGCTCCGTGGCTGCACCGGGGCCGGCGGCCTGGCGCGTGGGCTGTTGCCAGGCGATGTGCCGCCGCTGCTGCTGGTGCCGATGCTGGTATCGCTGCTGCTGCTGGTGCCGCTGCTACTGCTGGTACCGCTACTACTGCTGGTACTGCTGCTGGAGGCACCGCTGCTGGAGCTGGGCGAGCGCGAGCGGCGCCTGCCCTGGCTGCTGCCGCCGCTGAGCCTCCGCCGCAGCTGCGTGCCGCGCCCACGGCTGGCGCTCCTGCTGCGGCTGCGCTTGTTGGCAGGGGTGCCTCGGGGCGGAGCCTGCTGCTGCTGCTGATTTGAGGCAGCAGGGCCAGCAGGCTGCTCTTGCCGAGTGGCAGGTGCCTCAGTTGCAGGCGCAGCGGCGGGCTCTGGGGAGGCTAGCGCTGGCGCCGCTGGCAAAGCAGCCGCAGGCTCCGGCAGCAGCGGCTGCGGCTGCTGCTCGCCGCCGCTGCCCGGAGCCGGCGACGCAGGTGTGCTGGCTGGCGCCGCGGTCGGCGCCGCCGCCGCTGGCGGAGGGCCAGCCGCCTGCCTGCCCTCGCCCTCGCCCTCGCCGTCGCCCTCGCCTGCTGTCCTTTGCTCCTGCTGATCCATCTCCATCGCCTGAACTGCTGCCGGCCCTGCTGGCGCTAGGGCCGCCAGCTGCTCCTGCGCTGCAGCTTCCAGCGCCATCAGCCGCTGCCGCCGCTGCTGGCCGGCGGCCAGGGCGGCGGCGGCAGCGGCCGGCGCGACTGCCGCGGCGGCGGCGGCGGGCGCGGGTGGCAACAAAGCCTGGGGCGGCTCCTGGCCTTTGGGGCGGCCCAGCTGCTGCTGCAGCTGCCGCTCACGCAGGGCCAGCTGCTGCCAGGCTTCTGCAGAATCGGCCAGCAGCTGCTGCAGCACCGCGCAGCGGAGCAGCAGCTGCCGCTGCTGCGCCTGCGGCAGGAGCGGCGGATGGGCATTTCTTGGTGGGTAGGCTGGTGTGCAAGTGAGCGACCGAAGTGGGTTATCAAGCGCAGCCCTCCGGAGATGGCAATTGAGGGCAGTAGGGAGGGAGGTGAGGAGTATCCGTACCGCTTCAGGCAGGCGGCGTTGGCTGGGCAAGGCCACAGCACACCGGTGCCCAGCCACCCCCGCCCATCCACGCACCTGGGTGCTCTCCAGCTCAGCAGCTGCTCCCTGGTGGCGGTCCGCGGGCAGAAGGGTCTGCAGCAGGCCCCGCGGCAGGAGCGCAGCCATGCCGCCGCCCCCGCCGGGGCCTGGCTGCTGGCTGGCGCTGCTGCCGTTCTGCGTGGGGTCTGCCGCAGAGGCCACAGGCGCATCGGCATGCGCTGCCGCAGGCTGCGGCAGAGGGCTGGCTGGGTCTGAAGGCTGCATGGGGGGCGCCCTGCCTGCCACCCCCACGCCCGCCCTGGAGGCAGCGGCCCGCGCCACGGCAGCAGCAGCTGCTGCGCGCGCGGTAGCCAGCGCCTCCGTTGCTCCCTGCAGCAGGGCTGGTCCGGTGTCCGCATCCGGCAGCGCAGCTGCAAACTCTGCGCGCCCAGCAGCTGCTGTTGAGCCAAAGGGCGGCGGATTGTGTGCCGCCCTGCGAGCTGCGGCGGCGGGCAACACGACCACGGTCGTCGGCGCCCTGCCCGCCCCCGCCTGCTGCTGCTGCTTCTGCGCCTGCTTCTGCTGCTTCTGCTGCTTCTGCTGCTTCTGCTGCTCAGCCTGCTGCTGCGCTTTCTTTTTCGCCAGCTTCTTGTCCGCGGCGCGGCGCAGCGCGGCGCCAGCGCGCTGCCGAGCGGCCGCCACTTCCGCGGCGCCCTGTGTGGCCAGGTACTGCAGATACTCCTGCCGCTGAGCCTTGGTCGCCTCCGGCATCAGCGCCACCAGCTGCGGGGCAGTGAGGATCTGGGACGGGTCACCCGCTGGGCTGCCGCCTGGCGTGCTGGCCGGCGCCGGCTGCTGTTGTTGTGGCTGATGCTGCTCGGGGGGGTCCTCCCGATCCGGGGCCTGTTGCTGCTGCTGCTGCTGGGGTTGCTGCTGCAGCTGGGGTTGCTGCTGCTGCTGCTGGGCAGCCACCAGGGGTGAGGTGGGCGGTGTGCCGGCTGGAGGGGGCGCCTGATGGTGGCCAAACCGCTGCTGCTGCTGCTGCTGCTGCTGCCCGTCATACACCTGTTGCAGAGGTGCGAGCAGCATCACCTGCTGCTGCCCCAGGCCGTGCTGCATGGGAATCAGCAGCTGCGGCTGCTGCGCCGCCATGGCCTGCAGGTGCGGCACCGCCAGCTGCGCCTGCGGATGCTGCAGCGACTGGAGGAAGGCGCCAGCCGCCACGGCCGCCTCCCGCTGCTGCTGCTGCTGCTGCTGCTGCTGCTGCTGCTGCTGCGGGGCGCCGCCTGCTTGGGGCCTGGAAGGCGCAGCCGGAATTTCCCCCTCCTCCCCTGTCGGAAGCAGAAAGAGTGGCGTCAGCACGTGAGTATGCCAGCGGCAAGGAGACACAGCAGATGAGAGGCAGTTTTCAGGCGGGGAATCTGCCGCCACTGGGTCTGCCAGGGCAAGCATGCGCGCTGCGAGCTCACCGCTGTCCCCCTCCGCCCTGTCCTGCAGGGGGTCTTGCTGCTGCTGCTGCTGTGGGGCATGCGCTTGCGCCTTGGGTGCCGAGGGCGGGTTGCTGGCGAGCTGCTGTCGCTTCGCCTGCGTGGTGGTGGCCGCTGCCCCTGTGCCTGATGGTGCCGCGCCGCCTGTCGCCATGCCTGACAGCTTGCCGGCACTGTTGCTGCGTACCAGGCGCGCTGCGGGTTCTGCACCCAGCGCCACGCTCGGTGCAGCGGGGCCCGCCGGGGGCGTCTGGCTGCGGCCGATGGATGCTGCGACAGCAGCCGCTGAAGGCATGCCTGCCTTGGGCATCCGTTGCTGCAGCTGCAGTGCAAGTCAAACAGGGGGTGGCGAGCAGGTAGCTATTTTTCTCAACTTTCAGTCTAGGCAAGGCTACCAGCATGGCCTCGCTCCAAATAAGTGGCAGTGAATACTTTACTGGTCCTGGTTAATACTTTACTGTTCCTGTCGCAGCATTACTGTTCCTGGTCGCAGCAAGTACCAGGGCATGCATCTACCCTGCCCCTCTCCAGACCCCCACCTGGCTGTTCTTCTGCTCGATGGCATGGCGAAGCCGCTCCATCTGCAGAACAGGGGGAGGTACAAATGCGGCGCAGCAGCACAAAGTGGGTGCACAGGAAGTGGCAATCGGCCCGGGGAACAGCAAGGGAGCTGGAAGCCCGAGTGCGGGGCTGTGCGAGTGACCAGATGCAGGCAGGTGGCAGAGAAGGCTGTTCTCGTGCACCGCGCTCCCCAGCCCAGCTTGCCTGCGTCTGCAACGTGGCCTGCTTGCCCAGCATGTCTGTCGCAGCCCCTCCGCCGAGGGCGGGTGGCGCCCCCGCCGCGTGCAGCGCCTTCTGCTGCTCCAGGCGCTTCAGGGTGAGGCGCATGTTCTGGATGGAACGCAGCATGTCGGCAGGCTTGGCTCCCGCGCCAGACGCAGGCCCGGCTGCATCTCCCTGCGCCGCCGCCGCGCCGGCCGGAGCGGAGAGGGTGCGTGCTGGCGCGCGGAGCGAGTCGGCACCGCCATCGTCGTCATCGTCGGCCGCGTCGAAGTCGATCACAATGCGGGGCTGCATGGGGCCCGCTGCGCCCTCAGGGCCCCGTGTTTAAGGAGCGCATACGAGCCTGCAGAGGCGAGAGCAAACATTGTAGGTGCGGCTGCCGTGGTGTCGCACGCCCGGGACTCCTAAGCAGGAGATCATGCGATTGGTGATGCGCGCCGGTAGGGGGTGGTGGAATTTTCACCTTGTGCCGCCTAGGGTGCGGCTGAAAGCTCACTGCGATGGCGGGCATGAAATGATCGGACGTATGCGTTGAATGCTGCAGCTGCAGCTCGCATGAGGGCGGATTTCCAACTGTGCGCAGGTACACAGAACAAGGAGTACGGCATCTCCCAATGCTGCTCCAAGCGCGCAGCGCTGATCGGCCCAGTGCACCGAGACCTCCCTCATCCGGGCAGCATGGCCAACGCGCAGGAGGTGCTGAGCACCGTGGCTGGCGGCCTCAAGAAGCTTGTCAAGAGCACCGGTGCGCAGCAGAGAGCTGCGGCGGGTCGGATGCATGTATTGCGCGAACAGATGGGGTATGGGTTTCGCCCCAGCTCCATTCACACCTCAATCACCCTGCCGGAGGCCCTTTGCCTGCCCTTACCTGCGCTGTACGAGATACTGAGGCGCCTGCGAGCGCATTTGAGGCTCCGCGAGCGTTGACAGTCCAACTCCACTGGCTGCCCGCCCACCTGGCCGCTCGCCGACCTTCTGCTCTTCTTCACTCCCCCGACTGCAGGCAAGGCTGGGTGGATCGCAGGCACGACCTTCCTCATCCTGGTGGTTCCGCTGATCATTGAAATGGACCGTGAGCAGCAGGTGTGCTGCTCCACGGCACGCCAGTGACCTCGCTCCTGCTTGCCAGTCGCTTGCCAGGGTGGTTGTGTCTGAAAACGGAGCGCAAACTGATGCACTCCCCTCGCTGCTGCCGAGCTCTGCCCCTGCAGCTAGTCGAGTTCGAGAGCCAGCAGCTGAATGCTCTGACGGGCAGCGCAGCCGCGCCCGCCGCCAAGTGAAGCAGCCCTGGCAACCCTTTGTGCCGCAGCCGCCTTTCGGGCCTCGCAGCAGCAGGATAGTAGCAGCAGCAGCATTTGAATAGCAGCACCACGCAGCACCAGCAGCACCAGCAGCCATGACGTCGCCTGCGGCCGTCGGCGGCACCGAGGGCGCAGCGGCGCTCCTCTCGCTGCTGCGCAGCATCCTGCGCCTGCACCGCGGGCGACTGCCGCCCCCCATGCGCGGCATGGGGGACGCCTATGTACTGTCAGAGTTCCGGCGGCACCTGAAGGCCCAGACGACAGAGGAGCAGTGGCGCGTCTTTGCGACCGAGTGGCAGCGGTATGCTGCCATGCTGGGAGGCACGGCTGACCAGCAGGCGACGATGGCTGGTGGCGCGCTTCCCGAGCAGCAGCCCGCCGGTGCAGGGGGCAGCGGCAGCGCATATCCGCAGCAGCAGCAGCAGCAGGAGGGCAACCTGGCCAGCATAACTGCGGCCATCGCGGGCGGATCTCGAGACATGACGGAGCAGCTGTTGGAGCAGCTGAACCCGGACCAGCGCCGGCAGCTCATCAGGCTGCAGCAGGAGGCGCTGGCGGTTGGCGTTGAGATGCTGGGCAAGCGCGGCAGCAGTGGCAGCGCTAGTAGTGGGGAGGCAGGAGGTTCGGAACCCCAGCGCTGACACAGTCTTGGCCAGCGTGCATGGTTCATTTAGCATTGGCCAACTGTGACAACAATGACTGGACAGTCGAGCAAGGCTGGTGGAGTCCTCTGCACCCGCACAATTGAAGAAGAAATTGGGTTGCATTAATGTATGGTTTCTGATGGCGCCTGCCGGACATGCTTGCCGACAGGGCCTCAGGCCTGCGCATCTTGCCATCCTGGCTGCCTCTTGCCACAGCCTGTGCACAGCTTCTCGTCTCAACTGTTCAGCCTGCCTGTCCCTCACAGCGACCACTCCACCGACAAGCTGGCCCTCTGCTGCCAGGGGTCGTACGCCAGCTGCACCTCGGGCCGCTCCTGCTCCGACTCTGTGCGGTATTTGCAGTACACCTCCTGGAGATGGAGAGGCAGGAGGATGCAAGGGGCGGGTGGGTGGGAGCTCGCCGATGGCACACAGCGGCCACAATCTTTTCCGGTTTCCTGTTCGGTTCTGCTGGCGGTGGTCTGCAACTGGCTCTTCACCATTGTCTGAAGCTGGCACCCACCGTGGCCTGCTGGTCCTGCAGGGTGAACCTGAGGCGCAGGAGGCTGAAGAGGTCCTGGTGCCGCACCTCCTCCAGGCGGCTAGACCTGATGCCCAGTATGAAACCACAGCCATGCAACGCTTTGTTGCTTGCCAGGCCGCTAATGCTGGATGTGCCATCTGGTTGGTACACTGTCTACAGCCTGCTGATTCCATTGAGCAGCGCATCACTTACCAAACGCCTCCGGGCCCTGCCTCAGCTCCACTTCCGCAGCTGCGCGGGTGACATCTGTGGCTCGGGACTGGTCCTGGCGCAGCACGGGTTGCCAGGAAGAGTCCAGCAGCGGCAGGCCCCGGTGCTGCGACGCGCTGAGGCGCCAGGTCCAGGCGCCTGCGATGGCTTGTTGGAATAGTATTGCAGTTCTTGGCACGCTGCTGCTGCTTAACGAACAAGGGCTGCGAGCTCATGATGACCAGGCCACGGCTCACCGGATCTGCGAGAGGCGGCGATAAAGGCGCTGCCGTTGATCCCCAGCCGGTCGGGTGCCGGCGCCAGCGGCCGCCGCCTGCCCTCCAGCAGCGCCACCGGGCTGTCCCAGGTTGTCACCCCGTCACACCCCAGCCCCATGTGCCACCGCACAAACCCTGCTGGAAGTGCAGGGGTCAGTTGGCGGCGTAGCCAGAGCGAAAGCCTGCCGTGCCGTAACACGTGTTTCTACTTGCCTCCCGGGAACGCCTATCGAGGGAACGCCTATAGAATCGCTAAGGTTTCGGCACAGGCTTCCCCGGGACCCATTCATTACTGCTGGGGGGTACTGCACTTGGCGCGTCGGGCAGATCAAATAATGGTCTAAAGCTAGACGTTAAAACCGGGAAGTTAAGCCTGTGGAGGCTCTTCCCCACCTTTACCTTTACCTTTACCCTCATCGTCCCGGAATGAGCCGCGCTTGGTGAGCTTCCCAGGCGCAGGCGCAGCTGAACGGTGTCGGCGTCAATGTCCCACTTGCCGTGCAGCTGGGGCAGGGGGGTGAATGCCAGGTGCGTGCCATCGCCGCACAGCTGCCGGTTGCTGACAACAAACTTGTGGCGAGGCATGGATGTGGCGTTAATTGACTGTGAAATCAATGCTTCCTGCATTGCAATTGATATTGCGTTTTGAATGTCATGGACACCCTAAATCGGCATTCATTCATTCATTCAGCACACAGACCGGCCGCCTCTTGCTCGAGGGCGGCCCACTTTGGCCTGGGCAGCCCGGGCCGCCCTCCCCCCCGGGCGCATGTTCGGTGTTGGAGGGGTGTGCCCAGCGATAGGGGGCCCCTGAAGGCATGCGCCGAGGCCGGGAAGCGTGGTTCGGCGCTGCTGCACGCTTGGCGATTTGAACAGAACCACGTGCCGCCGAGCTGCGGCCGCAGTTTCCGGCCCACGGTCTACGGTCGCAGCCACGGGACTCGGCGGCACGGCGTTTGGGCCCAAGCTTGCTGCCGCCGCCGCCGTGCCCGGGGGGCAGCGCGGCGGCGGCGGGGGCACGCTGCGACGCCCCCGTGCTGCCGAGTTGCGGCCGTAGTTTCCTGCCAGAAGCCCACGGCCACAGCCACGGGACTCGGCGGCACGGCGTTTCGGTCCACGGCTTGCTGCCGCCGCCGTCGCAGGGGTGCTGCCTGCGGCGGCGGCGGCACGGCGTTTGGGTCCTCGGCTTGCTGCCGCTGCCGCCGCCGCAGGGGTGCTGCCTGCGGCGGCGGCGGCAGCGCACGTGGCAACCCCCCGCGTTTCCTTGCCTCCCATCCACCGGACCCCGTCCTGCGCTTCACTTTGTTTAGGGAGGGGCTGCTCACTGCTCATTGCTCATTGCTCATCGCACACTGCTCAACGCTCATTGCCCTATATCCCACCCAGCCGCAGGACTCTACTGCCGCCCGCGCCCCGCCCCATCTGGCCGCTTGCGCGCCCCATCCCCCCTCGATGGGGCCCGCCCACACCGGGGCCTCCCCCCTCCCGACCACTGCTTTCTCAACGGCCCCGAGCCGGGGCTGCCCTCATTGCATACATAGTGCGCCTTTCCCTGCTTTTCTAGTGACCTAGCGTTCCGCACTGCCGTTTGGCCAGCCCATGCTCCCGTACCGTTGCGTTTCTCCCCAATGCGCCATGCCACTTTGCCAGTCATACACACGTTTCGATGCGTGCCCTGTCAGCTGCTTGCGTTGCATGTCGCCTTGCTCCACCCCTGTTTTATTGCTTTCTCTGCTTTCGCCCGGTTCCCGTCCCGTTTCGGCGGGGAGTCTATGTTGCAAGCTAGTTCTTGCTTTACCAGACTTTAAGCCCACACAAGCAACACAGATGAACTGCTGGCAGCGGCGGCGGCGACTGCATTTCGCAGCGGCAGTGAAGACCGCACCGCACCCTCACGAAGCGCGCCCCTGCGCGCAGAGACCCTGCATGCAACCTCTGCACGGTTTGCCGCACCTTGCAGCTCGCCTCTGGGCGTTTCCTCCGGGAAAACGCGATGCCTCGTGCGTTGCCTGTTCAGGACGCCGCTCAGGTGCACTGCACATCTATTGTGCACATTCAAAGGCAAATACATAGGGCGGGAGAGCAGGGAGACGGGGGGTCGGCCTGGGCAGGCACAGCACACGCAGCGGGGCGCAGGCGCCGGGCGGGTTGGCGCGTGGAGGCCACACAGTGGGGCCACATACAGTTTTTCATTTACATTGCTGGGAAAAGCCTGTGTCCATGTCCCATGCATCAATCAAAATGTGGCAAAGTGAATCCGAGACAAGCAGTTCAATTTAAAGCAGAATAAATAGAGTGCGTGAACAGGAACAAGCAAGACAAAGCGCATTTCACGACTGCATTGGGGGGCTGCTGTTGTCATAGTCATCCTCATCCATAAATATTATCCAGTCCTCTGAAGCACCAGCCTCATCACATTCCATGGTGTCTCCGCAGCACTGCTGCCCGCTGGCCACCCCCGCGGCCGCTGGGTCCAATGCCGCGGCGCTGCTGTCAGGCAGGGGGGCTGCCGAGCTTGCGCTGGCGGGGGTAGTGTCATAAAACTGGTGCGGGCCCTGCCCCGCCTCGAGCAACAGAGGGTTCGCACTGTTCTGCACCGCGCGCTCTGAGGGCAACGGCTGGATGCTGTGGAGGTGCATGTTGTGCGCCCTCCTCTCCGCTTGCGCGCGCATGCGCTCCTCTTCAGCCACTCCTGGTGCTGCCCAGGCGCACTGCGGCGCAGCTTCGGTGGTGAAGCTGGATGATGAGCCAGGGCTGGCTGCCAGCGCTAGCGGTGGCGGGCCGCGCACTGCGTAGCTGACCTCATACTGCTCAGCCGTTGAAGCCCAGGCCTTTTCATGTGCCACCTTGCTGATCTCGTCGTTGAAGAAATTCTGCTGCTCGGGGCCCCAAGAGCCACCAGCAATCCCAGCATCGATGAAGGGAAGCGCGCTGGGGCTGTCCGACTGCTCTGTCAAATGCGCCGCCCCTGCATCTGCCGCCGCTGCTTCCGCCGCCGCTCTGTCTGCCATCTCTGCCGCAGCTTCTGCCGCCGCCTTCTGTGCCATCTCTTCTGCTGCCGGCGCTGAAGCTGCTCGCTTCCGTGCCAGCTGCTGCTTGAGTTGGGCCAGTCGCCTCTCCTTGCTGGCCACTATGCCGTCTGTGTGCCTCCCTGCTGGCTGCTGCACGCCATCCAGGCCATCCAGGCTGGTGCCTTTGTTGGAGCGCCTCAGCTGGTCCAGCGCAGACTCGCCACCACCGGCAGCCTGCCCACCACACTGTCCCCTTTGCCCAGGCTCCAGCGCAGCCGGCATTCCCCTGCATGATGCCTGCCTCCGCCGCTCGAGCTCTGCCAGCAGCGTTTGCAGCCGTCCCACCTCGGCCACACCGGGGCGCCCCCCAGCTGAGCGCAGGGACGTGTGGTTGGCAACAAGGGCGACCGCCAGCTCCTGCAGGGACACAGCATGGACAAGGGGGGCCAGCTAAATACGTTGTAGTGGATAAGGCAGTTGGTTGCACACGAGCACCAGGACCACAGCCAGGATAAAGCATCCTCGCCTGGCAGTGAGGGGCTCTCACCGCGAAGAGTGGGGCAGGGGGCGAGCGGCCATCCGCCTTCCTGCCGCCCAGCATGCGTTCCAGGTGCCCTGCCACCTCTGTGGCGCAGCAGGTGTGTGCCACCTCTGGCAGCAGTACGGGGCCCAGGTCTGGCAGCGGCGCAGACAGCGTCCACAGCAGGATGTCACATGCTTTGCGAGCTGTGACGTTCCCGAGGAAGGGCCGCTGCACTACCAGCTTCCACAGAAGCTCCAGGCATGAATTGCCGCTGCCGGCTGATGTGCTCCAGCGCCCGGGCCGGGGTTTCAGCAGCAAATCCCCCACAAACTCCAGAACACTGCCGTTCTGGTGCTGCTTGCGCGTGACTGCAAGCCCCAGGCCGCTGGCTGCTCCCATCTGCAGGCAGCGCAGAGCTGCCTTGGTAGTGTTGAGCGCTTGCAGCAGCTGCAAGCCGCCGCCGCCTGAGCCTGCCGGCGCCAGTTCTGGCGCCAGAACTGCACTCAGGCGGGCATGCAGGGCAAAGCCCAGCACATCCCTGCGACAAAGGGAATAACATCTGTCTTGGATATGGCACCAAAACTAATCTGGCGGCATGCTGGCTGCGAGCAATTGCAGCGGCAAGCAAAACAGAGAAGGCAAACAGGCAGCAAGGCCACATGCTCACCCATGTGCAAGGACGAATCCCATGGAACCCTGCTTCTCAGGCTGGTGCTCCGGGGGTAGCCTCCCTGACAGCAGATCGAGCTGCAGCAGAGCCACCACCAGCGGACTGCAGTGTCTGTGGCTGTGGCCTAGCAGGTGGCGCATGTGGCGCGCTGCCAGGCGCCGGCTGCCGTCAATCGCGCGCTTCATGTCGGCAGCTGGCAGCTCCTCCCTGCAGGAAGAATGGTCGGGCGAAGCTTTGCGGTCTGGTGGGGCTGCGCAGCAATGCATGCATTGCAGTAAACAGCAATGCATGCATTGCTGTTTACTTAGCCCCTGAGGCGAGCAACCTCTGAGGTTGCCAACCTTGCATGGCCACTCTGGCAGCAGCCGCACCTGATCTCCTGCTCCACGCGCTCTTGGACCCGCTCGGGAGATGGCTTCCGGCCTTTCTTCTTGCACAGCTCATCGGCCAAGCGCTGCCGTGCCTGCCCCTCGATAACCGCCATTGCCGCAACCATGGAGGCAGACACGGCTGCCAGCAGCTCAGCATGCCCCTCTGCCAGCGCTTGCGCTCCACCGCCAGCGCCAGCACCGGACCACATGTCGCCCAACTGCCTGGCCAGCGCTGTGAGCAGCTGTAGGTAGTCGAGTGCGGCAGCCCCATCGGGCAGAGCATCTTCCAGGGTGCCGTGTCGCGCCAGTGTGCTGAGCAGCTGTGCTACTCGGTTGTCACCGGCATGTGGCAGCAGCAGAGAGAGATACGCTTCCGAGTAGCGGCACACGTGATGCAGCAGCTTGGCCTGCACGCAGCCACGGCGGGGGCAGTCTCAGGTACGTTGGTGAATGGCATGAGCCTGAGTCCATCGATCCCACAGCGTGGGCAGCACGTGGCAGGCATTGCGCTCGCTTGCCTGGTCGGTTGGTGACCTGGCAGCTGTTTGGAGCGCCAGGCAGGCCAGCAGGCGTGCCACACGCCTGTCTTGGGCACCGCGCTGAATGCTGCCTGCACAGCAACGGGTCCACTGCCCCTTTCGGCATGTGCTCGATGCGCACAGAAGACATGCAGTTACTTGCCTGGCTCAAAGGCGCGCAGGTTGTGCAGCGTGGCAAACAGCAGGTTCTGCACGCCTTCATTCTGCGAGAGGTACTCACGCCGCTGCTCCGCCTGCAGGCGACCGCGGGCGGCCGCTTGCGGGAGGCAGGGCTGCCGTCAGCGGCTGCTGCCTGCGGAGCACATGTAGCGCTAAGCAGCCAGAGCAGAGCATGCTGGAGCTGCTCAACCAGAGACGAACAGCTCACCTGGGAGCAGCTGAGCAGCCTGTGCACCAGGAAGCCCAGCGTCAGTTTGCTCGCCATGTCAGTAGCTGGGTTGCTTACGTTGGAGAACAACAGCAGCTAGTTGAGCCTCACTCTGCTTGGGCCTGCCACTCATCTTTCCACCTGCCGGGAGGAAAGATTGTTGGTGTCGCTCCAAAGGCCCAGGGGCAGCAGCTCGTTCCTACCTTCCGAAGCAGTGTGCAGCTTGCGGCCTGTAGCTGAAGCAGCTGGCAACATGCCCAACTCTTGGGACTACCTCTCCGAGAAGGTGAGTGGCCTCACCCGCCCCATGTAGCAGCTGCCTGGGCAGCGCCAGAGCACCGTGCAGCGCTTGCAGCAAAGCGAGGTTGAGCAACCAGACGAGGTGGCTGCTCATGTCCAGGCTCCTGACCCTTCATGAATACAGGATTTCAACGACATGGACGAGGCGGAGCTGGAGGCAGAGATTGCTCGGGAGGAGGCTGCGTTGAGGGCGGCAGCCGAGTCTGCAAACGCTTCGGCACCGCCTGCGGCCACCACCGGTCCGCCCGCTAGCACTGCTCTCGCCTGACCCAACCCAAGTATTTTTTTTCGTTTCAGCTGACGTGCCAACCTCCCCTCCTCGCAGACCACGCTGCCACGAGCTCGCCAGGCCAGGCCACAGCCGCCAGCAGCGAGGCTGACGTCGACGTGGCCGGAACCAGCGCCAGCAGCACGCCACCGCTGGCGCAGGTGCTGCGGAGGCTGGACAAGTTGGAGAAGATGGAGGCGGACAATGCCAGGCTGAAGGAAGGCAAGTGATGTGATAAATACAGTGCCGAGGTCGCAGCAGAGCTACCGGACCTGCCTAGTGCCCGCCCGTCTTCTCACTCTGCCCGCCACTCTGGACCGCCTGCAGAGCTGAGGATCGCGGCGGGCCTGCGCCTGCTGTCCCTGGAGCCCCGCACCCGCCCCGCCGATGCCCCGACGACCGAGCAGGTACTGCGCCGCCAGATTGAGCAGCTGGAGAAGGACAATGACATCATGAAGGAAGGCAAGTGCCGCAGCCTGCTGAGGAACGCGCGGCCGCTGAGGCCGCTGCTTGGGCGAGGCTGCCGACTGGCTGGCCCGCGACTCTGACGGCGACCCAACCCACCTTCTCCTGCTCCTTGTCGCCCACCCCGCCCCTCGCCCATGCCTGCAGCGCTGGCCACCGGCAACGACCTGATGAGGCTGGACTCCCGGTTCCGCCCCGCTGGCAGCGGCAGCACCACCCTGGACTCTGCGCTCGCCGCCAGCGCCAGACGCCGCGCGGACCTGGTGCGTGCCCCCGCCGCTCATGGGCCTGTGCCTCGCGCCTGGGCCGTGTTGCGCATTGACCGACTTGGCCTGCCAGCACAATCTGATGGATCCAACAACCCGCCCTTGCGCGCCGCCCACGACGCAGGCAAGCCTGTCGCTGACCAGCGCCGACCTGCAGCGCCAGGTGGAGCTCAGGAAGGCGCACCTGGCGGTGAAGCAGCGCGGCGTGGACATCTGCGTCATGGTGGACTGCACCGGCTCCATGGTGAGTCGGGCGCACACGGGAGAGGCGGGCTCTGTGTGCCTATGCCAGGCGGCCATGCCGAGCCAAGGAATGCAGCATGCTGCGCTCTTGTCCCTGCTCGTGGCAGCCTGGGTTCTGGCCTGCCGGTGGAAGGCGGCTCTGCAGCGTGAAGCTGCGCTCGGCTGCGCTTGCCGCCCGCCCTGGCCCTGCACTGGCGCAGGGCAGGTGCATCGCGGCGGTGAAGCAGCAGGCCCTGGCCATCATGTCCCTGGCGCCCACCATCCACCCCGACGCCATCACCCGCCTGGTGAGGGCACCGCCGCCCTGCAGGCCGTCAACACAACTTGAAAGGCCCCACGGCCTTTCAAGCCAGGGGTGCCCTGGAGTAGGGCGTCACCGCTGCATCCCGCGCACTCTGCATGCTCCTCACGCACATGCCACTGACGGTCCCGCCTGATCTGTGCCGCGTTCCATCCGTGTGCCGTGGAGCCCGCAGGCCTTTGTGGGCTACCGCGACTTTGGCGCCGAGGCGGGCGATGGCCAGCACGTGGTGCACGACTTTGTGGACAAGGACAGCTTCAGGCAAGATCTGACATGGTCGGCATGCCGATATGCCACGGTGCAGTAGAGGGTCGCCGGAAGCAAATGCTCGCCGCGCGCGTGTGCTGCCAGCCATCCTCTCCCAGCTACCACCCGCGTCTCACCTCCCTTCGATCCCTCCAACCCGCCCGCCTGCAGCGCCCTGCACAGCACCATTTATGCTGTCAACGCCAACGGGGGAGGCAACGCGGAAGATGTCACGGGCGCGCTCAAGGTGCGCGCCACGTTGTGCTCATGGTTGGTGCGGCCTGAAGTGAAGACCGGCTGGCAGGCCCCCAGCCATCCCATGCGAGCCGCCGCCAGCAGTCACCCGCGCCAGCTCATCTGATCCGGGCTGGCTGCCGCCTGCTGCTGCCGCAGAAAGTGACAGAGCTGTCCTGGGCCTCCAGCACCCGCCTGCTCATCCATTTTGGGGACGCGCCGTGCCACAGCGACCGCTACCACAACGGCCGGCCCGTCAACGGCCCCGACAGGTACCCTCAAGGCAACCCAGACGGTGAGCGTGAGCGCCCGCCACGCCTCTCCGCCTTCTCCGCGGCAGCTCGGCTCTCTCCTGCTTGCCGAGGACCTACCTGCGCACGCTCCGTTGCCGCTCGCATCGACCGCCCCATGCCGCTCTCCGTGCTACAGGCCTGGTGCCAGAGGACCTGCTGAAGGTGCTGGTGACCAACCGGATTGACTACCACTTTGCCTGCATCCGTTCAGACACCGACATCATGCAAGGCATCTTCAAGGACGTGTACGCCGCCTCGCCCGGCGCCGCCGCCTTTGAGGCGCATGTGAGTCTGGGCACCGCGCGCCTGCAGCGGGGTGTGCCTGCCGCAGGCCATCCGCAGTCAAGCAGGGACCAGTGGGGCATGCCCGACTATTGTGGGGACCTACATCATCATGTGCATCCTGCTTCGCCTCGCAGGCGTACACCGACCAGACCAACGACTTTCTTCCCCTGGTGGTCAACAGCGTGACCAGCTCCATGCGGCGCTCCTACAGGACCTCCTCCTCCTCAGGTGCAAGCATGGCCAGCCAGGGGACCAGGGGCGTTGATTAAATTGTAAGCCAAGCAGTCGCTTTGCCGCTGACGTGCTCCCTGCGCGCTCGGCTCCTTTTGCTTGTGTGGGCTTAAAGTCTGGTAAAGCAAGAACTAGCTTGCAACATAGACTCCCCGCCGAAACGGGACGGGAACCGGGCGAAAGCAGAGAAAGCAATAAAAACAGGGGTGGAGCAAGGCGACATGCAACGCAAGCAGCTGACAGGGCACGCATCGAAACGTGTGTATGACTGGCAAAGTGGCATGGCGCATTGGGGAGAAACGCAACGGTACGGGAGCATGGGCTGGCCAAACGGCAGTGCGGAACGCTAGGTCACTAGAAAAGCAGGGAAAGGCGCACTATGTATGCAATGAGGGCAGCCCCGGCTCGGGGCCGTTGAGAAAGCAGTGGGCGGGAGGGGGGAGGCCCCGGTGTGGGCGGGCCCCATCGAGGGGGGATGGGGCGCGCAAGCGGCCAGATGGGGCGGGGCGCGGGCGGCAGTAGAGTCCTGCGGCTGGGTGGGATATAGGGCAATGAGCGTTGAGCAGTGTGCGATGAGCAATGAGCAATGAGCAGTGAGCAGCCCCTCCCGAAACAAAGTGAAGCGCAGGACGGGGTCTGGTGGATGGGAGGCAAGGAAACGCGGGGGGTTGCCACGTGCGCTACCGTCGTCGCCGCAGGCAGCACCCCTGCGGCGGCGGCAGCGGCAGCAAGCCGTGGACCCAAACGCCGTGCCGCCGCCGCCGCAGGCAGCACCCCTGCGACGGCGGCGGCAGCAAGCCGTGGACCGAAACGCCGTGCCGCCGAGTCCCGTGGCTGTGGCCGTGGGCTTCTGGCAGGAAACTACGGCCGCAGCTCGGCAGCACGGGGGCGTCGCAGCGTGCCGCCGCTGCCGCCGCGCTGCCCCCCGGGCACGGCGGCGGCGGCGGCAGCAAGCTTGGGCCCAAACGCCGTGCCGCCGAGTCCCGTGGCTGCGGCCGTAGACCGTGGGCCGGAAACTGCGGCCGCAGCTCGGCGGCACGCGGTTCTGTTCAAGTCGCCAAGCGTGCAGCAGCGCCGAACCACGCTTCCCGGCCTCGGCGCATGCCTTCAGGGCCCCCCTATCGCTGGGCACACCCCTCCAACACCGAACATGCGCCCGGGGGGGAGGGCGGCCCGGGCTGCCCAGGCCAAAGTGGGCCGCCCTCGAGCAAGAGGCGGCCGGTCTGTGTGCTGAATGAATGAATGGAATTTGCGTTTCGAGTTTACATATGTAACTGTAACACTCCTCGCAGGCCACTCCTCCGGCAGCAACAGCAAGCCTTCCGGGGCGGCGCAGGGGGCGGCACTGCCCGTCGTGTACTCCCCGCTGATCTGAAGTGCGGGCTTGGGAGCGACAGCTGGCTTGGTGCCACCCAGCAAATGCAGCTGGCAAAACTCCTGGGGCCAGAGCTCCAGAGTCTCCATGTTGTCTAAGTTGATATTTACAAATATAAATTCTTGTGGCAAAGCTTATTGGGTTGCATTAAAGCTACATCTAAGTGTAGTCTATCTATCTTGATTTTGATTACTAATTAGTTCATAACAAGCTGGGATGAATTGGGGTGATGTGCATCTATATAACATAAATTCTGCATCACATGTTCTCAAATCGTGCCTGTTCTGTCTTTACATACCTCGTGTAAAGCCATCTGCCTCTCACACCCGCGTGCCCTGGCAGCCAGCCTTTGAGCAGAGTGGGCCGCAGGTGTGGGCTGCCATGTACGTTTTGATGGCCTCGGAGCCCAGGTCAGCCCGGCCAAAACGCTTATCTGCCGTGCACAGAGCCGGATCCGTCAGCGTGTACTGCCGCTTGGAGGGCGACAGCGCCTCCACACCCTGCAGACGCAGGCGGTGCAAGGAGGTCAGCACAGGTGGAGACCTCAACATCGTGCACTCTGCTGAGCCAAAAGTGTGGCAGTATTCAGGTTCGTTCATTCGTGCATTACTGGCAGTATTCAGGTTCGTTCTTGGCTTCCACAAAGCAAACGTCGCGCTCGCAGCTTGCCTGTGCATCCAGCACGATTGCGTCGCACCCCAGCCCCTGGCGCAGGAAGTGCAGGGAGAAGTGAGTGAAGGACTGGATGGTTGCGTCCAGCTTGCCCTCTGCACAGCAGTGGCAGGGCAGGAGATGAGCGGGCACCCCTGACATCGCATCAACCCAGACGCTGCCAAGGTGCCTCCAAGAGTGCCAGCGCCTGCGCTGGGCTCCCGTGCTTTGTCACACTGCAGGCACGCGCCGCACTGGCAGGCAACGTTGGGGCAAGGGCGGGGCAAACCTGGGAAGATGTGGCCATCATTGCGCGTCCACTTCAGCCAGCGGCCGCCGGCTGGGTCCAGCCAGGGCTCCTTGATGTACACAGCCGTACCGCCCGGCTCAGCGCTGCTCCGCAGGATCACCACACTGGCTGCACCAGGCAGAAAGGGGATGCGCAGGCAGGGGAGGGGAGGTCGGGGAAGGGTGCCTGCTGGTCTCCCGCAGTGCCCGGCAGGACTCCCAGCAGCGAGCTCCGCACCCGGCAGGTATGAGATGGGAGCATCCTCGCCGACGGCCTGGGTGTACGCCAGCGCAGCCTGCTGGCTCAGTGCAGTGGCCTCTGCATCCCGGTGCATTTCCCGCACGCGTTTCTCCAGCTTGCTGCTCTCCAGCAGGGCGCGTTTGAGAACATAGCGGCCCACGCCAGACTTGTCCCTGCAGCCATGGCAGCACAGCCGGTTGGGAGGAGCTCATCAGGGAGCTTGCCCTGGCAGGAACAAAATCAGGCGAACCTTGCGTAGAAGGCTTGCCGCATGCCGCCGTGCGCAAACGGTTTTGTATATATTTGGAGCTCAATCGTGCACTTGCTGTGCGTCATCTCCAACCGCCCGTCGCCGCTGCTCCGCTGCACAGTGTATGACACTTCTGTGCCCGACAGCCAGGCGCTGCTCCAATCTCCATCAGCGCTGCAGCTGGCACTGCCGCCATTACCCCATCCAGGGGGGGCGCCATAGCAGAGGCGGCCGTCGAGGTCAGCCGTTGCTCTCGTCAGCTGCTGCAGCTTCCGCCGCAGCTTGTCAGCACGTTGTTTCTCCAGCATCTCATTCACCTCGCTCCTCACAGCCTCCTTGAGCTGTGAGTGCTCGCTCTGCGCTTGCTCGAGCCTCTTGTGCAGCAGCCTCAGCGTGAGGCGCTCCAGCCGCTGGAGCGGCTCGGTGGAAGCCATGGCAACAGGCGGAATGGGCAGGAATGGGCAGGTTCCTTGGGCGAAACCCTTGGAGCAGGTGGAAAGGCGGAAGCACTCTCGTTGTTTTCGGCTCAAAAGAGCCAAACACTCAAGTTTATGTCAAGCCTTGTTGCTTGCTCTTTGCTGTCGCCATGCCTGCTCAGGAAGCTGAGTGGGCTGGGCTGATTGAGCTGCACCACGACGTCCTCTCCTGCCTTCATGAGCTCTCTGGGCAGCCCCGCAGCGAGACAAGCAGCAGCGGCAGTGTCGCATGGGGCCCGTCCAAGCGCGGTGGCAAGGCGCGCGCAGACACCGGCGCCGACAACTGCACCGCCTACCCCGCCGCCTGGCTGCTATGCGACCTCGCGTCGCTGCTGCCCCCAAACAGCAGGCTTGCAAAGGACATGCTGGGCCACGAGCCCCATCTGTGCAGCCAGCTTGCCAGCGCTGACAGGAACGACAAGGAGGCCTGCCGGCAGGCCGCTGTGTTGATGGAGGCGTTTTCCACCGACTCCTTTGCCGCACGAGAGCTGGCTCACAGCCTGGCCACAAATCCAGCGATGCGGAGGCTGTGCCTGGCAGCGGCACAAACCTACAGGCGCAGGCTGGCACCGGCTGTGGAGGTGATTGGGAAAGCAGCGTGGCAGCTGTTCAGCCAGCGGGTTGCCGCGCTGCAGGCCACTGAGCGCAGCAGCAGGTTTGAGACAGATGCCGATTGGCGGCAGCACGTGGCGGCGGCAGCGGCGGCAATTCGAGCCATGGATGTGGCCACACGTCTGATTAGCTCCAGCCCCAAGCAGGTGGAGCATGCTCTGCAGCACCATGGCGAGTCCATGACTGCCGCCTTCAAGGGAGGGCTGTCGGTGGCGGCGAGTGGCAGCTTCAGCCACAGCAGCGAGCTATTCGAGCTGCTGCAGTGGTGGGCCGTGCGCGCACAGGCCATTTTGAGGGCGGCGGATCGGTTCAACTTCCAAATAATGCACAGGGCCAGCCTGGGCATTGTAGGTGAGAGCCACCTGCCTACCACTTTAGCTAGTTGCTGGGCCTACCTGCAACATGTTGATTCAGCATTTGTTCCCTCTCCTGCTGCAGAACTGTTCCTTGATGATACAATCACCAAGCTGCTGCAGTCGCCTGGCAGCTCAACAGCGAATCTGGCAGTCACGCTCAATGAGGTGACCAGCTGTGCTAAGGGTGCGTACCTTCAAGAAGCACGATTTGCAGCCAGAGACCTGCTTGCAAACCATGAAGGTCCACTGATGCAGCTGGTGAACAGCAATCTGCACCCGCCAACAGACATTTGGCTCCCGGCGGCGGTCGACCATCATGCCGCTATCCGGCTGCAACAAACTGCTGATGAGCTGGTGCGGCTGGCTGGCGCAGCGTTCCGCAGCGTGATGGCGGCAGGCATGGGAAGGGCCAGGCTGAAGATTCCATATGCCATGAGGCAGGTGCTACATTTCATCCTCAACACAAGCGCCGGCCACCTGGACTGGCTGCCCGACAGGCAGCGGAATGCGCTGCGCAATTTGAGCTGTACATTGTTGGCCCAGCTGGGGTCGGCAGCCAGCGTGCCAGTGCAGCCGATTGGCAGCCCCCAGCCAATGGAACCCGCACGTAGGCAGCAGATGTCCCGGGAGGCACCAGGTGAGGGGTTGTGGAGTATGCCTATCGATACAAGACCCATCGGGGTGCATGGACCTATTCCGGCACCCTGGCACCTGCTGCTGCAGCCCATCCACCAGGCATTACCACCACGGCCCGTCTGAGGAACAAGGTTCCTCAAACCCAGGTGCCGCACTATGATGCCAGCCAGCCAAGTCGGCATGCAAGCCGCACCTATGCCAATGTGGTTGAGGATCAAGGGGGCGACAGCAGCTGCTGCATCAGTTCAGTGATTTTCTGCAACATATCGAAACGCAAGTATGAGTAAGTACATTATTCTGTCCTGGGCTCGTTCATTTGAACTGTACATTCCAGCAGGTGCATTCAGCACCTATTGTGCGCATTTAAAGCAAACACATAGGGCGGGAATGCAGGGCGGAGCGGGGCCTGGCAGGCACAGCACACGCAGCGGGGCGCAGGCGCCGGCAAATCGGCCCTGCGAGGCGGTGCAGCTGGCAGGCTGCCTTCTTCTCATGTTTGACATGTTCAAACTCAGTTACATATATGCATCATGGCTTCTGTTCAAATCATGTGCAAAGTCAAACTGTGCATGTAAACACTTGGGGTTTCTGGGTTTCTGTTTCAATCAACTACTACGATTTTGGAGAAAAAAAGAAAATGTACGAATGAGAACATTGGTGATAAGTAGTCCTGGGGTTGCGCAATGAAGCTGGCTTAACTTGGGAATGCTCCTGCTCATAGAGCTGCACATGGTGGGCACACCATTCAGCGTGCCTAATTGCCTGGCCGCAGTCGCAGCCAGCGATCAATTCTCTTGATAAGCTCAATGTCCGCTGCTGATGCCAGCTCCGCACTACTGCCTGCCAGGGCTTTCAGCGCCGGATGCACCTTGGCCATCCAGCTGCGGCCAAGGCCGTCAATCTTTTCAGTCAGCGCCGCCTGTGTCGCCATAAACTCGGCAGCGCTCAACCCAAACTGAGCACCAGCACAGATGATCGCTGCAATGGCTTGGGCATCCATGTCTGGCAACACGGTGATGCAGCGAGGGCGCAAATCTGCCCAGGCGGCCGCCGCATCCTCCTCGGCCCCTGTCATGCCCAGCTCTGAAATGCGGTCCAGAGCAGCGCCCAGGTGCCTGCTGCTGCGCATGGCGCTCAAACGCACCAGCCGCGTGATGGCGCTGCAACTGTCCTGCTGCCTGATGAGGCTGGTGACGTTGCCAGCAAGTGCGGGTATGAGCATGAGCTGCTCCTGGAGCTTGCTGGAGAGGCTGGCAATGGCCTGGGTGCGGCGTGGCAGCTGCAGCAGTGCCAGCATCAGGGAGCTGGCAGTCTCATCGGGGAACACCATCTGCCTTGTCACCTGCTTCAGCAGCCGCCGAAGCACCACCTCCAGCAGGACATCCAGCTGGTCGGCGCTGCCGCGGTGGGGCCGGCGTGCAGCAGCAGCAGCCAAAGGCCTCCACCCGTACTCCTCAACCCCCAGCGCCTCTGCGTCCTCAAACTGCTCCAGATCGTCCATCAGTATGCTCCAGCTCTGAATCAGAAGCAGACCAGCCTCAGCTGTCAGACGCTCCTCCAGGCTGCCATCGCTGTCTCGCCTGGAGAGGGCGGCTTCCAGATGGTCATGTGTGAAGCGCTGCAGCTCGTCAGGGAGAAGTTCCATCCGAGCTTGGCCGCGCCACAAAAGCCAGCAGCCAAGGCCTGGCACTCGCTGCCGGGCCACGCATCCATCCAATACTCAATGAGCTCCTGGATTGGCCTGCTCCCGTTCCTCAGAAGCGCCTCCTCGAAAACATCCGGGCTGCAAGCTGCCAGGTTCCCCAGAGCCAGCAGGGCGCTACCGGCGCCTGGAGCTTGCGCCTGGGTGAGGGCTGACAGCCAATGCTTCAGCACATCCAGGGCAGCCGCAACCTCGTCTTGACTGCACTTGCCCTTCTTCTTGATGGTATAAATCTGCTCCATGGCCGCTGTCACATGGCTGTACTGCAGAAGCCCCACATTGCCTGATCTGCCTGCTTCCTTCACTTGCTGCAGGACACCGCTGATGCTGTCCTGATTACGGATGCAAGAAAGAAGCTGCGCGGCCTGCCCGCTGAGTGGCAGCTCACCATTCTGCAGTGGCAGCAGTAGGAGAGAGGGGATTGAGCAGACTCTTGGAATGTAAGTGGTGTGGTCAAGGTTGCTTGCTCACCTGCTCTGGCGGCGGATTGGGCTCGGCATGGTGGTCTGGCGGCAGGGAGGAGCGCCCGATTGTCCGTGTGCGCTCAGCCTCAGGCCCTGGCTCCGGCTGCTGAGGGTCGCCAGCCGCAGCGACCACAATGCGCTGCCGCCCAACCCGCCAGCCGGGGAGATGGGCACGCTGGTGGCCGTGCGCTGCAAGGTTGGGAAGCGCCACGCGCGATGCCAGCGACATGGCAGTGCCCTGCGTCATTCTGCAATGCAGGACAGGCATCATGGACTTCAGCAGGAAGAACCCTGCCAAAAGAAAGATGGCGGTAAGCGAGGCGCGTGGGCGGCCTGAGCGGCAAACTGATCTGCCGCCAGCCAGCCTGCCGAGGTCTGCCGAGGTCTGCTCTCTGCCCTGCTCACCTGGCTGACACTTAGAAGAGGTCCCTGGACGAGAGGTTGCGTGCTGTAAGAAGAGGAGAGGCTTCAGAGAGGCCACCAGGCGGGAGCGTGGTGCCAAGCTTTTGCAGGAGGAGCAAACTGCAAGAGGGAGCCAATTAGTCACATAGCAGCACAACACAAAACCATGGAATTTATTCTTGGAAAACTTGGAATGGTTAAACCATGGATTAAGAAGATGGCCCAGAGCAATCCACCCGCTGGCAGTACGCCCGTAACTATGGCCAACTCTGTCACGTTTCTAGGAGCGCCAGCGCCTCCTGTAGTCTGTTACGCCAGAGGAAACATCACCTGCTATAGAATTTACATGCAGCGCGCACATTCAACAGGCACCTGCTCTGGCACACATTATGCATGCGCTGCAGCCTGTCGGCGCGCCGCTGCAAATGGACGCCCGTCACTGTATCGTGCAGTCTTTCAGCTCCGGGGGCAGCCCCTCCTCCCCGCCTCCAAACGTGGGCAGGCCATCCGGCCCAAACTGAAGAGCAGGCGCGCAGGACATGCAAGTCAAGAGAATGCATTAATCACGAGGCAGGCGCTTTTGCCTTGCGAGCGCTTGAATGAACCATGCTCAGCAGTGCCTGCATGCGCTCGGCATGCGGGGCACACACCTGCATGCCTGGCGCCAGCTCATCCACGATCTCCTGCGGTGGCTGCCCGCACTGCTGCATCTGCACATCGCAAAGGCCAGCAAGCACATCGGCAAAGGCCAGCAAGAAGTGAAGCGCTGGCACCGATGGTCGCGCCAGCGCCAGCCCCCATGCGTGGGCAGCATGATGGCCCACTGCCCTGCACGTGCCAGCGCCCTCGCCCTCTCCCCCCGCTGCCGCTGGCCGCGCGCCTGCTGCAGGAGGTCGACCAGCTGGGCAAAGTCTGCGGGGGTGGACTCGTACATGGCACAGATGGCCCGGATGAAGCCGTGCTGCTTCTCGTACCGCTGGTACTCGTCTGCAAGGAATGAGGTGCCAGAGAAGAGAGGCCGGGATGGGCGTCAGGGTGGGCACAAAAAACGGCGCGGCATGAGCAAGGACTGGACGACACAAGAGCTGCAACAAGCAGCGGTGTGCCAGGGGCGACGGCCACCAGCGCCAAGCGCACCTTGCGTCAGCTTGTCTCTGTTGGCCGCCAGCCAGGACGGGTAGCGCTCGCCAATGTCCTGCACAAAACCGCGCAGCGCGGCGCAGTTTAACACAACCGTGAACGTGAGCGCAGCAAGGACATCCAACACTTGCAGCGCAGGACTGCGCAGTGGTTTGCTTTCCTGCCAGAAAGCATGCAGACAGCGGCTGCCCGCTTCCTGCTGCTTGCCTTCATGGGCTGGTAGAGCACTTCCTTGCTGAGCAGCTGCTGCATGATGGTGTCCACTAAGGAGGCCATCTCTGGAGGGGCACCCGCGGCGGCCGCCCCTTCGCCGCCTCCCCCTCCGCCACCACCAGCGCCTGCAGCCGCGCTGCCTACCCCCGCTGCGCCGCCCAGTGCGCCGAGGTGCTGTGTCAGCAGGCGGAGCAGCTCCTCTGCAGGCAGCAGCATGGACGGCGAGAGCAAGGGGCGGCGCGGCATGATGGGCGGAACAGCAACCTGTGTGTGAGCAGCTTGACAAAGGCAAGCAACTGCAGGCCCCTGGTGCACCAGGCCACAGCCAGCGATGCATGGCCGGGCTAGCGTGCTGCTGGTATCCAACCCTCACCTTCCGATTCGGGGTGCTCGCCGCTGTCGGCAAAGCTCGGCGCCTGCTGGGACAGCGCATGCAGCGTGGCATGCAGATCCCGCTGCTGGCTGCGACCTTGCTGCGATGCCCCCGCCGCCGCCGCGCGACTGCTGCCCCCGCTGCTGCCGCCGGTCGCCTGCTCGCTGCCAGCGGGTGGCGCGCCGTCGCGCTCGCCGCCGGGCGCGCCTGCTGCGCCTGCGTCCTGCTCCTCGGCTGCAGCGATGAGCAACAGGTGTTCTTCAGAACCGACCCGCAAGCTTTCGCACATGGACGGGCACGCTACAAATCAACGCCGGCACCTGACCAGGCCCCAGCATGCCACTGCCAAACGTGTTGGACACAGGGCTGCAAAGCAGGGCAACCAAAGTTGGCAGGTTCCGCATGGGCCCACCTTGTGCGAGCTCAGCTAGAAGCTGGGAGAGGCCCTCTGCCAGCACATCCACATCCTCTATCGCAGCTGCTCCTCCGCGCCTTGGCCCGCTGCTGCTGCTGCTGCCGGCAGCGGGGCGGGGCCCCGCCGATGCCGCACCCCGCTCTGCGCTGGCGGCACCCGCGCCTCGGCGGCGGGCCAGTGGATCAAATGCAAGGCCACGGGCGTTGCCGCCTGTGCCTCCACTGGTTGCGTGGCCTTGGCTTGGCGCGCTTGCAGCTGCTGTTGGTACATCAGGTTCTGAAGCGGAGCTTGGCCCACCGCCCACTTCTATCGTCACGGCAGCGGCGGTTGCGGCGGGGCCGCCCCTGCACGCGGGGACAGCTGGGGGTGGTGAGAACGCGATCTGCACCTGCTGCTGCCCCAAGTGCACGCGTCCTAGGGTTCACAGCGCACGTTTGGCCCGCAGCATGATCGAAGCCCTCCAAGGCATCTGCACGGATGAGAGGGCAACTGCAGTCATGGCCCTGCGATGCTCTGTTGCGGGGCAGCAGCAGCAGGCTCCCGTTCGGCAGGCGTTCAGACACAGGGTGGCGCACCGTCCAGCAGGGCGTCCAAATCGACGCCGGGATCCGCGCCGGTCATTGCTGTGTGCCCAACTGCTAAATTGGCCGTGCAACGCCTATATCATCGGCTGTGCTGTGGCTGCTGTGCTACGGCTGCTGCGCCAGCCCATTTATGGATGCACGAAATTTGCGCGATCGCCCTACTTCGATGTGCCTGGCCCCGCCCATTGAACTCTTGGCAGCAGTGCTGGACGCAACGCCCTTCCCCTCGCTGTACCGGACTCCCCAGTTTGTGACAGCAGCCGCTTTTGAAGTTGATTTTCACCGGTGGGGGTCGCGCCAGCGGGATCATGAAAAATCAATTGCGTGCTCTTCGCGCTACGCCACACAGCTTTGACTGCTCGCTGCCGCAGTTCGCTGCCTTACCATCCCTGCACAGGCCTGCCAGCTCTGTTGCACGCCTGTTCGATCGGCGGGGTGAACAGGATGCTCACAGGCAAGCCCTCTGCTGCTGCAGGCAACCCTGTGCTTAACCCGCCATCCAACACCAGCGCCGTCAACCGCCAGGATGGTGCCACGAGGCCAAACTCCACCAAGCGAATCAGCAACCGCTCATGATTGGGTTGCAGTAGAGGTGAATGGCAGCAGCAGCATTGAACTTGGCAGGCAGGCGCAGCTCGTAAGTGCCGTGAGCGCCGCGCTCACGCGGCGCGAGTCGCCACGCACCGTGAACTTGCCCGTCTCCGCCCAGCCGTGTGCCGCCAGCCATTCCTGACATGCATGTTTTGCTGCTTGCGCTGCTGCATTGCGTGTGACCCGCGAGGGAGGGCAACCCCCCGCGGTGCCATGCGCAGCTGTCAGCCGCGCCCTCCGCTTGCTGTGCTCCTGCCGCCAGCCGCACCCAAGAAACCCTTGCAGCCCCGCCAGCCTTTTGGCGCCTGCTTGAGCTTGTTCGCGGTCTTGTGGAGCGGCAATGCATCAGGATTGCAGGTGGAGAGCTTCAGTATGGCCGTAGTAGGACGGCGGCCGGCATGCCATGCCGCCCTGTGGCCCTGACCCGCCCCCTTCCTGCTCAAAAAGCAATCGGTGGCGGAGTGCACAGCGCGATCGAGTGCCGGAGCGCCCCAGTGTCACCACTGCGCGACTTGACCCTGTCTTTCAAACCGAGCACGTCTCAAATTTTACCGCTCTCCAGCGGTTCATGGCGCAGTGTGCGGCACGCTGCTCTACAGGAACAGGTTCAGGAGCCTATTGGACAGGGTGCAAGCGTTGATCAAGCCGCATCGGCGTAGCCTTGAAGCTTTTGCCGCCAGTGCCCACCGCCCCCGTCCCCCAGGGGCCTCCAGACCGTGCAGCAGCCCTGGCTTGATCGCCCGGCTGGCTGGTTTAGGCGGTGCAGCAGCGTGGGGCGCAGGGGGAGGCGCAGCGGGGCACCATGTCAAGCAACACACCAAGGAGCAACAGGGTGCGCTCGGCGCTGCCGGAGGTGAGTGGATGATGCAGGGGTAGGGTGCAGGCCCGCGCCGGCGGCCCAGGGAGCCACTGAGAGCTTGTGCGGTGATGTGGTGCAGGCCAGCCCGTTCAGCAGCGTGCTGGCGCGGCTCCCCGACCTCTCGCCACCCCGCACGAAATACACCACCAGCTTTGGAAGCCTGAACCCGATGGCCAGCCCCCCGCCGGCCAACACCTTTGGCTTCCGGCAACAGAGGTGGGACATGCGGCTGCTGGGCCAGCCCTGGGCCCCGCCCTGGCTCCTACTGGCAATCAGGGGCCAAGAACAAGACGAACCGATTTTTGCGGCGCCGCCTGGGAGTGCTGCACGTGCCGCCGTCTGGCCACGCGCGGCGGCCGGCTGGGGCGGCGGGAACGCCCTCTGCTGCCGACCTGCTGCTGATCGCACGCCTCCTCGAAGCCTAGGTGGCAACCACATGTGACGCTTGTGTCGCACCCGTCTCGCACCCGTGCCGCCCCTGCTGCTGCGAGGACGCCTTCCTTGCAGCCTCTGACCGCACAGCTGTCCTTGCGCGCCGCTGCTGCTGCAGCGCCCAGACGCCCGGCGGCGGCAACCAGGGCAAGCCCATCGTATCGTTTGGTGGGTGCCGCGCAGGACAGCGCGGCGCAGCTGGGCAGCTGACCAGCAGGCCTGGGCCGGCCTGGCCGCCGCCCTACAGACGACCATAAGCATGGTCTGTGGTGGCCCTTGTAGCGGCCCGATCCTGCCGTGCCCTCAGCTGACCACCTCCCTCGCGGCCCCTGCTGCAGACCTGCTGGGCACCACGCCCATCAAGTCCCTCCAGCCGGGGGACCAGCAGCTGAGCAGCCCGCGGTACGACCTGCAGGTGAGAGGGCAGCGCCAGGCAGTGGTGTGCTGCGGCACACTGTGTGCGGGACCACCCGCGGCAGACCGCCGGTGCTGGCTGTCTGGCAGCCAGGCACAGCTGGGGCCCAACCGCACGCTTTGGTTGCGTGCGCGCCAGCCGACATGCCGTCGTTGTTGTTTGCCGCCTGCAGAGCCCCAAGTTCCCGCTCTTCCAGCCCTCGCCCAAGCAGCCGCTGGGAGCCCTGCCGACGCCGCCCTCAGGTGCCGCGCCCCGCCAGCCGGATGGCGCCCAGAAATCACGCACACGCCCGCCTGGCTGCCCGTTCGGCGTGCCCGCTGCTGACGCGGCGGCTGCCGCCGCCCGCCACCCGCCTGCCTGCAGTGCGGCTGGCCGACTCGTCTGCTGCCGGCGCCGCCGCGCGCGCCCGCTTCTCCAGCCCCTTTGGCTCGCTGCTGGACGGCAGCAGCCGCTCGGGGCCCTCGCCCGCCGGCGGCGCCAGCCTGGCGCCCGGCCGCTCGGCGGCGGCGGGCCAGGCGCGCTTTGCCGCGCTGTTTGCCCACGCCGCCGGCACGCTCGACGAGGCGGCGGCTGCGATGGGCAAGGGCGACATCCCGCCGCCGTCTGCCGGCCTGCACCCGTCCTACCTGTCGCCGCTGCGGCCGCCGGATGGCGCCGCGCCGCGCCGCCCCGGCAGCGGCGGCGCGGTGGCCGAGGCCGCTGCGGCGGGTCGGGACGCGGCCGCCGCCGGGGACCCGCCGCAGCGGAGCGGCGCGCTGGCGGGCGGCGCGGCGGGGCTGGACGCCATTGCCGCCGCGGCCGCATCCGCCGGGGACAGGGAGGATGAGGGTGATGCTGAGGTGGCGGCCATGCTGCATGATGGGGAGGCTGAGGAGGAGGAGGCGGATGAGGCTGAGGAGGAGGAGGAGGAGGAGGAGGAGGAGGACGATGAGGACTTTACTGTGGGCAGCTTCCGGCGGCCCGCGCCGGTGCGCGGCGCGGGCGCCAGCCGCGCCCAGCAGCTCTTCCAGGCGCGGCAGCGCCCCGTGCGCCGCCGCCAGCTGCGCTTTGGCGGCAGCGGCGGCGGCGGCGGCGAGGGGCAGGAGGAGGAGCCGGAGCCGGCCCAGCTGGTGCGCCCGCCGCCGCCCGCTGCTGGGTTACTATGCTGCCTGCTGCTGCTTGCTGCTCCTGGCTGCTGTTTTTTTGTGCAACCTGCCACTCCCGGCTGCCTCGCCCGCGCCGCTCCCCGGTCGCCCCACCTGCCCCGCTCCCACCAGCCACCCCCGGCCCCCTGCCCTGACCCCCACACACACCCTCCCGCCGCGCCCCGCAGGTCCGCTGCACCCTGCCCCAGTCGCCCATCTGCCAGGCGGTGAGCCCGGCTGTGGACGGCGTCACCTTTCACATCGCCCGCCTCCGCGACGCTCCGACCTCCAGCGCCAGCGACGACGGCTCCGGCAGCCCCGCCCACGTGAGCGTCACTGGCGCGGGGGGCCGCCCTGCCCTGCCCTGCCCTGCCTTGCGGCTTTTCAGTGCGCTCGGGGCGGGCCAGGGAACCGTTGTCGTGTGCGAATAACAGGCAGCGCCACAGAAGGCTGGGAGGAGGTGCATGGCGCCTGGCGGATCCTTCCCCCGCCCATGCATGCTGCTCACGCGCCCCTGCCCCCTCCCCTGCCTCCTCTCCCCCGCCCCGCAGCGCCAGCGCCCCGGCGCCTACTCTCTTGATTCGCCGGCGGTCCAGGCGGCCACCCACGCGGCCGTGGCGGCGGCGCTGGAAGCCTCCGCAGGTGGGGCCTTCGGTCGATCGCAGCGGTTGCACACACGCTCTCTGCTGCGCCCCGCTGCGCTGCCCCCTCCCTGGTCCCGCGGCGCGACCTCTCACTGGGCGTGTGTGTGTGCATGTATGCGTGGATGCTGCAGGGGCAGGCGGCGCCCGCCGGCCCGCGCGCGCGGCGGCGGCAGGCGCGGCGGCGGCGGCCAAGGCGGCCGCCGAGGCGGCGGGCACGCCGATGCAGCGGCGCGGCGGCGCGCACCTGGCGCGCAGCAGCAGCGACGGCGGCGCCGCGCTGCCGCCGCTCACGCCTGGGGAGGACGGGGTGGCGGGGCCGGGAGGGGCGCCCCAGGCCCTCTTTGCGGGGTGAGCACGGCACCGCTTCTCCTGCCGGCAGGCTGCACTGCCCGCTGGTGGTGTGTGCCAGCCGCAGAGCCTGCATGCCAGCTTCAGACGTACCGCCTCTGCCACGGCGCTGCACGCCAGCCCCGCGACGCGGCCTCCTTCCACCCCCCCACCCCCGCGCCCGCCTCCCCGCCCGCCCCGCGCAGCCCCAAGAAGTGCAACTGCAAGAAGAGCAAGTGCCTCAAGCTGTACTGCGACTGCTTCGCCAACGGCGGCTACTGCGGCCCCGCCTGCTCCTGCTCCAGCTGCGCCAACAAGGTGGAGAACCGGGCGATGGTGGCGGCGCAGCGCGAGGCCATCAAGCAGCGCAACCCCAATGCCTTTGTCCAGAAGGTGGGGCGCGGGGCCTGGCCAGGAAGGGGTGCACGTGTAAGGTTCCATGTCCGCCCCTCCACCTGCTTGATAGCGGGCAAGGGCTGCACCCGCTGCACCCTCCCACGGCCACACCCGGCATAGCATCTCTGCCACAGCCCACGGCTGCGCCTGGCTGGCACCTGCTGCCGAATTTAACAAACCTGCGCGTGCCTCTGCGTTTCCCCTCCCGCCGTGCCGCAGATCGAGGCGGACGCCGCGCTGGGGGGGCAGCACCGCCGCGGCTGCAACTGCAAGAAGAGCCACTGCATGAAGAAATATTGCGAGTGCTTCCAGGTGGGCCGCTGGGGCTGCGCAGGGAAGGCTGCGCCTGAGCGCACGCTCCCCCTGCACCTAAGCACACGCTTCCCCTGCGCACCTGAGCACATGCTTCTCCTCGGAGAGCCCAGCACCGCGGGCGCGCCTGCGCAGCAGCACAGCCTTCCCCTGCCGACTCGGCGCCTCCCCGGCTGCCCCTGCCCGCAGGCCGGCGTGCCGTGCGGCGAGCACTGCAAGTGCGAGAGCTGCCACAACACGGCGGGGCACTCGGGGCGGCGCCCGCCGGGCGGAGGCGCAAGTGAGCCCGCTGCCGCCCCTGTTCCCTGTTGGCCTGTCTAGTTGGCGGCGTTCCTTGTTGGCCTGTCTGGCAACCAAGGTTGCCGCCGGCCCAGTGTGTTGCCTGGGCGCCCCCCTTCCTGCTCGCTGAGCCGGCACGCGTGCTGCGCGGTGCAGGCAAGCGCGCGCGGGCCGGCGCGGCGGCCGCCCCGCAGACGGTCTCCACGCGGCAGCACGCCACCCGCATGTCTGCTGGCGGCTCGGCCCTGGCGCAGCAGCTCAAGGCTGCGCAGGCCTTCCATGCAGCCATGGCCCAGGCTTCTGCCGGCATAGCCACGGCGGCTGGCGGCGGCGCGGACGGCGGCGGCAGCCAGTCGCCCGGCCTCTTCCCGCTGCTGCAGCCGGGGCCGCTGGGCGCGGGCGACGGCGGCGGCGGCGCCCCGCTGCTGCTGCCGCTGCTGCTGCCGCAGGGCGGCGACGCGCCGCCGCTGCCGCTGCCCGCGGCGCCAGACGCAGCGCCCGACGCAGCCGCGCTGCCCGCCCTGGCCGCTTTCCAAGCCGCGGACGCCGCCCTCACCGCCGCCGACGGCGCGCCGCCCTCCCACGCCACCCCGGTGGCGGCGCTGCTGGGCCCGGCGGCGGCCGGGGCGGCCACGGCTGGAGGCGGCAGCGGCGGCCCGGGCGGCGACACTTTCACCTTCCACCCCATCTCCGGCACCGACCGCAGCGGCAGCGGCAGCAGCAGCGGGCAGAGCACGCCGCGCGCGGCGGCCGCGGCGGCCGCGGCGGCAGCTGCCGACTTTGCCTTCACCTTGGACACCCCCGCAGCCGCCGCCGGCGCCGCGCCGCCCGCCGGCGCCTCGGCCCTGGAAAAGCTGCTGCCGGCGGCGGAGGCCGGCGGCGGCGCGGCGGCGGCGGCGGCCGCCGGCACCGCCAAGCCTGCGTCGCGGCCGGGCAGCGTGCGGGCGACACCCACCAAGCGGAAGCCGGCTCGCACCATGACCGCCGCGCTGATGTAGCAGGCAGGCACGCGGCCCCGCCCAGCCATGTAGCAGCAGCAGCACGTACCAACAGATCCCAGCAGGCCCCCACCCAGGCAGCGCCTCCCCTCCCCTGTACAGCCAGCCCCCTACCGCAGACAGCGACAGTTTTGACGCGCCCTGGAGCCGCAGCAACCGCAGCAAACCAACCCGCCCTCTTGACCCAACGACCGGCGACCCGACTCCCTGACCCCTCGTATGACGCTGAACACTGCCCTCCCCCCCCTGCCTACATCTCTGGACGATTCCTCCCCACTTTTCAAGGCAGCGCTCTTAGTCAGCCAGCACCCAGCCTGCAGTACAAGCCGCAGGCAAGGCAGTACAGTAGCAGCACAGCCTCCAGCTGCGCACCAGATAGTTTGCCACGCTCGCGAAGCAGCAGCAGGCGCCCCTCCCCTATTGTTTCTTGATTGCTTGCATGCAAGGCGCCCACGCGCCCGCTTTGCCCCTGCCCCTCGCCCTGCTCTTATTCGGCACTGATTGTTTGCTCAGTCCCTGTTCGCTTCCGCGCCCTCCCTTTCATCCCACCGCCCCTCCTCCCGCGCCCGCCAAACCATGGCATTCCGGCGCGCGCATGCATTGCTGCCTTGCCCGCGGCTCTTGCCCTCTGCAGGCACCCAACCAGCACTGCCGCCCGCCACTCCGCACCATTTTTTCTCATAGCTTAGTCGCAGCGCCGCCTCTCTATTCGCTTGTGTCGCCGGGGCCTGTTGGGATCTGTCCTCAATGGAGCCTCCTGCACTTACCTATGATGTTCATTTGCTTTAAGTGGTAAGCAACACACTGGCTGGCGCCGCGGCAGGCAAGTCTGGTGGTGGTAAAGAGCGGTTACAGGGCGGCAGGTGCGTGCGGCTCCTGGGACGGCGCCTCCCGCGGCTGTGGCGCCGCCGCCTGCTGCTCCCCGTGCAGCTGCCGCTTGCTTGCCGCCAGCAGCCCCGCCTGCCGCTGCGCGCCTTTGCCCTTCAGCGCGGGCCGCCTGCATGACAGCCATCAGAGGGCGAGAATGACATACATGGAACGGTGTTTGAGCTCCCACCAGGGCAGGGCAAGCAGGGCAGGGCACTGTCCCCCTGGGCTGTGCCACCCTCATGCCAGGCTCGCTCACCTGCGGACCACCGCCCCCGTGCTGTCCACCCGCTGCTTGACGTCTGGGTTGTAGCGCGCGGCTGCAGGCAGGGGAAGGGCGGAGGGTAGAGTGAGGCTGCGAGGGTGCAGGCGCCCGCCAGGGGAGGCCAGCGGCCACGGGCCAGTGGGGAGGCCATGCCAAGCCACAGCGCCTGCCCGGAAGCAGGCATGCTTTGCAGGCATGGGTGTGCTTTATGGGCGCAACCCCAGGAACGCCAGGAAACCTGGGCAAGCACGGCCAGCACGGCAAGCGCGGGCGGCGCGGCCCACCGCTGAAGTCCACATCGGGGGTGGGCGCCAGGAAGATGCGGGCGCCTGCCGGGTTGCGGATGGCCACCGTGCCACGGTACGCGCCGCGCGGTACGCCGTCCTGCGGCAGCAGGGGCTGGGGGAGGCATGTGGAGCCGCGGGAGCGACACAGCGACACAGTGGCAGCGGTGCGCGCCCAGCCGAGGCCCAAATGTGAACAGCGGGGCAGGCACAACCGCGCCGTCAGGCTTCCAGGCTGAGCGCTGTCGGTGCCCTGTCGGTGCACCGTCTGCCAGCCGGGGCATTGTGGTGCACGGGCTCGGCGCTGCTGCCGCTTCGTGCTGTGTTGAATGAAAGCGGCACGCACCCGCCACTCGCGCAGCATCCGCAGCTTGCCCGTCAGGGCCTCGTACGCCTGCTGGCTGTCGTAGCGCAGCACGTAGTCGCGCCCTGGGACCGCAGTGGCCATCTCGTCTGCACACGGAGGGGGAGGCAGAAGCAGTGCATGAGGAAATGATGCGACTGGCGACTTGAGCCACGGCCCGACAGCCAACCGGCCGACTGGCTGCCTGCCCTCACCCAGCCCCCTGAGCGGCTGCGCCGCTGCCAGCTCCGCCTCGAAGCGCTGCTGGTACTGGGCTTGCTCCAGGAAGCCCAGGTCCATCTGCTGCCACCGCACGTCCTCTGCGCACAGGCGGCGGCAGCACCAGGAGCGCGGCAGGTGGGCGGCAGCAGCACGAGCTGATGCCGGCGCATGGTGCATCCTGAAAAAAGAAGACGCACCCTGCGCCTGTCTGTCTGATGATCATGCTTTACTGCTGCTACTCCAAGACAGCGCCGCAGAGTGCTAGCACATGTGCATTTACTTCAACATGACACATGCACACACAAATCCACTGACTGCGCTGCACCACGGCCGCCCCTGTGCCCCCGTGCCTGAGTTGAGCTTGATGGGCTTGAGGAAGAGGCGGAAGTACTGGCCGCTGCTGCTGCCAATGTCGCCAAAATTGTAGGTGCGGCACACCTCGGGCCTGCAGCCATTCGCCGAGGGAAGCAGAGAGCTGACAGTTGGAAAAGGCGGCAGCAGGCGGGCGGGAGTGGCCACCACCGCTGCGCCCAGTTTGGCGGGGGGCGCGGGGGCCGGCTGCCAACGCACGCCCCGCCACTGCCGCGCGCCTGATGCACTGCCGCCCCTGCCGCGTCGCATCCAGCCGCATGAAATCGTCCCAGTACCCCCGCGGCCTGCACGGTACCACAGTGCGGCAGGCATGGTACCACAGTGCGGCAGGCGGTAGTGCAAAGACGGCAACTGGTTGGACGTCTGTCTTTTAGCATCATGGCTTGGCTGGCATCAGCACCAGCAGGTCAAATACACCACGTTTCCTCACCAACCAGCGGCTAACCACCCAACACATCCGGCACCCACCACATGCTCCTGATCGACTCCCACACCCGGCGGTTGAGCATCCAGCCCAGGCCTGGGAAGAAGTCGGAGCGGTACAGCTGGGTGGCATTGGCCACAAAGCGGTCCTGCACACGGTACCGCGCACCACGCACGAGGCAACTTTTGCCAAGTGAGCGCGCACGCAAAGCAACCGCCGAGCAGGCCAGGAGTGCATGCATGTCTGCTGCAAAAGCGGTGCCGCAGGAGTACATCGGGGCACGGCCGCAGCAGTGCGCTGGCGGCGCGGAGCGGAGAGAGCTAGCCGGCCACCTGGCCGTGATCGTTCCAGCTGGAGACGCAGTAGAGGGAGGGGTCTGCATCCAGCACAGCGGCTGTGGCTTCAAAGTAGGGAAAGAAGTCGGGCGACAGCTCCATGTCATCCTGCAGGCGCGGCACACACACCCATGTGTGGACAACACGGAAGGAACACGAGGACGACTGAGCACGATTGTTGGTTGCAATGGGATCGAGGGCTGAGAATGAGCGAGCTCGCACAGGCGCAGCGAAGCCCTGCTGCCTAGTATGCAGCGGCGGCTGCTTGCTGCCGTGCTTGCCTCCAGGATGACGAGCCGCTCGTAGCCAAAGCAGTCGAAGAAGGTGTGCATGAGGAACCTGGAGAGAGGGCAGGCCAGCACAACCATGATCCCAGGCACTGCCTCCGCCGCTACCCCTGGCAAGCGGACCAGCGAAGACAAACATCTGCCCTAATCCCTCTTGCTCCGCTACCAGCATGCAGAACCCACGGCATGCCCCCCGCGCGTCTTCCCAGCGCCCCACTCACTTGTAGTGGTTGGCTATTCGGTAATACACTACCTTCTCCTTCCGGTCCTTCAGCGCCGGCACCACATCCTCGCGGTGCTGCAGGAAGCTGAGGCGGTCCAGGTGCTGCAAGGCGGGGGTTGGGGGGGTGCGAGCAGTAGCAACGCTCGGATCATGCACAGCAGCGTTCGCACAGGCTGCCTTCCTCATTGCTGCAGCACCCCACCTGCGCCACCACATCCTGCACGCCAGTGGCGTTGAAGTCCTGGCTGACATACAGCGGGAACTTGCGCCTGTGCCATGCAACACGTGGAGGATAAGCAGAGGCCACTCAGCATGCAGCAGGTTTCGTGCAGTCGAGCTCAAGACCTGAGCAGAGATGCAGGCGGTGAGCAGCATGTTGAGCGTGGGCCCAACACACATCCACCCAGCAGCTCACCTGTTGCTCCTGTCCCGGCCATGCACCGTCAGCAAGCTGGCCAGCATCTGCTCGAGGTACTTGGCCCTGCACGAGGCAGGCCAGTGCGCCAAAGAAGTACATGGCAGAGGGGGACTTTGACACCTGAGGTTGTTCAGATGGATGAGGTTGCAGGGCAACGCAGCGGCGATGGCAGCGGCAGGCCGCGCTGCACACCTATTGAAAGTGACGACAACCACTGCCGCCACAACACCCTGCGCGGGCGGCCCTACGCCCACGCACTCCCCATCCTCATTCCCTGCAGCATCAGGCAACGCGAAGAGCATCACCGGCATGCGCAGCCAACCTGGTCTTTTCTCAAGCAGTGCATCCGCTGGATTTGCTGCACGGCGACAAAAAAATGCAGAAACCAACAACAGAGGCCTCATAATAGACAAACTGGGGCAGGTTGGCTCACCTGGCGGGAACACAGAGGTGCCCACCACTGGCGGCGGCTTGCCTCTGGCCAGCTGCGCTGCCGCTGCGGCCTGCTGCTGGTGCAGCCGCTGCACCCGCTTCTCGCTGTAGTTGCTGCTTTGCTGTGATCAAGGTCGGCAGGATGAGGAGGCAAAGGGGTCGGGTGGCACCAGCAGTCCCAGGTGGCAGAAGTTCGCAGGTGCCAACAGTTCAAGTAGTACTGCGATCAAGAGCCGCAGCACGACCAGCACATCTCCCATGAAAACCCCAGCTCGAACACACCTGCAGCAGCTTCTCCTGCTCCTTGCGGCTGACAAACTTGCGGCGGGCCGGCGTTGCAGTCGCGGCCTCCTTGCCGGGGCCAGCTCGGCGAGAGGATGCTGCGCCTTGCTGGCGGGAGCGGTCCTGCAGGCATCCACCCAATCATGCGGAATGTTGGTGCGAGCAGCAGTCCAGAACAGGCATCACTGCCAACTGTGGAGGTGGGCAGGCACACCGACGACGGGCTGCGGGCGGAAGTACGGAGGGCGGCTGTAGAAGACAGCCAATTGACTCTTGCCTTTGCGCCTGAGATGCGCCTGTAATAAGTTACCACCACGACCACCTGCAGCCAGAACAACAACGCCAACAAGTGTACTGGCGGCAGCAGTGGCTAGCGGCGGTTGGCGGCAGCACCGACACATGGTGATCACCGGCCCCGCCACTGGCGCTGGAGGCAGGCCACCCACCTGCACCGCGCAGAATATCAGCAGTGCGGCCAGCAACAGGCTGCGGTAGCGCCAGCGCGTGCTTTTGCTGCGACGCGGCGGTGGGTGTTGGTGGTAGACCGCGATCATGGCCTCAGATCGTCCGCCATGGTGTGCGGAATGCATTCGGGGGCGCTCGTTGCGACCGGATGTACAGCTCGGCAGGTGTACAGCTTGGCAGGTCCCCCCTCTCCTCGTGTCCTCTGGTGCGTCTTGTCTGGCATCCTACTCCGTGTTGCAAGGGCGCAGAAGCATCTGGGCAGGTCTGTGCAGCTGATGGCGTCGTTTTGCACCCTTTGTGGGCACCAGGCCCACAGATGCGGTCCCACAGAAGACAGCAACTGAGCATGGGGCGGGCGGAAGGCTGCCGGCGGCCAGCCGTGCCGGAGTCCGCCCGCCCGCCCGCCCGCCGCCCCTGCACTCACGCCCCGCCGCCGCCCTCGCGCGGCAGCTGCCTGCAGATGGCGGGCATCTTCAATGGTCCGGCCAGGGGCGGCACGCGGGGAGGGCGCGACCAGTTCAGCTGGGACAATGTCAAGTCGGACAAAGAAAGGGAGTACTACCTGGGGCACAGCGTCAAGGCGCTGACGGGCAGGTGCGCTGGTCGCATGCGTACGACCGCAACAGGATGTGCACGCAGCGCAGCAGGTGGAGAAACAAGCGCGGCAAAGGGCCGAATATTCCGGGCAATGTGCTGGGGTGCCCATGCCTGCCTTGTTGGTGGGTTGACTGACGACAGGGACAGGTTGGCTGTTACCCAAACACGCTGCCGTGCCGTGCGCTCCCGCCACGCAGGTGGCAGAAGGGGCGCGATGTGTATTGGTACACGCGCGACGTGGAGCGCGGGGAGGAGGACAAGGCGGCTGAGCTGGCCATGGTGAAGCAGCGGGAGCAGGATCTGATGATGGAGGTGCGGGCATGCGGGAGTGTGGGGGGGGGGGGGGGTGCAGGGCTTGTGGTGGGCAAGCAGGGTGTGCGAGCTTGCTGTATTTTGACATGTGCCGCCCGGCTTGCCGCGCTTGTCCTTCCAGCCAGCGTTTCTCGCCGAGGCTCTGCCTTTGCTGGCCTGCGCTTGCTGCCCGAGCGCGCTGGCAACACGGATGCCTGCGTCCCCGCCTGCCTGTTGAGCTCAGGCGCTGGGCGTGAAGCCCAAGGCGCCGAAGGTGGTGAAGCAGCCGCAGCTGGACAGGCAGGACATGGAGAGGCTGCTCAAGGGCACGGGTGGGTCTGCTGTGACAATCCAGCATGCAGGCTGAAGGGATCAAGTGTGCACCCCAGGATGGATAGGCGTGACTTTCACAAGGTGCAGAATATTCATCGCTGCCCCATGCATGCCACAATCTGTGCAGGGGAGGAGCAGGAGGAGGCGGGGGCGGCGGGGGCGGCCGCAGCCGCGGCAGCGGCAGAGGCAGACCGGATGAAGGGGCTGGGTTTCAATGCCAGCATGACCACGGGTGAGGATTGGCGCAGTCGATTGTGCGCAGCACCTGCCTTGCTGCGGTTGTTGCGACCGTGCTCTGGCTGGCCATGGTTGTGTGCAGTGCGGTTGATTGGGGGCTGTTGCTTGCCATTTCTTGTGTTTTTCTGCCTCTGTGCAGGTGCGATCCAGGCGGGGCAGGACACTGAGATGCTGGCAGGCGTGGGCGGCGGCGGCTTGCCCGGCCCTGGCGCGCAAGAGCAGCAGGCGGGCGGGGCCCCGCGCCAGCAGCAGTCCCACCAGCAGGAGGGCGGCGTGGCGGGCGCGGGGCTGACGCGGGAGCAGATTGCAGAGCTGAAGCGGCTGCGCAAGAAGCAGGAGAAGAAGGCGGCCAAGAGGGCCAAGAAGGATGCGAAAAAGGTGTGTGGCTGGGGGTGATGGTCATTCAGGGACGGTGATCATTGCGGCCAACACAGCTGTTGGATCACGCTCTTCCAAATACGTCGCGCGAGCCAGTCTCTATAGCTGAGGGCAGCATGCCTTGAGGTGCAGCTGGCGTTACACATGTTGCTTGTTTGACTGGCCCGTCGCAGGCTAAAAAGAAGGGGAAGAAGGAGCTCAAGGAGAAGAAGAAACGCCGTCGGTCGCGCAGCGGCAGTGGCGACAGCAGCAGCAGCAGCAGTGGGCCGGAAGGCGAGGGAGCAGCAGCCCGGGGCAGGCAGGCCGCAGCGCAGCCGCCGGCGGTGCACGGGCTGTCGCCGCGTCGCGGGCTGGGCGTGAAGCCGCCGCCGCCGGAGAGGGCGCCACGGCGCGACAGGAGCAGGAGCCCAGCAGGCGAGCGCCGGGCACGGCACGACAGCCCTGGGCCAAGGCGGCGGCATGACAGCCCTGGGCCGAGGCACGACAGCCCTGGGACAAGGCGGCGGCACGACAGCCCTGGGCCAAGGCGGCGCGAGTACGAGCGCGAGCGGCAGCCGGAGCGGCGGGGTGGGCGCAGCAGGAGCCGCAGCCCTGCTGGCGGTGGGCGGCGCCGGCGGCACGACAGCCCCTGAGCGCAGCTGGGAGCTAGGTCTGAACTTGCGGCTTGCACAGCCCGATCACATACTTCTCCGATGCATGTAATTTCAGGCAATGAAGCACGCGCGTTAGTTCCCGCTGCTCCAAGTTTGTAGTGCCCGTCCTGCCTGGTTGATGCAAGGCGCACAGAATCGGGGCGCGTTGCTCACCGCCCATTGTCGCCTATCCCCCTCTTCTTCTTCTTCTTCTGCATCTACTTCCTAGTACGCAGCGTAACCACGCCGTTTGCTGCAGCTGCGCCAGAATTGCGTTGCCTCTGAATCTTCGCCAGTCGGCCCCAATGGCCTCCCAGGCAGCCGCCATGGCCGTCGGCAGTCCCTTCTGCCGGGCGTCGCAGCCTGCAGCCGCGTCTGTGCGGTTAGCAGCCTTCAGGGCGATCCCAAGGCGATTGGAGACCGCCGCTTATGCGCACACAACCGCGGCCACCGCAGCCTCTCCCCTAGACCTAGCAGCGCCCCACACCTCCACCAGCGCCCCCTCCACCAGCGGCCGCCCCGCCCAGCCTTTCCCCTCGGAGCCGCTGCTGGTGCGCGCCCGCCCGGCCCGCCGCCAGTTTGCCCGCGCCGCCATGTTTTGTGGCCATCTCCCGCACTCGTGCCCTCTCCTGCCCCCCTGATCCACCGACGGGGCCCCGCGCCAAACTGGCAGCCCCGTGCGCTGCTTCGCCAGCCGCCTCGCTCACCCGCCGCGGCCCATGTGTCCCCCACTTGTGCAGGCCTTTGAGGTGGTGCAGGGCGCGCTGGTGCGCTTCTCCAGTGCCGCCTCCACCAAGGTGCCCACCGCGGTGCTGGTGCACGGCATCCTGGGCAAGCGGCAGAACATGCTGCCCTTTGCGCGGCGCCTGGTGGAGGGCTTCCCGCACTGGCAGGTGGTGGTGGTCGACCTGCGCTGCCACGGCGAGTCGGCGGCGGCGTCCCCGCAGCTGCGCGGCGCGCACGGCGTGGAGGCGGCCGCCGCCGACGTCATCCGCCTGCTGTCCGCGCTCAAGCTGTTCCCCGAGATGCTCATCGGGCACAGCTTTGGCGGCAAGGTGGTGCTGGAGATGACCAAGGCGTGGTCGGGCGGCCGCGTGCCGCGCCCCGTGCAGGTATGGGCAGCTGCCGCTGCGGCGCTGCGGCGCCGCGCGCTTCGCCGCCGCGCCGTGCATCGGCTGACGCCGCAGCGCGTCGCTCCCCCGCGCTCTGGCCCCCGGGGTATGCCATGCCAGTTGCTCGCGGCGCTCACTCACCTGCCCCCCTGCCTCGCCCGCCGCCCTGCCGAGCAGGTGTGGGTTCTGGACGCGCTGCCCGGCGAGGTGCGCAGCGGCGACATGGGCGGCGCGGACCGCCCCGCGGACCTCATCTCCACTCTGCAGGCGGTGCCGCTGCCGGTGCCCAGCCGCCACTGGCTCATCAGCCACCTAGAGGCCTCGGGCTTCTCCCGCACCGTGGCCGCCTGGGCCGCCACCAACCTGGCGCCGCTGGCCGGCGGCGCGCCGGGCATGACCTGGGCCTTTGACCTGCCGGGAATCGCGCAGATGTTCCGGTGAGGCGGCGCCGCACGCGGGGGTGCCCGGCACTTGTAGCAGCAGTCTTGGCCGGCGTTCAGTCGCCTGCCTTTTGTTGGGAGCGGGAGCGGGCCAGCAGAGCGGGCCAGCAGTGCGGCCGACCCGACCCGGCGCCCCAGCCCAGCCCTGCCGCTGTTGTTGGATGTTGTCCCTGACGCTGCCCGCCCCTCCTCCCCTCCTCCCCGCAGCTCTTACGAGTCTGCCGACCTCTGGCCGCTGCTGGCGGCCCCCGCCGACGGCGTGGCGCTGTCGTTTGTCAAAGCGCAGCGCAGCACGTTCCGGTGGGGCGGCGGCGACGAGGCGCGCATCCGCGCCCTGGGCCACGCCGTGCACGAGCTGCCCGACGCGGGGCACTGGGTTCACAGCGACAACCCGGGTGCGTGGGTGCAGGGGAGCGACCCGGCGGGGGTGGCGGGGGTGCAGCGGGCGATGGCAGGCCGGGGCGCGCGGCACGGGCGGTGTGCACCTTGGCCTGGCCTCGACGCGCGCCCGCAGCTCCTGACCGGTGTGCCTCTTTTTTGCCCCCCTCCTGCCGCCCGCCTGCCTGCCTGCCTGCCGCAGACGGCCTTTTTGACATCCTGGCGCCCAGCTTTGGCGGCAAGGTGGACCTCCACATGCAGCGCAGCCCGCCGGGCAGCCCGCGGCCGGGGGTGGCCAACAACATCATGGCCTCCCCCTCGGCCGCCGCCAGCAACCGCCAGCTCCAGGGCCTGATGATGTGAGCATGCGAGCGCCCGTGGCCGTCCTCCTGCAGCCCGAAAGCAGCCCGGCAGCAGCCCTCTATAGGCTTTGGATGAGTTTACTAGGCAGCGATGTGAGAGCCGCCGGCCCGCCAGCCACCCCCCCTCGGATTCAGCGACGTAGCAGCGCTGGCGGCGCCGCGGCAGCGAGTACTGAGTGATTCCCCCGCGCACCCCTCCCCTGCGCCACCCTGCCTCCGCGCCGCGTCCTGGCGCCGGTGCCAGGGCGCGCGCGCGGTTGCGCACGCTAATTTCAAACTGTTGTTCTTCTTGCCTGACAAACAAAACTCGCGCACTGTTCTTCTCCAACCCGCACCCAATGCAAGGAATCTGTGATTGATCCCCTCCCCTCTCCGCCCTAATCCCTGATTCGCCTCCTGTCATCATACGGTCCCTGCTAACCGCCCGCGGCGCGCGCTTCGCGCCGCCCCGTTTCTCTGCACTATGCCTGCTGGCCTCCGGCCCCCCCAGACCTCCGCAGCCCTGCCTTCTCCCTGATCACTGCTTTTCAAAACTGTGAATGTGAGCACCCTGTAATTCCACTGTGGCTTGAAGAAGTGAGGATGGGCGCTGCCACGCCGCCGCCACCACGTGGCGAGCAACATTGAAGGTTGGCACGTTGGAAAGGCGAGTGTCTCCTGCTGAAGCATGCTGGTTTCAAAAGTAACTGGGCCCTCACGCCAACAGAAGAGAAGCGATAGCCTGGCAGTAGCCGCGCCACCAGCTTTGGGCACCATCCGCTCCCCCGACCGCACCTAGCACCAAAATCAGGTGAGAAGGAGGTCCAGGAACGAGCAGAAGGGTGAGGAGAGTGGGCAGGAGGGGCTGCCTGGGCGGCTGCCGACTGGCGCCCTCCCGCCGGTTTTGACTGGACTCGACGCCGTGTGTTGCAGCAGCACCACTACCTTCGACCCAGCGACCCTGGGGTTCTGAGCTGGACTCTTCTGCCACATCCCTCGCATTTCACCGGCGAGCGATGACGGGCAGCCCAGAGGCCAGCAATGCTGCCGCCGGCGATGAGGCACGGGTCCCTGAGCCCACCCAGCCCGAGCAGCAGGTCCAGGGGCGTGCCTCGCGGGCGCGGCTGAGCGGCGAGCAAGCGGCGGCGCTGGCGCAGCACGTGCTGCTTCAGCAGGCGGCGGCGCGCCTGCTGCTTGAGAAGCAGCAGCAGGGGGCGCAGGCCGACCCCGCCCACCTGCGCCGCTGCGCCACAAGCCGCCACAACGCCGCCATGAGCCTCCGTCAGGCGAGCCGTTCTTTCTTTCTTTCCTTCTTTCTTTCTTTCTTTCTTCGACCGGGCAGCTAGCCTGGTCTTGCTGAGGCGGTGGACTCTCATGTGTGCCTTGCGCAGCCTTTTTCGGCACCCACGGCATTGCCCGCCAACCAGCCCATGGTCAGCTGAGTCAGCAGCCCCCGCCGACACAAATAAGCACACCCAGTTTGCTGCAGGTTGAGGATGCGCTGGAGAGGTACCGCTGGCACAACGAGCTGCTGAGGGATGTCTTCCGCCCACTGCTGCCGCGGCGCCCAGGCGGCGGCGCCGACACCGAGGCAGGCGCAGGAGAGGAGACGCAGCAGGGGCCGGAGCAGCGGGTCGAAGCCACCCTGGGCCAGCAGCTGTTGGCAGCGGCGGTGGAGCGGCTGGGTGGGCCACCTGCGCTGGCCGCGGCAGCGGCGGAGCATGCTGAGTCGGCGGCGGCGCCAGAGGCACACCCCGCATGGCAGCCGCCGATGCCTGCTGCAGCCGTGGCACGGTTCATTGCAGAGCAGCAGCGGCGCCGGCTGGCAGAGTGGCTGTCTGGTGGCAGAGGGCTGGCGGAGCAGCCCACCAAAGTAGCGCTGCCTTCTGCATGACTGAGGTGGCTGCGTGCACCTGTTCACCTCCAACGCTGCTCTCCCATTGTTGCTTGACGTGCTGTACAGACTTGACGCGTGCTCTCAACTCACTTGACGCGTGCTCTCAACTATCAGCGAAAACACACAAACAGAAGCAATGGGGAAGGGCTGGTGTGGACGTGCATAACTTGTGGAGAAAAAAACTTGGCGTGGAGATGACGTGCATAACTTGTGGAAAGGGAGGAATGGTGTCCCCCAAAACTATGACTCGAATGAGGGAGTGCAGAAAAGCAGGTCAGTTTGGCAGTGCAAACGTATAGACAATGAGGCTGCTCCTAGAATGTGGTCTTCTCACTGGCCGGCGCGGCGCTGCCTGGGCCGCGCGCCGCCTGAGTGCTGGCTGCACTCGGTTGCCGCCTGGCGGGCTGGCCTGACGGCTGAGGCGACAGACAGGGCGGTGGGCGATGTGGGGTCGGCCCCGGCTGGCTCCCCAGGCGCGGCACCTGCCGGCGGGGGGTAGCCCAGCAGCAGCCCGCTGGCATCCAGCTCCAGGCTGCCAGAGTCGAAGCCCAGGAGCTCCATAAAGCCGCCGCCTGCTGGAATGGCGGGCAGGCACGGGGCGAGGGACACAGCAGGCTGGCGCGTGAGGGGCAGCAGCAGCAGCAGCAGCAGCGGCCTGCCTGAACCCCCAAAACAGCGCGGCACAGGGACCACCCGAATGCACGCTGCAAGCAGGCGTGCGTGCGGGGCGTGGCAGGCAGAACCGCGGCAGCAGCACTGACCGAGAGCGTCGCCTCCGTCTGCCAGCAGCTGCTGGCCGTCCCCGGCGTGGCCCCAGTCCTCAGCCTTGGCTTGCTTGTCGGCAGGGGCGGTGCCTGGGTCGGCCAGGGCTGGGTTGGCTGACCGCATGCTGCGCTCGCGCTTGTGGGAGGGCCGGCAGGGCAGGCCGCCGTCGGGCGGGCTGGCTGCCACGGCTGCGGGCGCGGCGTGAGGGTCGTCTGCAAACCGCACCACGCTGCTGCCCACCCCGCTGGCAACCTTGTCCAGCAGCGGCAGCTGGCTGGAGCCGTCCCACCCGGCCTCCAGCTGCGCCGAATGCAGCTGCTCCACGTCAACATGCAGCAGCTGCTGCGGCTGCTGCCGCTGCTGCTGCTGCTGGGCAGCACCGGGCGGGCTGCTGGCTGTGTGCAGCATCGCCGCAGTCAGGGGGTCTGCCAGCGGCTGCGCTGGCGACAGGATGGACTGGGCGGCGAGCATGGCGTGCGCGGCGGCGGCGGCGGCGGGCGCGGCGCCGCCGCTGCCGCCGCTGTTGGCGCTGCCGCTGTTGAGGGCGGAGGCGGAGGACAGCAGCAGCTGCTGCTGCTGGGCTGCTGCGTTGGCCACCAGCTGGTGCGTGGCTGCAATCTCTGCTGACAAGGCGCCGGCCTGCTGCTGCGGGCTGCCCACCAGCGCGGTCCCAGCAGGCTGCTGGCTGCTGGCCGCCGCCATCGAGGCGCCGCCCGCCGGCGCCGGCGCCTGCGGGTGCTGATGCTGCGGCGCCAGGGTGAGGCCAGCGATGGGGCCCGTGAGTGCAGTCGACTGCGCCTGCGCCTGCATCGCCTGCCCCAGCAGGGAGGGGCCCGTGGGCGAGCCCAGCTGCGGCGGCGAGGCTGGCAGGGGCAGCTGCTGCACCGGCGCCAGCAGGCGCGCCGGCAGGGGGGCCGGCACCGGCACCTGCGCCTGCGCCAGCACCTGCTGCTGCGGCTGCTGGAGCTGCAGGGGCAGCTGTGGGGCGCCCATCCCGGCAGCCCCCGCCGCCATCAGCGTCCCCAGCTGGGGCTGGGCGGCAGGCTGCACCTGGCGCGCCTGGTGCTGCACGGGCAGCGAGGGCGGCGGGAGCGGGACCGCCGCGGGCTGCATGCAGCCCACCGCGCCCTCGCTGCTCAGCTGCTGCACGGCGGCGTACGCCGCCGCGGCGGCTGACGAGGCTGTGGAGCTGCTGCGCGGCAGCAGCACCGAGGCGGAGTTGGTGCGGGGCAGCAGCGTGACGGCGGATCCGATGCGGCGTATCGCGCTGGCCTGCGCCGCCGCCGCCGCAGCCGCGTCGGGTGCCGCGGCCGCGGGCGGGCCGGCCTGCAGCGCGTCCGGTGCTGGCGCGGGGAGCAGCTGCAGCAGCGCAGGCAGCACAAGCAGAGTGTGGCGCCGTGTCAGATGAGACGATCGCGTTGCGCAAAACGCTGCACCGGTGCCTGCGAATCCCTCGCACGCAGACAGCCCCCAGAACCCGGGTCAGCATGCGCGCAATCACCTGCACATGAACGTTTTGCACGGGCCCCAGCTGCAGCGAGCCGCCCGCGGCGGCGGCCGCCTGCTGCCCCTGCTGCTGGTGCGCCACGAGCGCAGCCAGCTGCTGCTGCACCTGGTGCTGCTGCTGCTGCAGGTGCTGCTGCTGCGCCTGCAGCGCCTGCTGCTGCGCCGCCTGCTGCTGCTGGAGAGCAATGTGCTGCGCAGCATGCTGCTGCTGAAGCGCCAGCTGCTGCGCCTGCGCGTGTTGCGCCTGTGCCTGCTGCTGCTGCGCAACCAGGACAGCCAGCTGCTGCTGCACGTGCTGCTGCTGCGCTTGCTGCGCCTGCTGCGCTTGCTGCTGCTGCTGCTGTGCTTGCTGCTGCATCTGCTGTTGCTGCTGCTGCTGCTGCTGTGCTTGCTGCTGCATCTGCTGCTGCATCTGCTGCTGCTGCTGCTGCTGCTGCTGTGCTTGCTGCTGCATCTGCTGCTGCTGAATCAGTTGTTGGGTGGACTCCACTGAGGGTGCCGACTGCTGGGCGCCACCCTGCATCATAGCGGCCTGCGCCTGCGTGGCAGCCGCCGCGCCGCTGCCCTCGCGCCGCAAGCTCGACTGCAAGGTAATGCTGGCGTGCAGCGCCAACCCCGCGGCGCCGGGCTGCGTTAGACCGATGGCCTCCGCCGCCTGCGCCAGGCTGGAGAACTGCTGCGCGGGCTGGTGCTGGAGGGGCACCGCCCCCGGCTGAAGGGCGGCAGCAGCGGCGGCATGAGCTCCTGTGTCCTGCCCCCACTGGTGGTGCTGCTGCTGCTGCTGCTGCGCGCCGGCGGTCCAGTCTGGCACCTGGCCGTCTAGGAATGCATCCAGCGCGCTCTGGGTCACACCACCGCTGCAGTGGCAGGAAAAAGGACAACCGATGGCATACAGTCAGCAAGTTTGAGCCGGCACTGATTTTACTTTGAGCAGCAAGATGGGCCCCATTCCTGTTAGCTCGGAGTTTTGTTTCGCAGGGGGCAAGCCAAAGCTAGCCGAAGGGGAGTGCAAGTGGCAGATGGAGTGTACCAGCGGGGGACCAGGCGCAAGTTGGCTGGGGTGGGCTGCAAGCAGGCGCACCTGGCGAAGGTGCCGTCAGGAGCCAGGTGCAGGCCAGCAAGAGCCCCCGACACGTCGGCTGGCTGGCTGTCATCTGCGGCACGCGGCAAGCAGGCGGCATACAAGGCTCGTAGGACTGCTGCAGGCCGGGAGCCTTGCAAGGCAGAATGATGGCAGCAGTAGCACCACAGGGCGCTGCCACAGCATGGAGTGGTATCAGCAACAACCGGGAGCAAGGGGATGATAAGGCCCCTCAGGCGGCGGCAGCATGCGGGCGGGCCGGCTTGTGGCTGCGAGCTCCGCGGCGGCGGCAGGCCCCAATGCAGCGGCACGGTTCGATTCGGCAGCATTTGGTATCCTACGATGCTCCCGGGCAACCCGACTCGCTAAAACGCATAGCGCACAGAGACAAACGGAGCGTCGCCCCCGGAGGGAGTCCGCGGCAACCAACCTGATGCGTGCACTGAGTGCAAGGAGGCCATGCCTATACGCCCAGAGAGAGTGCGCACCCTTGCATGCCCCACGCGCGCTTGGCGTAAACATGCCCACTTTCTTCCCGCAATCTGCCGGCTGAGAATGGCCACTTGGACGCATTGTGGGGTGGGTTGCGGGTGTGTAAATGCATTGCTGATCACTGCTAAGCTGAAATCAGTTTTGATCTTACCGGAGCCCCTGCTTCACCACCCTTCACCCCACCTGGCCACACTGGGGGTGGCCTGCAGCAGCCAGCAGGCGCATAACAAATGCGTGGCTGGGACGTGGAGCCAAACACTCAATAACTGGGCAGCGGCGGTGCAGGCAGGCGGCATGAGTTGGCGGCCGTGGTGGGCAAGCAGTGCGTGCAACTGCCGCGCTCGGACGCGGCGGTGAGGGCCACTGGACTCGGGCTCTCTCAGCGCAGCGAGGAAGCATTGGAAGGATGCAGCACTTGCAGCAGTCGTCCATAAAATATAATGTCAAAAAATTCAAGTGTTGAAGGCTCGGTCGCCCGCGTCACCAAGCCCCGGCACGATGTAGCCGCGCTCATCCAGCTCCGCGTCTATCATGGCGGTGTAGATGGTGAGGCCCGGGTACCGCTCGCCCAGCAGCTTGAGCGCCGGCGGCGCGCACACGATGCTGCCGAACGGGGGGCAGAGCGGGCGGCGGGCAGGCTGGCTGTTGGCGAGGTGGAGCAGCGGAGGGGGAGCCACAGGATGCGGCAGGCAGCAGCAGAGAGGGCAGCACAGGCTGGTTCTGGGGGGTCCGGGAGCCGCACCTGACGACGCGTATCATGCTGGGCGAGGCGCCGCGCCCCACTACGTCCTCGACCACCTGCGCCAGGGTGCCGCCTGCGGGCCAGCCAGCCAGCCGGGCACACACGCCATGCGCAGGGTGTGACAAGTGACACGACGGCTGTGCCGCTGCAGACCGCATCCCGCAGATGCCTCTGTCGCCGCTGCACAGCCGCCTGTGCTGCCGCATGGCTGGCGTCACCACATACACATCCCGGCCGCCACACCTGTTGCCAACATGGGGTCAGACACGAGGATGCGGTCCTCGGGTCCGAAGCTAGGCGGCAGCTTGTTCAAGTAGCAGGAGGCCTGCGGGGCGCACGGGGTGCTGGGGCATCAACGTGACAGGCAGGCGAGCAGGAAGGGGGAACGGGGGCGTGCAGCAGAGCGCCGGAGCGGCACCAAAGCGGCAGCACCTCCCCCTCTCCCCCGCCGTCTGCGCCAACCGCGGCTGCCGCCCCTGCTGCCCACCTCAAGTGTGTCGTCGTTGCGCACGTAGCCCACATGGTAGGTCTGCGTGACGGGCAGCAGCGTGGCGGTCTGCTCCAGCAGGACCAGCCCCGCCCGCAGGATGGGGACCACCTGCGCCCAGGGGGCAGGCAGGGAGGCAGGCAGGCAGCAGTACAGGTGTGAGCGCCGTGGCGCCGATTCAACCGAGACCGCGGCACATGCCGGCCAGTAAGACGCCAGAGACTTGAGCTTTTCCTTGCAGGCCGGAACGGCAGGCAGGCGTGGAGGTCGAGGCGCCCTGCCAGTGCGGCCTGGCAGCCGCTTCCCTGCCATCAACATCATGCGTGGTCTTGCAGCCCGTCTGCCTGCCCACCCAACAGGCCGCAGCGCACCTTGATGGGCTGCATGGGGTCCACAAACGTGGCATCCGCGACACCCAGCGGCGTCTGCACCTGGCCGTCTATCGTGGGCAGCCAATCGCGGGCCGCCTCGTACACGAGTATGCGCCCCAGCTCTGCGCCCGAACAGGTGACACAGGGCCGCATGCTTGCAACGGACCGACAAGCGGCTGGCCAGACTGTCAGGCCTTCGGCAAAGCTCGCGTCACAGGCTCTCTAGTGGCAGAGAGAGGGCTGGACAGGGCAGGCAGCAGCACGGCGCCCAGTGTGGTGGTGGACTGGCTCACCGCTGGCGGCTGAGCGGAAGATGGAGGAGGGAGTGTCCTTGGTCCGCAGAACTGCCAGCCAGTGCTTAACAAGCGGATGTGGCGGCACGTAAATCTGCACGGCAAGGGCCGAGAAGTCGCGGTTGAGGCATGGGCAGCAGGGAGCAAGCAACGGTGCGCAAACAGGCGGGCAAGCTTGGCCCGCCGACTGGCGGCACAGTTCCGGCCCAGCCGCCCACTGACCAGCATTTGCTGCTTGGGCGGGGCCATGGCTGTGCAGAAGAGCCGTGCGCCTCGCGCAGGACGCACTGCAAGGCTGCCTCGGCGCTGCAATGCCGCCGAATGCCACCGCATTGTTGCCCTCATGAATGGGTCGCCTCGTCTCCTGTATGCCGAGTGAAATGCCGATGGAGGCGATGCGGCACGCAGGACACCCGTAGTTCGTGCCGGTACATTAGCAGTACTGTTCCAAACTTGGCTGCAAGGGCCCCCGGGACCTGCAGTTGACTGCTCATCAGCACTGGCGTGCGCCTGAACCAGCAAGCAGAGCCACCCAGCTGTCTTCTTCAGCAGTGCCCAGCGCTGGGGCTTCCCGGCACAGGCCGGCTGCGGGGGGAGGGATGAAGCGACAGCCCCTGTTTGGAGCAGCAGGGGCCCCCGGCACCGGGTCGCAGGTTGCCACCGCCGCTGCCGCCGCCGCCGTTGCCGTCACCTTCCCTGCCGTCGACGCCACCCAGCACCAAACGCCCCCCCTGGCTGCAGGACCACTCCCACGTGGATCTGGAGGCTCTGGAGGCCGAAAACGACAGGGGCATAGCGGCGCTGAGCGAGCGCGTGGGTGCGCTGCGTGGCGTCACCACCGGCATCCACGGGGAGGTGGAGTCGCAGCACCGCCTGCTGGACAACATGGTGCGTGGTGCTGCCCTGCCCTGCGGCTCGGTGCTACCGTTGCATGAGCGTACTGCGCCGTTTGCGATGCATGCACACTGTTTAATGACGCAGCACAGGCTGGGTTCCGGCGGTGGTGTTCCGTGGCGAGGCCAGGGAGCTCTCGCCCTCATGCCGCCGACCCGTGTCGCCCGCTGCTGCTGCCGCTGTGCAGTCCATGAGCATGGGCGGCGTGCAGCTCAGCCTGCGGGCCACAGCAGACAAGATGTCCAAGGTCATGGCGGAGCCGCACAAGCGGCGCATGGTCTACGTGGCGGGCGGCGTCGCCGTGCTGCTCTTCCTTGTGTACGTGTGGCTGGCGCACTAGCTGGCTGGCAGGGCAGCGCCAAGCGTGTTTGGCAAGCCGTGACGTCATCGAGGATGATCATGCACAGCACTTAGGTTAGTCAGCTATGAATGAATTATATATAGTTTACGCGTTTACAGCCGAACAACGGTGCATAATGTGCACTGAGAAACAGTGAGTTGCACTTTAGTCTGGAGAGTCAGTGGCTGCACTCACAGCATTCAAAGCTGTAGCCTTGGTGTATGACGCGACAGATGGTTTAGGCCGAGACAAGGACATGACGGTGCGCCCCTTCTCTCTGGAACCCTAGTGCGTGGAGATTTAGGTGGAGATTAGGATCAACCAGCAGTAGCCCTTACTAGTAGGGTGCCCAACAGACCCTCCCAACCCACCCACTCCTCCAAGATGATTGTCCCTGTGGATCCAAAGGCTCCCATCAACGCGGCGCCCATACCATCCTCCATCGCCTTTTGCGATGTCTGCCCTCATTGTTGCAGGAACCCCCGCAGCAGGCGGTTCACTTCGGCGGGGCAATCGTGCAGCATCCAGTGGGTGCTGTCGTTCAGCACCTCGATGCGCAAGTCATCAACGTACTTGTCCGTGTTGCGCAGCAGCTGCAGAAGTGGTTAGATGGCGCAAGGGGTCGGGGGCCGCCAGGATCACCAGCCCAGCGAGTGCCAGAGGCATCCAGGAGCAGCATGTGGCGGTCGCGAGTGGAGGTTGCAGGAGCGCTCACCCCCATCCCCAGGTTTGGGTCCTTCCCACCCCAAAGCAACAGTGTGGGCACACTTAACTTGCGCCGCAATGTCCTGCGCAGCAGGCAGCGCAGAGGCGCGCAACGAAGCCGGCAACCATGCACGCTTCGGGATTGGCACACGCAAGAGTGGTGGGTCCCATCTCCCATCTTCAGTCGCAGTATGCCGCCTACCGGTACAGCGCATAGGTTGGGAAGCGGGAGTTATTCACGGCCCTGTAGTAGTTCAGGGCAGCAGTTGGCACACCAGGGCGTCCAAAAGCCTGCTTGTAGCGCTCCATGTACTGCAAATAGTATCCCACAGGTTGAATGACGCTAGGGAAGCAACAACTCCAACACCGTTCCTTCCAGAAGATATTGATATTGCCACAGCAAGCACCATCAGCTCACCTCTGGCGTAATAGCGCCAGCAATGCAGGCCCCCGGTCCCTTTGTTAGGACACCCTCCAGCATAGCATAATCGTTGGCGCACATCAGCGCCTCTCCGAACCAGGGCAGCTGGAAAGTAAGCACATACCTGGTCCAAAAGGGCAGGGCGGCATGGGACACATCAGCCCAGTGACCTCTGCCCTGCTGCAAAACTGATGTGGCAACCGACAGAAATGCATGACAACGCAACACCTACCCATGGCGGATTCTCTGCAACAGATCGCGGTTTTGGTGGTAAAGCCCCGGGTGGGGTGCACACAGCGGAACCAGATGAGAGAAAAGGTGGGGAGCCGTGTAGGCCAGGCACCAGCACATGTGCGCACCCCAGTCGTGGCCCACCAGCGCCAACTGCATGGGGAGGTGGCGCGTGCCCAGGGCGTGACTTTGAGAGGGGCATTGTCAACAGAGGTTAGTGGTCAACACTGTAGCTTGTTGTTAGCAGCGAGGCTATTCTCCACACAAAAGGTGCACCTGCTTCTGCCCACTCTCTCGCAGCAGGCGCTCCGTGACTATTTGAAGGTCCACCAGCAGGAGGTATTGGTGGTATGCCAGCCAACCCTGCGTGGCATGTGTGCACAGAGAGGTGCTAAGAAAGTCACTTGCGATTAGGGCCTGGGTGCCATACACCGGCAGGCTGGCAGAATGGCGCTCATCCGCTTGCAGCACCATGAGCCCAGCCCGGCAGCCACACTGCACCTCGGGCTTGCTGGACTCTCCGTAGCCTCGCATGTCGATGGCTACCACCTCAAACTCGTCCCTGCCAGGTGTAGGCAGCACAAGGGTGGTGTTTGTGTATGCATCAACACAGCATGGCAGCGGTGTGCCCATTGCGCTTGACTTGCCGTTCAAGGTGAGCGGGATTATTGCAAGGAGGGCTGCAAGAAAGCAATGGGCAGGCCTGCCCGCACCTAAACTCGGCCATCTGCTTGGACCAGGTGAACCATGCCTCTGGGAAACCGTGCACCATGAGCATGATTGGTTTTCCGCTTTGCCTGCTGGTACGCACCACGTGCAGCCTGCCAGGCACGGGAGAGGGACATGGCATGTGAATAATGGCGCTGAAGGGGGTCCTCCTCCTGGGCCCCAGCTACAACAGGCGAGGTGGTGGCTTGCAGCTTGCTGATGCTAAGCAACCACTGGGCGCGCACTTGACACCAGGCTGCGTCTCAATCCACTCATGGCTGAGGCCAGGCAGCGGGTCGGGCAGCTGCATGAGGGTGCGATCCTTGCGATGCAGCGCCTTGCGGGGGCTGTAGGCAGGTAGAGCGGCAAGGGTTGAGCTTTAGAGAAACTCACGAATAAAGCGTGGAATGGGGGCGGGTGTGGCGCCAGATCTATGAGCAACTCACTTGACGATGAACTGGATCAGTAGCATGAGGGCCAGTGGCACAGACACTAGCACCGCAAACGCCTGCCACCAAGCCCATATCAGGTACCCCAGCGCGCCGCCAGGTTCCAGGGGGAACCGGGTTGCGACTGGGGCCCCGGTCTGGCGGGCAGGTGCGGGCGGCAACGGCGGCGACGGCGGCGACGGAGGCGAGTGAAGCGTGCCATTCTCCTGCACATTCCGCTGCCTAATCGGCCTTTGCACCAACATTGCGACAGTTGCAAAGAGCCGCGTGAGGCCACCGACGGCCTTCGCAAGGCTGCGATAGAAGAGCTAGTCGGACTGATTTGCGATCACCGTGCCACATTCATTATTCGCGAGGTGGGAGACCAAAGCGTTGAAAGCAGAACGCCCGTGGACCCACGGTGGGAGACGAGTAGACACATTTCCCCTCAGAGCCTGATTTCATAGGCATCCCTTTTGCCGATTGTTGCACTCTCGCTGAACTTTAACCACACACTCTCTGCAGGTCATCTGCAGGCCTTGCACCAGTTACAATCACTTGTCGCAAGTTCTGCAAGACCTCCATGAAGCTGCAACCCTGGCGTCATCTCGGGCTCGCCGCATACATCCGCACTGCAGGCAGCCAGCAACTTTTCATATAACTGGCCGCATGTCAGACAACAGAGGCAGCTGCAGGCTCAACCTCGCTCCGGTCTGGGCTGGCGCCAGTGGTGCCCCACCTTTGAAGAGCCCCTTTGGAAAGTCTTTCTGCAGCGCCGTGTGCGTCATGCGCAGTCCTGCTCGGTCGAACAGCTGCACATAGTACTGATGAGACCTGCGGACAGGTCCACGGGGATGCAGTGCTTGATGGTGTGGGGGTGGCAGCTTGAAGGTGCAGCTCCAGCCAGGCCGGTGACCAAAGCTCAACAGCAAGCTGCACAGCATGGGCTCGCTGCCATGCTTGGCCTGCGGCAGGCATGCCTGGTGACGGAGGCATCCGAGCTGTCCACGATGAACCCCCGCTCACAGACGTTCTCCTTGACAAACAGCACGCCGCCAGGCTTGAGCGCCGCCGCCGAGCGCTGCAGAAAGGCGATCAAGTCCTCTGCAGGCAGGCAGGCAGGCAGGAGGCAGGCAGGTAGGCAGGCAGGCGCAGGCCGTTCAAACAGCCTGCCAAGCAGGCAATCGCATCAAAGGCATTCTCATTCCTTTTAGAAAATGCTCACCATCAGTGAGGTACAGCGCTGCCCACTGCAGCCACACCACATCGTACCGCCCCGGCTCTGGATGGTGCTGCTCGATTCCTGCCTGGTAAAAGTTGACGGCTTTGTGGCCCCGCGGCCACCCATGCTTGCCGCGGCCGCCCAGGCTCTTTCGTGCTGTGTCCAGCAGGTGTGCTGCAGGCAGTGATTGAAGAACAGCAAGAAGAACAGCAAGGGGTGGCAGGCGGGGTGATGGTCTTGGGCCTGGGCCTGGGGGTCATGGGCATGAGGGCAGCTGCTCACCTGAGGGCTCCACTAGGTCGACCTCTTGAAAGTGGTGCAGCAGCAGCTGTTCTGACACTCTCCCCACGCCCGCGCCGCAGTCTAGTGCCACTAAGCGACGCTTTCCTGCCTCGGCCTCTGCCAACGGAGTGCCATACGCCTGTGCATGCAGGCAACATTCCCCATGCAGCCAAATCAGTGCAGGTTGGCGCTGTTGCCCAACTCATGCCCCGGCCCCCTCTGCTTCATCTTCAGCCAGAGCATGCTTTCATGAGTCAGCCCCGTTCACCCTGGTCTCACCTTCTGGAGGAAGGCGCGGCTGTCACGCACGTCGGCAGTGGTGAGGTGGCCATAGCCGCCCAGCACGCCATTCACGCTCGCCTCCTGCTTGTCCCAATAATCGACGGCCGTAGTGTACCACTGCGGCAGCAGAGCAAAGCAAGGCAAGGCACAGGATTCAGGACACAAAGTCGAGCGCAGCCCCATGGCTTTGTCGCCATCGGCACGAGCAACCGCGATGTGTCCCAGGGCCAGCACCCCACCTCTGGGACTTTACTGCCCTGTTTGGCTTGCTCCCACAGCTCCTCTGGAGACTGGAATACCTGCAATGACGGTTGCATGCCGTGCTTTGTATCCCGAGCAACACGCGGCGCTGTAAACTCTGCCCGACACTTAAGCACGAGACAAAGCATGGCTTTGAAGCTCACGTTGCCCTCCTCATCCACCCCTGCAGCATCCATAGCTGTGTCCTAGTGCAATACTTCTGCAGCAAGCGGCAGTGGGGCATGGTGAACCGACCAGTGGCGGCGCAACGACCAGTCGGTGGCGCTGTGCAGGAGAACTGCGAGGGATTCCTGGAAGCATTCTGGCCAATGGTGAAGTGTGCACAGCACAGTTACACGGCTGCATGGTGCGGAGGAGACCGTGCAGGGCCTCCTGCATGGTCTCCTGGCCACTTCACGGCGAAAGCGCTGTTCCTCTATTCAATCGAACGGCTGCGCGTGCTGGCGTTGCAAAGATGGATCCACCTGATCACAGTGCGGTAAACTTGAAGCTTGAACTCGAGCGCGGGGGTGCACACGTGAATACACAACGCAATTTTAAGCAGAGCGCCCGATTCCTGAACAGCAGCAACTCCGTCATGCTTGCCGGCAAAGCCTTCCTTGCCCGCCGCCAGCCTGTCATGATGTCGCGGAGTTTTGTGGTGCACGTCTGATTGTTACAGGCAACCGCCAAGAAAATTAAACCGTCTCAGAACCACCCAGCTTTTGCTGCTGGCTTGGCCGCCTGCACGCAGTCGCGAGGCACAAGCAGGTGGTTGCTTTTTCCAACCCGCGAAACAGCAACCCTCCATTAGCCACCCATAGGAACAGAGCACGCTGCTCAGCCCCACCCAGCCTACCTGCAGCTCGCGCAGCTGCTCCATGAGGTTGCGCTCCTCGCTGCCTATGCTCTTGGGGATCTTGACCTGCAACAGCAGTCGTGGGGGCCGCCAGAGCCAGCACGCGCTCACGTCTGGAAGCCAAGAGCTTGCAGAACAGTCACAAGCAGTTGACAGCGCAGAGCTGGCAGCACACCCCGCTCGGTAACCGGAGCACGACAGGTGGGGGTTGGCCCCGCAGCCGCCCACGTGCCTTGACATGCACCAAGTGGTCGCCTCTTGCGTTCTGGGTGCCTAGCTTGGGCACGCCACGCTTGGACATGACCAGCGTGGTGCCGGGCTGCGTGCCTGCAGGACGGCAACAAGAAGTCAGGCAGCAGGACACGAGGGGCACGAAAGGCCACACAAGGCTCCCGTCGCAGGCATGGGTGTGCACAATCTTCACAGAAAGGGTGGGCAGCAGGTGCACGACGGGCAGGATGATTGGGGCGGCGGCAGCACATGAGCGCTTGGCCACGCGCTGCCCGCCCTGGCGGCTTGCCTGGCGGGATTTTGAGGTCCACCTCCGACAGCTCCCTTTCGCCCAGGGTGGCAACCTTGACGGTGGTGCCCAGGATGGCATCCACATACGAGATCTCCACGTCTGCAGAGCCCGGGTGCAGCAAACCGAGTGAGCCAGAGCAGGGGGAAGAAAAAACGCTGGCTAAAGGGCCGGCGCCGTAGCAGCGCAGTGTAGACGTATGCTCCGCGTGCGGCGCGCAGCAGGTGGGCACGTGGGCGCCCAGCGCCAGCGCACCAGAGTGGATGGTGACGCCCTCGCGGCGCAGCTGCGGGTGCGGCTTCACGCCGATGAACACGTACAGGTCTCCCGGCTCGCCGTTGCTGCACACAGGCAGAGAGAGGCATGAGACGGGCTGCAGCTCTGGCAGGCTCGTCCTTCACTGTTGAAGCGGTGGCAGAGAATGGGGCATTGCGAAGCGAGCTGCCGCAACAGCAAGCAGGTTGCTGGTCGGACTGCAGCGAGGCGCGGCGCTGAGCTCACCGCCGCCCCGCATCGCCCTCGCCCCGCACACGCAGCCTGCTGCCCTCGTCCACGCCTTGCGGCACGCGCAGCGAGATGCGCTTGCTGCCACTGCAGCACATGTGGCGCACAGAAGCGGCCAGCACGTCACTGACGACGAGCTGGGGCTACATGCAAAAAAACACTGACTGGATCCCTCTGTTAGCTGGAATAACACAGTGCGGACATTCCCAGCCAGGCTCACCGCACGCGCCCGTCGCCCTGGCACGTGCCGCATGGTGTAAACTGCTCGCCGGTGCCGCCGCAGGTTGGGCAGGTGGCCACTTGCTGGAACATGCCCAGCGGCGTGCGCACCGCCTGCACCACCTGCCCCGCGCCCTTGCACGTGCTGCAGGTGCTGGCCGTGGTGCCAGCCTTCACGCCGGTGCCGCCGCACGTTGAGCAGTCCTCCAGCCGGCTGACCTCAATCTCCTTGCTGCACACCAAGCAGGCAACCCGGGAGAGCCCAAGAGTGAGGCGCTGCCAAATGGCATCGTGCACCCATCCTGGTGGCTGCATTCAAGAAATGAGTAAGCGATATCAAAGGTCATGGCGCCCTCCTAGCTGTACTCACTTGCAGCCGAAGACAGCCTCTGTGAAGTCCAGCCGCAAGTCATACCTGCAACAGGGAACAGCAAAGGCGCGACAGACACAGTCGAGCTGCTGGCTCCCCAGTGCAAGGGCAGGAAAGTTTTGCAGGCCACACGAGGCTCACCGCTGGTCGTCGCCCGCGACCGGCCGGTTGCGTGACCGCGCCCCGCCGCCGCCCATGCCGCTGCAAGAACAAGGGGTTGCGGGAGGAGGGCCCATCAGACTTCTCTGACTGCCACGACAGCTACTCGCTCCTGAGGATGCTTGTCTACACACAACATCCTGAAAAAGACACCAGCGCACGCACCCAAAGCCGCCCATGCCGCCCATGCCGCCGCCGAAGAAGGTCTCAAAGATGTCAAATGGATTGCTGCAGTTTTGGTGAGGAAGTAAGAAATAAAAGCCGACTCTTAGAAACAGGCCGAGTGTCGAAATGCGTCCTCAACGCCCTCGCGGCGGCCATAGCAAGGCCAAGCACGCATGAGAAGCCCGCTGCTGCACCCCCACCTGAAGTCCCCCTGCATGCCGCCCATGCCGCCAGTGCCGGCCCCCGCAAACCCGCCCTTGAGCCCCGCCTCGCCGAAGCGGTCATAGATGCCGCGCTTCTCGTCATCCGACAGCACCTGCGGGGCGCGCGGAGCGACCCGGGGCAAGTCGCTCACACATGCATGCTGCACTGGTCGGGTGGTGCTGGCATCTCGCTGCCCAGCTGCGCCGCCCCACCGGCTCAGCAGCTGACCACATACTGACGAAACAAATGCGCCACCCAGGCCCCCCTAGACCACATACTGACGAAAGAAATGCACCACCCAGGCTGCCCCTACAGGGCGCCCGCACCTCGTAGGCAGCCGAGATGTCCTTGAACCGCTGCTCCGCATCCGACTCCTTGTTCACATCCGGGTGGAACTTGCGCGCCAGCTGGCGGTAGGCGCTCTTGATCGTCTTCTTGTCTGCGGGTCGCGAGGGGGCGTGAAGGATAGAGTCATCTGCCGCAGCACCGCATCCGGAAGCACGTGGCATGCGGGCAGCCACGGAGCGCATGCATGTGCGCTGCCATGAACCGCACGCACGTGACCCACCTGAGTCCCGCGCCACGCCCAGGATCTGGTAGAAGTCGCGCTCGGCACGCACCACCAGGCCGCGGCCCAGCTGGCGCCGACGCCGGCGTGGCAGCGCCTTGGCGGTGCCGAAGCAGGCTGCAGCCGCGGGAGCCGCGGGGGTACTGGCGCTACTGCAAGGCAGCAAAGAGAGATGGCCGGTTGCTGACCAATGAGGCTCGCGGCGAACCATGCGGGATAGGCCCAGCCTACCACGCCGGAAGCACCAGCGAGGGTGGCGGCAGCGGCGGCGGCGGAACACCACCATTTCTAGGTGGAGCGCCGCCTTGCGCTGCAATGCATCACGCATCGGGCCCGAACGCAGCCAGCCAGCGGCTCACCGGTGCGTCACAGGGCAGTGCCTGGCCAGCTGACAGGCTTGTAGTCTAGAATGGGGGGGGCAGTGCCCCACGCCGCTGCATTCTACCTTCAAAGAACCGCAAGAGATTGCTGTCCGCATGCTGGCTGGCTGAGGAGCGTGGGCGTGGCCGCTATATTCACCAAGTGGAACCAGATCGTTAAAGCGCGGCGCTAGTCCCCCGATGCAGCAGTGGAAGTCCTCCTGAACGCTCAGACTGGGTGGTGTTGGCCCATTGTGCCTGTAAAGGGCACACTCGTGACCCGACCCTGGGAAAACTTTCTTTTGCCTCCAGCGCGCGAAACTCCCCCTCTCGAACGCCGCAGGCCTCTTTCAGGCGGCCGGGTAGCGCCAGTCAGCAATTGGGAGGTCTTCCCGGGCGCTCGGACACTTGCTCGGGCCCTCGCAGAATGGAGGCCGCCAACGAGATTAAACTGTTTGGGAAATGGTCGTTTGCGGATGTGGAGGTGAGAATCAGCGGGGGAGGGCTGCGGCGGCCCATCCGACCGGGAGGCAGCGTGAAGCAGCATGATGGGCGCTGCCGCGCGCCCTGCGGCCTCCTGCGGCCTCTTGACGATGTCAGCATGGCTTAGAAACGATGCGGGGAGCAGCTGGACACCGCATGCGGGCGCGGATGCGCTGTGGTCCAGCAGTGGGTGGAGCTGGGAACCCACTTGCGGGGGCAGCAGCGGCGTGGCAGCGGACGATGTGCCAAGCCCAGCCGCCGTCACCGCGACAAGAGTTGAGCGGGCAGCACATGGGCGGGGTCGGGTAACGCACGCCGGCGCTGCCCTTCCGTCTGCGCAGGTGAACGACATCTCGCTTGAGGACTACATTGCCGTCAAGCCCAAGTATGCGCGGTTCACGACCCACAGCGCGGGCCGCTTCCAGAAGCGCCGCTTCCGCAAGGCGCAGTGCCCCATCGTGGAGAGGTGTGTCCTGGGGGGCGGCGACACGGCAGCCACCCACCCAACTGGCATGGGTGCATGGCTTTTGGCAGCAGCCTGCCAACAGCGACCGGCGGCGTTGCCAGCTGCACTTGGTGTTGCTGGTGCGGGCGTCAGGCCTCAGCCGCGCATGCTGCCGCGGCGCTCCCCATGGTGCAGGCTGACCAACAGCCTCATGATGCACGGCCGCAACAACGGCAAGAAGCTGATGGCCTCCTCCATCGTCAAGCACGCCTTTGACATTGTCAACCTGCTGACCGACCAGAACCCCGTGCAGGTGCTGGTGGACGCCATCATCAACGGGTGAGTGGCGCGCGGCACATCTGCCGGCTGGCTGGGTGCTGCTGTGCTGCTGCTGCTCAAAACGGCTGGTCTGCAGCCATTCTGCCGCTGTTCTGCCGCGTTGGAGCCTGGTGTTGCTTTGGTTGTCGCTGGGCAATGACTGGCAGTGCGTGGGGCAGATGGCGAAAGCTGTTGGGTGGCAGATGTCAGCACATAGCCGGGCGGGCAGCAGATGCAGGCGGAACTGGCCGTGCTTGCATCGCTGTCGCTGTGCTGCCTTGCTCCAGCTGCTGTGCTGTTGTTGTCGGCACCAGCATGTTCCATGCTGCATTATGGCAGGCAGCACGGGGAGGTCACGCAGCCAGACGATGCGTGCCTGCGCTCTTGGACTTGGGCGCAGCAACGGCGGCAGGCAGCGCAGTAATGGTTCGTCGTTGTTTGGCGCTAGGCATCAGCGTGCTGATGTTCGGTTGTGGCCTGCCTTGCTGCCTGCCTCTCTGCAGCGGCCCCCGCGAGGATGCCACCCGCATTGGCAGCGCCGGCGTGGTGCGCCGCCAGGCAGTGGATGTGTCGCCGCTGCGCCGCGTCAACCAGGCCATCTGGCTCATCACCACCGGCGCCCGCGAGAGCGCCTTCCGCAACATCAAGACCATTGCGGAGTGCTTGGCGGACGAGCTGATCAACGCGGCCAAGGGCAGCTCCAACAGGTGCGGCATGGCTGGGGGTTGTTGGCGGGCAGGGCAGGGGTGGGGGTGTTGCTGGTCGTAGCCGAGCAAGCTCTTGCTGACCGGGAACGGGCAGGAGATGGCTCTTTCTGTTGTCCCATGCTCTGTGTTTGGGGCTCTGGGTGCGACAACAGTCAGTTGCTGCCTGCCATGCTGCACCTCTGCCACTCACCACCTGCGCCCTGCTTGTTCTCGCTTTGCAGCTACGCCATCAAGAAGAAGGACGAGATTGAGCGTGTGGCCAAGGCCAACCGCTAAGCGGGCAACACCCGTGGCGCTGCTGCTTGGCAGTCGTGCATTGGCAGCGGCATGTCGGATGCGGAGCTGCCAGTATGTGTGCATGGCGCGGCGGCCGCCGCCACGAGAGATTCTTGTGGAAAGAGCCTTGGGTGCTATGTAACCATGGCATGGCTTGCAGATCGTCGCGCTGCACATTCTTCAGAGTGTGCCCCACCACGCGAGTCTGCCCGGCGCGGTACAATGCAGCAGTTTGAGATGGGCAGCACGTCAGTTACGGCTGGGTGGCGGATCTGTCCTAGCAGCGTAATTCCAGGCGGGTGTCCAGCCTTCCATGATGGTTTACGTTCAGAGTGCCTCCCATGGCGTTCACAGAAGTACCACTCAATCAAACATGGAGGTGGAACAGGCTGTGCTGCTGCGGTCTCCCTAAACGCGCTTTGCTTCCAGCAGGCGGCTGAAGTAGAACTGCGTGGATGTCATCTCGCGCTTGGTCACCTTGAAGCCTGCGGCAGGGGGCAGCGCAGGGCTCGGTGGTGCAGCAAACCGGCTCAAGGCAGGGTCGTGTAGCAGGCGCCCCGCGCTGCTGGACATGGCGCCCACAGCTCGGCCCACCTGCGCGCGCCAGCGCCGCCTCCACATCGTCTTCCTTGTGCAGGTATGCGCGGGTGGCCTGCACCATTCACGCCACGGCGCATGAATAAGAGTGTAGACGTGTGCAAACCCAATCAGGCGGGCACCTGGTACACACACAGTGGCAAGATAGTGCCGGCAACCAGGGGCTGCCCACAGCCGACCATGAAAGCATGGCGTAGGCTGCCCAACACTCGCCTTGCTGGGCCCCGGGAACAGCTCGCCGATGCGCTTGAGGATGGTGAGGGCGAGGGTGTTGGGGGCAAAGGAGATGATGAGCCGCTCGTCTGTAGGGAACCAGGAGGCGGAATCAGCAGGAACACACACAGCGGGCACCGGCAGCGACTAGCAACCAGCGACGTGCATACGATCAAGGGCCAATGCCAGTGGGCGCAGCGGGCAGCAGACCCCCACCTGCCAAGCTGGCCAGGTGCTGCACCATGCCATCCACCTTGTCCTGCGGGTGTCCCCACACCCATGCAGGGGTCAGCAGGGGGCGGTGCAAGCAAACAGAGCCCCGGCGGGCCCACATCAGGCATCACCTGCGGGTAGTGGATCATGACATCCAGGCAGCACACGGTGTTGTACCGCCCGCTGCAGCTCTCCAGGTCCATCGTCTCAAATTTGGGGGCGACCTGCGGCGAGGGAAACCTCCAGTTGCAAGCGTGAAGCATAGTACAGGTGGGTGGCCACTAGGGCTGGAGATGTCGCCGGGGGCAGGCACCGCATGCTGTGACTGGTCGAGCACACACGCGCACCTGCGGGGCCTTGGCGCCGGCGGCAATCGTGGCCTCGTACCGCCGCTGCGCCTCGCCTGCCATGGAGCTGCTGATGTCGCTGGCACTCACGGTCGCGCCCTGTGGCCCATGGCACAGCGAGGCGACGTCAGAACAGGCCGGTGGCGGCCTCGTCCCTGGGCGCAGTGCATGACAAGGCACAGCTGAGAGAGAGCAGCACGCAGAGGGATGCGCCCGCGGCGGCAGCGGCTCACCCGCAGCGCCAGCGGGATTGACAGGCTGCCTGTGCCGCAGCCGGCGTCGCAGATGGTGGTGCCCTCCACACCGCCCTCTGCAGCAGCGAAGGGCACACTTGAGTCCGGTGTGTGCACACCAAAGCACCATGGCTTCCCAGCCCAGCCCGCCCGTAGCCGTCAATGCCGGCAAACGCAGCAACCAAGCCGTGCTGTTGCAGGCAAACCCAAGCCAAGCGTGGCGCAGGCTGGCCAGTCACAGGATGGCAGCAGCAGCGGCAGCGGCGCTCACCCTCGTCCACCCAGCGCAGGACCTTGTCCACCGTCTGGGCGTGGCCGTTCCGGATGTCCATCTGCACCTGCACCACAGCAAAGCACACACGGCGGGGGGGGGGGGGGCCGGGGGGCGGGGGAGAGCTCGCTTATCGCTTATGCCAACGTTCAGAACACCAGGGCCCGGTTGAAATGCCAGGCTCCGAGAGGGATGCCTGTGTGCGGTCTCGCCCAACTGCTGGGGCCCCCTGTCCCGCCACCCACCACCCACCTTGTTGACCTCATCCGTCTCGCCGTAGATTTTGTTCCAGCGCTCAAAGCCTGCGGTGTCAAAGTACTTCTTCACAGCCTCCAGCTCGCTGCCCCCCGTCTCCTCCATCTGTGCAGAGCGCCTGCTTGAGGCAGGGAGGGAGCAGGAACAGGGCTGGCATGAAGGGCTTGATAAGGGCCTATCACCGTAAGCAGGCAGCGGCAGATGGTCGCTTGGCAGGAGCGATCACAGCGGCGCGCCGGCAGTTCCAGCGCACCGCTTCTGGGGGTCTGTGATGACCAGTGCCGCGGATAAGGCGGCAATGGCCGCGCCGCCACCCAGCGCCAGGCTGACGGTCGCGCCATCGGCCACCTGCAACAGTTAGTGAGGGTGCAGGGCGGTGTTTTCGAGGAGGATGAAAAGATGCCGGACAGCAAGTTGGAGGCAGGAGGCAGTGCTGCCACGTGCTGGGCCGGCAGCACCCCACCTGGCTCACAGCCTCGACAGCTGCCAGCGCAGGGGCCGCAGTGGCGACTGCTTGCAGCGCTCCGGCGGCGGTCAGGGCCGCCGCCAGCTGCGGCCGCCTGTGGTTTGGCTGCGCGCTGCAGGTCACACGGCAGGACACATTCTGCCGGCGGACAGGCTTCCCTCCGCACTGAATGCGCTGGCCCAAGCCAGCGGAGGCCATTACTGCAAGAGGGTGGGTTGCGGGGCGGATACACCAGCTCAACTAGCAAAATGCGTTGCGAGGGAACGGCTGGCAATCAGTTTCTCCGTGCATTTATCTCATCGAGATTGGTGTTTGTATTGCCGGTTGGGCGGTACAAAAGTGCCTCCACGACCGACGCGGGCTGTGGCCATCACAATGAGCCCGTGGTTCATGGCCGGTGCAGCTAGCCTGAGGCATGGCCAGCGTGCTGACCAGTGCAGGTGTCACACGTGGGCACCCTGTGACACGCAGCAGCAGGAGGAGATGGAGCAGCAGCATCCCTCTCCACCCCAGCCGGGGCAGCAGCAGCATCCCTCTCTATCCTAGGAGAGGACAACACACATGTCGCCTCTGTTTAACCCAAAGCAGCAGCTCGGGAGATAGGGCCGAGGAGCCTGTCTCCCAGGAGTGGCAGGAGCAGCCGGCACACGCGGAGCAGCAGCAGCAGCAGCCACACCTGCCGCACGTCAGTGCAGCGCCGCCACCGCCTCTGCCCGCCGCGACAAGCAAGTGGGCCCTGGCAGGCACCCTTGGCGTGGTGACAACAACGGCCATTCTCAATCGGCTATTATACAAGGTACGGCGCCCACGGTCCTGGACCCCTGCATGCACAACCCGAAACACGGCCTGGACGCTTGCATGCACGACCCATCAAAGCGCTGCTCATCATGGCTGCCTCATCATGGCTGCAGATGGCACTGGTGCCACTTAGCGGGCACATATTCTTCTTAGGGCAGCTGCAGACATTTTCCTACTTGCTCGTGTATTTTGCAGTGCTTGGCCTGCGCTTCAGGTCTGCATGCCCGAACCGGAATGCTGTGCAAGGCGCTGAGCTTTAGCAGCGTTTGTTGTCGTGGCCAGTGACAGTGGTGCGGACAACCAGTGACCCTCCTTTCTCGTATCACCGCTGATGCTGCAGGTCTGGCGTTGTGACGCGGCAAATGGTGCGCCTCCCATTCATGATGCCGGGCACCTTTGTGGCGATAGGAGCAGTGGAAGCTTTGGCATCGTTGTTGGGCTTTCTGGGCGCCGCAAACCTGCCAGGTGGGGCGACGTTGCTGGTGAGGGCTGTGCATCCAGCAGCGCCCACATGCAAGGTGCAAAGTTGTTCGCATGGTGCAGGCGTGGTGCTGCCACTGCTAGCACAAACCATTCTGCTGTGGCAAGTTCTGCTAGCAGTGACTGTGCTCCGCAAGCGGCTGAGCGTGTCCCAGGCAAGTGGCAGCGAGGCAGCGGACAATGGTTGTTTGCTTTTGCACCGTGGAACCTTGTGGAGTGTGAGGAGAGAGCGAGAAAACAGACCTGGACTTTGGTGGGGGCACTTTCAGTTTTTTTCCTCTCCTGCGCAGGTCCTAGGAGTAGGCCTAGTGATGGGAGGCGTGTGCCTGGCGGCGTGGCCCCAGGGCGGAGGCAGCCCTCTGGATGGTGGGTGTGCACCAGTGACGCAACAGCATCGATAATAATAAATTGTAAGTGTTTCATGTTGTTGTCTTGCCATTTGTTTTTTCAGGCATCAATCCCATGTACGCGGCCATCTTTGTTGTCTCCATGCTCTTCCCTGCCCTCGACACTCTGCTGAAAGAGCGCGTGTTCAGGCTTGCCCGCGTGAAGCTGGGTACCGACCTCGACCTGTTTGTCTGGCAAGTCATGGTCTACCAAAACTTACCTGCTATTGAAATGTTGTTCTGAATCTGCCTTTCTTGTGTTTGCAGCAATTCGTTTGGCTCGCTCTCCCAATGTGTCTTTGTCTTCCTTCTGCTCCCTGCCATGACCGCCATCCGCGGCATGAGCATGCGGGACCTGCCAGGATACCTGGCCGAAGGTGGGCATAGCTGGCCGTCTTGCCTCCCAGGCTGGCAAACCAGCGAATCGCAGGCTTGTATCTGCTGTGGTCTGCCTGGTGCAGGCTGGCAATGCTTTAGAGGCATCACACCCTCGTGCGGTGGAGACTGCTCTTTGAGCCCTGCGCTTCCAGTAGCCTACATCCTGTGTAACCTAGCATTCAACGTGTCAGGTAGGGCAGATGCATGCAACCCCATGTCAAATCGGTGTTTGCTACCACGGTCTGCCAACTCCAGCCTGCCGCCTTGCTGCCCGCCATGGGTTTGGTAAGCACACATTGCCACCCGTTTGTCGCGTGCCAATGTAGCTCTGGAGCTCATTAAGAGTGCTGGGAACGTCGTCATGAGCCTCACGATGTCGGCCATCGTCCCATTGACCATCCTGGCGTTTGCGACAAATTTGCCTTTCCTGCCCCCAGCGCCGCCATTGGGCCCGTGCTTCCTCCTGGGCACAGTTGGGCTTTTTGCGGGGTTGTTATTGTTCAACGCTGCATTGTGGATTCCGACTGTAGTGCAAGCAGTGAAGAGCTGGGCAGCAAATGCAGGTGACGGCAGTGGCGGCGCACAGCTTGCTGCAAACACCAAACAATGAACGGCATTGAGTTGAAGCATTGCACAAAAACTTGTTCTGTCGGTTTGCTTCACATGTGTGCCTCGGCCCTCGGTTCCTGATTCCTCATCAATTGTTGTAATTGTCCAGCCCTAGATCTCGTAGCGCAGCTGAACCGGCATCGGCACAGGACGGGTAGGCTGCCTTGAGCTGGCGAAGCAGGCCCTCTGCCCCCTTGTCCAGCAGAACGGCCCGCACATCCGGGTTCCTGCATGCAATCCAGCCAAAAGAGCCACAGTACATGATGTGACATCCGCCAAACCAGCCACCTCAAACTCACTCGATCTGCCACTGCTCCCTCACCTGGCAGCGCTGTTGCGAATGGCCATGCACGCCTGCCGCTGCACTGCTGTGGCTGAACGGTTCTCCTTGCCGTTGGATGATGCAAGTGCGACGCGAATCAGCTCCAGCATGGCATCGAGACATCCGCACTCCAACGCCTGCCAGCATTAAAACTCAAACATTAGGCGTGGAGGGCGACAGGAGGAATGCGTGCACACACCCATACCTCAACGACTGAAATGCCACTACGCTGACAGATGCTGATCATGCATGCGACACCGTCAGGTCCACGCCCAACCAACCTTGGAAGCTGCCTCGGGGTTGCGCAGCGTGGCATTTGTCAGCAGGCCCAGCGCCTGCTCCAGGACCCCAGGGTTACTGCTGTAGGCCGACAGCAGAGCAGCAAGCAGCTCCAAGCCGCCCGACTCCACCAGCAGCGTCTTGTTACCGTCACTGTTGACTAGCTGACGCAGCAGCGCACACAGCGGGCGCACCAGGACAACATCAGCCATGCCTGCAAGCACCGGGGAATCATCACGGCGTGTCCAGTGCCAGACCAGGGGCACGGGGCCTGCTCCGTCGATACGTGCGCCGCTGGCTCCCTGCTGCTGCCAACAAGTGTCACCCTCACCTGTCCTCAGAATCTGCAGGATCAGCTGCATGCCGCCCACTGCCGCCACCTCTTGACAGATTTCCTCGTTGGCAGCTACCTGCTTCAGCGCACTCGCCACGGCAGCCGTGACCTCTGGCAACTGTGCCGCATAGCCCCGCAGCGTCTCCACCAGCTGCTTGGCGGCTCCGTCCTTGGCCAGGGCCCTGGCATTGGGGAACGCCCTGCAGGAGCAAGGCATACCTTGATAAGCACTGGGTGCTGCAGTGCTCGTTGCGGGGCAGCAGGTTCAAAGGCCGCAGGGCAGCAGAGAAATTTGGCTGCAAAGGCACGGCGTTTCATCGCCGCATCTGCTTGGCATTTGCGCAGGCACGAGTGCGGCAGGCATCACGCACAGCACAGTGCGCCCCCGCTGCCCCACAGCTCGCCTGGAGCCAGGCTGGGTGTCGTCATCGGGGTTGGTCAGCGCGCACAGCACGGCGCAAGCCGCCTGCACCGCTTCTGGCTCATCCGCATACCGCTGCATCACCTCCAGGCAGCTGCTCCCGCACCCCGACTCCATCAGCGCCGCCTTGCCCTCCTCGTTCTTCTCTGCGCTGGCAGCTGCCGCCTGCAGTGCTGCAGCAGCCAGCGTGCCGCTGCAGGGCTGGCTGGAGAGCACTCGCTGCAGTGCGGGCACGCCTGCTGCCTGCAGGAAATCGGCCTGCAGCTCCCTGCTGCCGGCGCCCAGCAGGGCTGCCAAAGCTTGCAGGATGTGCAGCAGCGCGTGCTGGTCAACGGCTGCCGCTGCCAAGCTTTGTACGACTGCCTGCGCCGCGCCGGTTCGGTGGAGCACCAGCGCCGCACCCTCGCTGCCGGCCCCCGCGCCGGCAGCCGCTGCAATGTCATTGGCTGCCGACGCCATGGCGCGGAAGTCGCCGGCTGCTGCCGCTGCCTGCAGTGCGTGCACCGCCACGGTGGCAGGGTGGGAGGTGATGTCGCCTCCGTCAACCGTCTTGATGATGTTACTGAGGTCCACCCCCTGCGCCGAGAACTCGTCGACCGCGCTCTTCAGGGCCTCCTGGGGCTGCAAACGAGGGAGGCACGAGGGCAGGAGCACGAGGGCAGGAGCACGGTCAATGTGGCGGCAGCGGCGGCGGCCGCCGCAGTGGCATGGCGCAGGAGGGCGCCCGGGGAGGCCGCTCTCATTTCACCTCCATCTCAAATTCATCGATATTCTCTCGCACCGCTGCGTCAAAGGTCTCCTGCACGGAGAGGAGGAGGCGACGCCGAATTGAATGGTCACTGCACACGCCGACTTGACCCAGCTTAACATGCCTGCGTGATGCGCTTGGTCCCGGCAAACTTGTCCAACTGCGCTGCCGAGAATGTTGCCATGGCGGTGATTCGAATCGGTCGGTCCGTGGCCCCCAGGAGAAACACAACGGATTGGCAGCAAGGATAACAGACAAGGATTGCTAGAGAGAGCTGACCGGTTGAGCGCGGCAACGTACTGCCACATGTGGCGCTGGGAATGTGACTGTCCAACTCCCCCCAACATCGGTGATTAGAACTCGAGCCTCCAGTCTACATTTTGCATCTGGCAGCTCTGAATCGGAAGTTGTGGAAGGTCCCAGACGATGGACACCATGCTTCAGGGCGGCCTGATCAGTCTTGCAGGAAGCGGCCTGCTGTGGGCCACGGGAGAATTGGCACGCCAGCGCGTGAAAGGTTTGAAGTCTTTCAAGAAGCTGCCGAACCTAGCAGGTGGGGGAGTTATGATGCACCATGATGCCGCAAGCAATGCTGCTTCATAGAAGGCACGTGCCTCTGTTGCAGTGCTCAGAAGGGCGCATGATAACGCTCCGCAGCTGGTGGGCGTCAGGGCACGAGTGGCAGCTAGCTCTCCCATCATCGGCGAGCTTTCTGGCCGTCCAGCTGTCATTGTCAAGGTGCAAAGCGCCCACACCAAAGCTTGAATCTCTTCATGGCGCATTTGTCCAGCGCAATTTCACCCTGAACCTGTGCAACTGCAGACAGAGGAGGACCAGGTCATTGAGAAGCGGGTGCGATCTGGTGGCGAGGAGATCAAGTGGGAGAGGATTGCTCGTCCTCTGCGGAGCGAGGTGGTGGAGGCGGATTGGATGCTTACTGATGGCACTGGAGTGGAGCTGCCTGTAGAGCGCGGTTCCTCAGAACCGCTGCAGTGCCTGGAGCAGACAGGGAACCGCCTGTGAGGAGAAAACGCCCGGCTTGCGAGCTAATCGTCACCTTGCCCAACATTCTTGCATCACCTTCCACTCACCCCGGATCGCCTTCATCCTCCATCCGCAGCATTCCTGCAAACCAGAAGGGTCGTGACCGCATGGCAGAGGAGGAGCTGGGGGAACGCCTCGTGGGCATAGATCGCACGGAGGAGGCACTATTGGTTGGCAGAGTAATCACCGCGCTGGGGGTCCTTGACACAGCAGTGGATTATCCAGCAGCCTTCCAGGTGTGCGCATGGCGGTGCCATGAGAAGTGGGAGACCTGTAGGCCCTAGTTTGCAAAAAGACGACTCCAACAATATTGATGGCCGTCTCCCACTGAGGTCTGCAGAATGCCCCACGCAAGGGCGGCCAAATGCTTGTGCTAAAAGTGGCAGAGGTCTCGCCCAAGCCGCTGGAGCAGCTAATCGACGACTCCCGGCAGGCAGCCGAGATCTGTGACATGGGCACCAAAGTGTTGGCAGTGATTGGCGGCGGCATGCTCCTTGGGGCTGGGGTGGCCTACGCGATTGACAGCAGCAACAGGCGGCGGTGAGTTACGATATACCAGCAGCAACAGGCGGTATATAAGAAAGAAGAAGAAGATTATTCTGCTGATGTTAAATGCTGATGTTAAAAAGGCTTATTTAGAAATTGGAAGCACCAAGTCCCAACGCATAGTCGTAGTACCACTAGCCACGGGCAGTTTACACAAAGATAACTAAACGTCAGATATCTTGGATCGGAAACAGTGGAAATTGGCCAATGGTGTACTGCGCCAAGCGGGCGAGGAAATGTGACTGTTCAACTCCCCCCATGTTTCGGTAAAACCAGCTTCAATTGTTTTTTTCGAGTCAAAGACTGCGCAGGTGTAGTAGATGTCCGTGCAATAGTAGATTACCGTGCAGTATGGATAAGTTTACGCTCATGGGCAGCGCTCTCGGCTGTTTTGCTAGTGCCAGCACTCTGTACATTACCGGGAAGCAAGAAAAAGACCGTGCCAAAGCTTGGCGGTCTACTGCAACGCAGCTGCCGAGTCTGGCAGGTGGGTGGAGAAATTTCACCTTGGTGGCGTCACCAGTTTGTTCAAAAAAGCAAAAAGACCATTTGCTGCTGCCCTCATGATCATGTTCAGAGCTTAGAAACTTGATTGGCAAGGAGCCGCGTCTGTTGCGGGTTAGGGCAACAGTCGCAGCACGCACTCCCATCATCGGCGAGCTGTCTGGTCGTCCAGCTGCCATTGTGGAGGTGATTGGTGTGGTGGAGGGGGATGCCAGAAGTTTCATGTTTTGCCCTATGGGGCAAGTGTCAATTGCCATCGGCCTAACCGGTGCAGGCAAGGGAAGAGCAGGTGACTGAAACGCGTCTGCAGCCGGAGAGTGGCATTGAACAGCGAGCAAGCAGCACCACCAATACATCCAAGAGCAGCGGCAGCGCGCCAGATGACATTCATGAAGAGACATGGGTGCGCCAGAGCCGACCTCTGCGGAGGGAAGTGATGGAGGCAAAGTGGTGTTTTACTGATGGCACCAGTGTGGAGCTGCCCGTAGAGGGGGGCTTGATGGCAGCGCGAGAATGCTTGGAGCTGACAGGCAACCGTCTGTAAGTGCCTGCAGGTTTCTGCTCCTTCAACTTGGGGGGGGGGGGGGATGCATGCATCCTCTTTGAGCGCGTCACTCCATCCGCTGCAAACAGTGGTTTTCCAGCGTCCCTCCTCCCATTCCACTGGCCCCTCCTGGCGCAAGGCCGCAAAGGGCGCCAGCCTGCCTTCGCCGGGCAAAACAAAAATTTGGCCAGCGAAATGTGGCCATAGAGCAGACAGAGCGCGCACTGCTGGTGGGCAAGGTAATCACCGCGGTAGGCGTTCTCGACACGGCAGAGGATCATCCCACTGCCTTCCAGGTGTGCGCTTGCGGTGCCACGAGAACTGGGAGATTGCAAACAGATGGCCCCAACAACTCTGACGGCCGTCTCCCACCGAGGCCTGCAGAATGCCCCACGCAAAGAAGGCCGCATGCTAGTGTTCAGGCCTGTTTTGATCGTCCCAAAGGCGTGCCAGGAGCTCATCGACGAGGTGGAGCAGTCTGCGGAATCAAAGCAGCTGGGCGCCAAAGTGTGCGCAGTGGCGGGCGGCGGCCTGCTGGTGAGCGCTGCCGTAGTGCATCTGGTAGACCGGCACAGAAGGCGGCAGCCGTGAAGGGAAGGGCCCCAGCAGAAAGTGGCCAGATGTGATTTCAAAGATGTGGGTTCACGTTAACAACCATTAAATCATGCCTCAGAACTCCATTCACTGTGTCACGGCCCCTGCCAGGATGGCTGGTTGCGCAGTGGGCCCTGCCCGGCATTGACTGCAGCCCGTGGGGTGGGTGTGCTGCCCAGCACGGCCGCCGACTCCTCCGTGCTGTTAGAAACAGTCCGCTGGAGCTTCTGGGGCGTGGTGATGCCACGTGGCCGAGGGTCCGCCACGGGGCCCAGCTCCACACTCTTGACGGTGTTGAGCGCGCCACCACCCTGAAGCTCGCCGTTGCCGCCGCCCCCACCGCCTCCGGCCACGCCCCCGGCAGTGGCGGCTGTGGCCCCAGAAGTGGTGGGAGAGAGCCCGCCCTCGGGGTCGTGCTCATCCTGGTCCTCCTCCAAGGTGCGGTAGTGCCTGCAACACACCGCACAGCATTTGCCCGTTGAGACACAGCGCATGGCATCTAAGAAACCTCCAAGCAACCACTGGAGAAACTCTGTGGTGCAACATGCAGGCACAGCAAGGTCTAAATGCATGCACACCTGGAGCCGCCAAATGCGCTGCGAATGCGATCCCGGGTCGCCGGCTGCAGCAGGGCCACCGCAAAACCCAGGGACAGCACCGCCACCACCGCCACAAGCAGACCCACAGCCACGCTAAAGCTGCTGCTGATTTTGTTGGACGGGGTTGCAACGCCGTCGCCACCGGCTGCATCCTGCTGCGGATCCCTCTGCGCGCTGCCAGGCGCCCGCTGCTCGCTGCTGTGCTCCGGGCGGTGCATGGGCACCTCAACCTGCTCCTGCTCCTGCTGCTGCTGCTGTTGCGTCTCTTGTTGGACTGGCTGCACGTGCTGTCCCTCGGCGGCCGAGGCTTGCTGGCCAGCGCCTGGCAGGTCGACCGGCGGCCGTCGCTGACTGGCAGCCTGCGTGGCATCCCCCCCGTCTTGCTGCTGGTCCTGGGAGACCTCATCCAGCCCATCCTCATCATCCACCTCAAAAGTCTCCTGCTGCTGCTGCCGCATGGGCTCCATCAAGCAGTCGCCGTCCTCTGCCGCCGCTGCAGCCGAAAGCTCGCCGCTGCCCTCAACAGCAAAGAAAGAGCAGGGCGGCCGCTGCATCTCGCCCAGCTCCTTGCACAGCGCTGCAACAGCAGGCCCACACGGGTTTGAGACTGACGTGACGGTTCAACATCCAGCCCACACGATACCCAAGGGCATCCGCAGGCTCTCAAGACTGGCGGCCTGCCCCGCAGCGCACCTGGCCCAAAGCCCACACGCTGGTTTGCCCGGTCATACCGCACCAGCACGTTGCGAAATGTTATGCCACCAAGCAGGGTGCCTGCACGCATTCAGCGTGTGAGCATATGTCATTGATGCCATAACTTCATCTTTGGTTGGAGTTTTGCAGTTCTAAACAATAAACGTTTCATCAACAGAACTGTGGCGAGCACTTTCAAAGGATCAGCCCACCTGCGCGGCCATTGTCGAACACTCCCAGGCAGTACTTGCCGCTGTTGAAAGTGTGGACGAACAGGTAATTGAGCGGGCCCAGAACTAGAGAAGTGCCCTGCATCAAAGCAGTGGAGAGGCGACAGTGGGTGCGGAACGGTGAGGCATCGCCCGTCCACTGTAGCAGATGGTGATGGTGTAGCAGCAGACAGGAGGGATGATGGCAGGCTTGGGCGCTGCCCACCCCTTCCCGTCCTTCCACTCTTCCCACACCTGGTCAAACTGGACTTCCATGCTAGGGAAAACGGACGAAAGTGCCTCAAGGTCATCATGGCTGGGTGCCTGGCCAAAGCAGATGTCGTCAAATTGCGGGTCCGGCCCCGGCACGCGTTTGAGGCCATGGCTCAGCGCATACTTCTCCACCGCTGCAAGCATAGCCAGCGCCGGAAGCAGAGCGGAGTTGATGCGGTTAGTGCATGTGCCGCATAACCCCAGCAGCATGTGTTTGGAAGGCGGCAGCACTTGCCTCCAGCAAATGCCTTGAACACGGGACTGGGCATGTAAGTGAATGTGGTGCCGCTGTCCAGCACGGTACCGTAGCCCTGGTCAAAGAGTGACTGCAAAGCACGGAGCATGCTGTGAATGTGCAAGTAAGCGGCAGGAGTCGGAGTGCACCAGCATGCCAGGTGCTGCCTGCTACAACTTCAATCTGCACCTGCGACACCGGCAGAAGTTGGCCCTCCACGGCCAGGCTGAGCATTTTGACGTTGTAGTAGAAGGGGTGGGTGGTGCTGGTGAGCAGCGGCGTGTACTGCAGCGAGATGCTCCCGGGCACTTCTGCAGAGTAGGGCAGGGGCCGCACACGAGCCAAGCGTGGTTGCATGTGTTCAGTCACGCCAGCAGATCCAGCCTCAGTGCACAGGCTCCTGCCTGAGGCTGCAACAAAGGAGCTCAAGTTGAAGCAGCACCATCACACTCACCTGCATCTCCCAGCAGCAGCGCGCCATCGCCCTCCACCATGCCAAAGCACAGACTGAACACGTCATCAATCACCCCAGCCTTGACTAGCTGATTCACGACTGCAAGCAACAGGCCGGTGACAGAATGGCAAGCATTGGCAGCTAGACGGGGGGGTTGCAGCAGGTTCAAACAGCCGCGCAGGTTTAAACGGCCGCCGCTGGCGAGAACAGAGACCACACCTGATGCATCGCTGTTCCCCAGCCCAAACAGGCCGTCGGCGCGCTGCCTAAAAATCTCGCCAGTCTCCCGGGTTTCACATCCGAATATGATGGGGGCGCCGGGCAGCCCTGCAGATTGTAGCGGTTCATTTCCTTAGCAATCTTGGAGGCCCTCGCAGTTGGCCGCAAGTCTACAATCAACTCACCATCATGCAGCGCCAGGACATCCTCCAGCAGTATGCCGCTGCTGCTGCTCTGCTCCGCATAGCTGCGGGTATAGGTGCACTGCTGCGTGGAGCAGCCGCAGCGCGGCGAGCCACAGCTGCATTTGGGGCTGGTGCAGGATATGCGCGAGGCCGTGGAAGATGCCTGCACAAACACGTGCATGGCACGGCCTTCAGTCGGCGCCCGCCAGCCTGCCTTATGCAAAAGCGACCGAATCACACCACAATCAAGCAGGTGGCGGCCGTCAAGACGACCAGCAGCAAACAGCGAGGGGGCACCTCTGGGTCAAACGCGGCATCCTGGTGGTTGGGGCCGCAGCCGCTGCCGCAACTGGAGCACGGCACGTACGTCATGGTGCTGCCCGTGTCCACAATAACCGCAAACTTCTTGGCTGGGGTGCCGAGGTAAAGTGTCGCATAAAAATAGCTGCAGCGAGGCAACCATCACGAGCGACTCGGTGGGCAATGCAGCTGACCGCGGCATGGCGGATTCCAGCCCAGCGCCACCAGTGCGCCACGCATGCCGCACACACAGCCAGCGGATGGAAAGGCAGCTGCCTCAAAATACAACACCGAGGAACCCTTTGTCGCTCCAAACCGATCCCAGGACTGAAACAGCCAGCCTCGCAAAGGACCCACTCACCCGTAGTCCTTCACTGCACCGTGCAGCGGCATCGTGGAATTGCGCAGCAGCGAGCGCCTGAAGGTGGGCTGAAAGTCGCGCGCCTGGACTCGGAAGCCGAAGGACGTTCGCTTGCCGCTGTGCCTGTAGCCTGAGCTGCTGCCGCCAGTGCCGCCAGCGCCTTTGCTGCCCACAAACAGCATCAGCGTCAAAAGGGCTACCCACGAGGAACCAGCGAGTCCCGCCATGGACAGGCACCTCTACAACAGCGCCAAAGCCGGGCGGGAGTGGGGTGTGGAACGGCGGCGGCGGCGGCGGCGCATCGATCTCCGCGGCGCCGACACCCGCCGTCACCAAGTCAGCGCCCCGAGGCCTCAGCCACCCCCACGGCTGGCCCTGTGCAGGCGCTGGCCCAGGAGCAGGCCACGGGCCCGAGGCGGGCCGCTCACAACACCGCGGCGCCCAGCAGCGCCACCTCCCGCCAACTCTGCAGTCCCCGGCATCCAGTGAAAAAGTACTTACCTTCAGAACCAAAAAAAGGAAAAACAGGAGGGCAGGCGGGCACGCTGCCGGCACTGCTGTATGCCGACACTTTCTGCACCGAGGACGGCACAGAAGCAGCTCGCATTTGAGGTGAAGTACGGAAATGCGCGGGTGTACTGCGAAAACCCTATGTAGACACCAGCAACCAGGGAGGAGCCGCGCGTCTAAATTCATGCAATGTATGTTGGCATTGCCCTCCCATCATAAGATCAATCCGCTGACATGCTCAACAGGTGTCGCGCGCTGGGTTCAGCTTTTTTCTCCCACTGGAATGGCGTGTCGTTGGGGACGATCGAAATGTCGGCAGAATCCACACGACGCCGACATGCACACCTGCATGCGGCCTTGGCGGCGGCAGTACCAGCGCGGAGCGGAGGCGCCGCGGAGCCGAAGCCTCTTCGCGACACCATTTATGCTCTGAGCTCTGCCCCTGGACGGGGTGCACTGGCGGTCATCCGTATATCCGGGCCCGCATCAGGTGGGATTCAATCTAAGCATGCCCCTGGCTGCTACACCCTGCTGCACCCTAATTCCTGATGTACCCACAAGCAGACATGGCACTGAAACACTTGATGATGCGAGATGAGCTGCCACCTGCCAGAAAAGCCACCCTTACGTCGCTGACTGCACCCAACGGCGAACTGCTGGACCGCGGCTTGGTTCTGCGTTTCCAAGCGCCTCTCAGTTTCACAGGTGGTATGAGGGTTACACGGCCAGCTTGATGAAGGGCATTGTCCAAGGTTGCCCCTGCTTCTAGACGTGGCTAGGACTCAAAAGTGCACACCGCGATTCACCCTGCAGGCGAGGACTGCGCCGAGCTGCACCTGCATGGCAGCCCCGCTGTGGTCCACGCTGTGCAGGATGCGCTGCGCGAGCTCCGGCTGCGCCCCGCCGAAGCCGGGGAATTCGCAAGGCGCGCATTTGACGCCGGCAAGCTGGACCTCACTCAGGCACGGGCCCAGCCTCATCATGCCCACCTACACGCACACCATAGCGCTTGGCTTGATGTTCTAGCATGTCTCTTCTCTCCTGTATGTTTGCACCTGCAGGTGGAGGGCTTAGCGGACCTGCTGGCAGCAGACACAGAGAGCCAGCGGAGACAGGCGCTGCTGCACAGCACAGGTGCATAGCCCAGCACATCCCTGCTGCAGTATCTGGTCGACAATTTCATGACGCCTGTTGGCTGGCTGCAGGCGCGGTGCGGCGGCGGCACGAGGCATGGCGCCAGACGCTGTTGACCTGCCTCGGTGGGTCTGTGGGGAGTTCCCATGCCATGCCCCCAGCTCACCTCACCGTGGCCTTCCCGCTCCCTTCTGTTGCAGCTCGGTTAGAGGCTGTCATTGACTTTGGGGAGGACGAGGGCATTGCCGAGGATGTCGCGGCAGGCGTGCTGCCGCTAGTCTGTGACCTGCGGCAGCAGCTGGAGGGCCACCTGGCATCCGCCGCCAGCGGCGAGCTCGTCAGGTGCGGCGATGATTTATTACCACCAGCAGACGTCGATCAGGGGCCTTTCCTGCCCTACAATTACGTATCGTTCCTGAGAGGATGTGAAAGCATGGACATGCGCATTGTCGCTGCAGGACCGGGGTGCGTATTGCCATTGTGGGCCCACCAAATGCCGGCAAGAGCAGCCTCCTCAATCTGCTGGCGGGCCAGGAAGCGGCGATTGTCTCGCCTGCACCAGGCACCACGCGAGATGTGGTCCAGGTGCAGCTGGAGCTTGGGGGCGTCAAGGTGAGCGCATGCGGCGTGAGAACCCAACACGTAATGCACTGCTTGTCATCGTCACTCCCACCCACAGAATGCGCAACTTACCTCACGTGCTGGTCCATCTTCAACTGCTTCAACTGCTGCGTACCAGGTCATCCTCATTGATAGCGCCGGCCTGCGGCAGACTGACTGCCCGATAGAAGCGGAAGGCGTGCGGCGGGCGGTGGCGGCAGCACATCAGGCCCATATCGTGCTACACCTTGCAGATGCCACCAGCGGAGCGGCAGCAGACGGAGTTGACTCGCGGGGGCAGTTGGCAGACGTGGCGCTGCCGCTGCCGGCGCAAATCGTGCAGCTCTGGGTGATGAACAAGGCCGACCTTGTTCCGGGTACAGCGGCCAGAATGAGTGGAGCAAGCAACCCAACGCAGCCAGCCTTGCCAGCAGAGCAGAGAGGGTGTCATGAGGCAGCGGGAGCCACTGTGCCGCCTGCCCCGCACCTCTTGGTCTCCTGCAAGTCTGGCCAGGGCATAGACCAGCTGCTGGCATTGCTGCAACAGCACGTCAGAGCGCTGGTTGCCAGCGGCGGCGACGGTGGGATGGCTGGAGCTTTGGTCACCCGGGCCCGGCACAAGCGAGTGCTCTCCTGCAAGCCTGCAAGCCTGACTGCGTGCACACGAGCTGCTTGAACATTTGTGAGACCCGCACAATGACCTTGGCTGCAGGCATCACCTGACAGAGGCGGTGGCTGCCATGCGGCGATATGAGGCCTCCACAGGACGCCTCCAGGTGTGAATGGGCAGGTGTTGCATTAGCGGGCCTGCTGCTGGGGGGGTGCACATTGAATTGATGGCAGGGTGGCCCGAGTGCATATGCCTGCCCCACCGTCGAGATTAGACCTCAGTGCCGCCGGATATACTCGTTGCCCTGCAGCACCTGGAGGTCCAGTGCGAGGAGGTGCGGGCGGCAGCGAGAGCTTTAGGCAGAGTCACCGGCGCAATCGACACCGCAATGGTGCTCGATAGCTTGTTTTGTGAATTTTGCATAGGTAAATAGGTAGAAGGAGAAAAGCAGAGGAGAAGGGAAGGAGGGAGAGGGAGAGAGAGGGAGAGAGAAAGAGAGGTTTGGACACGCAGATGAGTGGTGGTTGAAGATGACTCTACCATTTTTTCGGTGAACCCTAGTCCCCTACTGTCGCTGGGATGAAAATTGATTGTCTTCTGCGACTTCATGCTTGCCATTTACAGCAACCTTTGCTGGCCATTGCATGGAGGTAGGTGTGGCGCCAGCGGTCAACCTGGCGGGCGCCTGCGGGCTTGACAGGTGGAGCGCGATGGCCTGTCAGAGTGGTCATCCGCCCCCCACGTGTTGCTCGGCCTCTTTGGACGTTTGGAGATCTCATTGATATCAAGCAGCTCTCCACCCAAGCTTCGTCATCGGCATCCGGTCGCCCGATCAACCCGCGTCTGTTTGTGCGGCGCTGAACCATGAACAAGGGGTAGGTGTCCCGTATGTGGCTGTGGGTTTCCATTTGCCAAGACCATAGCCACAGATTGCAGCTGGCGAAGGTGCCCGAGCTGCTCGTCTGAAGCGCAGTGTCGCGCCAGACTGCACAATAGAGTGCAGCGCACGCAATGCACCGCTGTTGCGGTGGCCCTGGTGGCTGCGGAAGTCGCTCCGCCGGCGCCGCCCCGCTTCAGCCCAGCCCAACCAATCTGCACGGTCTAACAGCCTCGCCTCAAAATAATCGTTTGCATCTGCCAATGCCAATTCTGCAGGCATGCTTCCCACCCCTGGCACGACCTAGAAATTGGCAGCGATGCGCCTCATCTGTTGAACGCCGGTGAGCAGCCCCTGGTGACTGCTTTGCCTGGGCACGTTGATCCCATAGGCTAGCCACTACTGATTGCGAGCATGCCACCCGGCGCTCGCTGCAGTGATTGAGATCCCGCGCGGCTCCAAAGTCAAATACGAGCTGGACAAGAAGTCGGGTGCGCCACCAGCAAGGCATTCGCATACAGACCAGGGTTTTGTGTTCAAGTCAGACCAGGGTTTTGTGTTCAAGTCCTTCGATGTGGACGCTGAAACGTTCAAGCCATGCCTGCTGCAGGCCTGCTGTATGTGGACCGCGTGCTCTACTCCTCGGTAGTGTACCCGCACAATTATGGTGGGCCGACGATCGTTTCCTTCTGGCAGCTGTGCCTAGCACAAAATGGCGCGGCTGGTGCATGACACAGGCCACCTCAGTGCAGTCATGTTTCCCCGCTGGCAACTGCAGGGTTCATCCCGCGTACCTACTGCCCGGACCACGACCCGCTAGATGTGCTGGTGCTGATGCAGGTGGGGCATTACTGTCCTCAACCTGCAAGGATTGTCGCAGCGAAAGGGCTCACATGTTTTCCAGGGCGCCTTTTGCCAGACATACCAGTGCATCCCGTGCTCAGCGCGTATTGCATCGCATCTGCAGGAGCCGGTGGTGCCCTTTTCCTTCCTGCGCTGCCGCCCCATTGGCGTCATGCAGGTGGGTGGGCTGGGTGTGGGCTGATCCTGCACGCGATCACCATCGCCGACTTTGTTCACTATTGCGTGATGATGCCATGCATGGGTTTGATGCTCCGCTTTGCGACGTCCTACATCCTCATCCACTCCTCCAGCACACCTCCGCGCCTGCAGATGGTGGACCAGGGGGAGCAGGACGACAAGATCATTGGTGAGTTGCTGTGAGGGGTCAACAGAGGCCTGGTGGGCCAACCCCAGCCAAGTTCAGCCGCAGCCGTGCAACAAGCGCGCCTGCCTCGTTGCACACTCCCCCTCTGCCACTGCTGCCTGCAGCGGTGCACGCCGACGACCCCGAGTTCAAGGACTTTGAGGACATCAGCCAGCTGCCGCAGCACCGCCTGGCCGAGATCCGGCGGTGAGCACAGAATGTCGTCGCGCGGCTGGCGGCCAACTGTTGTATGCCATTAGAGCGCCTAGCTTGCATGCCACAGACTTGCTTTGGTTACCTTGTGTCTGTCCCTCATGTGTTGCCTGCCGCTGCTCCCCGCCCGCTTGCTGTGCAGCTTTTTCGAGGTAAGAACTGCATGTCATGCAGGGCCGCTGCTTTGTCGCAATGTTGTGTTTGAAGTTTGACCTCAACTCTTAACGGATCCACCGAAACGTTTGGACGTTGGCCATTGCAGGACTACAAGAAGGTGCGTCAAGGCGGGCATTGTGCGGGTGCTGCTTGCTAGTTGCGGCTATTTTTGAAGTGCCTGATCGGGATAGCATTGTGTTCTTGCAGAATGAGAACAAGGAGGTGGTGGTAGGTGAGGTCTGGTGCGCTGTTTAGGGGCATCATGCCTGGTTGCCTGGCTGCGGAGTTGTCGGGACTGCGGAGTTGTTGCTGCCACTACCATGCCCACGCTGCACTGCACTGCAGAGCAATTCCAGGGCTGCACGCAAGCAAAGGAAATCATCCAGCAGGCCATCGACTCGTACACCGACTTGTTTGTGCCCAAGCGACAGAGGTAGCGACAGCGGTGGCAGAAGTGACGACCGCTCCGCGCCAGTTGTTTGATAGCAATCCTGGGAGTTGCTGGCTTTTGCGTTGGCCCAGCAGAAACCTACTGCATGATGTAATGAGGAGGACACAAAATTAGGAGGGGCTTTGCTCTTTGGCGCCCGCCACCTGAACCATCAGTTTGCTGGAACAGTCCCTGAGGTTAAACGTGCGCGGGTGCGACTGATCGCCAAAGCGAGTGTTATTTGAGACAATGGTTGCCTCCCCTTCCCTGGCCATCGGCCCCACCAGACTGGCTGCCGGCAACCTGCTGGCCCCCCAGCCTACGCCGCGCGGCCTGACGGTGCGTGCGATCAACTCGCAACAGTCGATTCAGCACGATCTGGCCCACGCCAGATGCCCGCCAAAAAACCAGGAAGCTTTTCCCTGTGATCGCGTGCACAGAGAGCGCTGAACCAGCCATTATCGTTTGGTATCGCCGTATGTGTCATGTTGTGCAGGCCCGGGCGACGGCGCTGCAGGCCGGCGCGACGTCGGCACGGCGGCGGGTCAGGCACAGCCTCGCCGTTCGTGCCGTGGCAGCAGAGCCTGTGGTCACCCCACGCATCGCAGCTGATGTCAGGTGCGGGGATGGGCTTTGGGGGGACGGGTGTTGCTGAGAGGGCGTGTTGTGTGCAAATGTTGCCTGCCTCCCTTTTTACCCCACCTTGCAGCCGCCTGGTGGGAAACACGCCCATGGTCTACCTCAGTAGCCGCATCTTGGGCGACAAAGCCGCGGCCAAGGTGGCCGCCAAGCTGGAGCTGATGGAGCCGTGCTGCTCGGTCAAGGACAGGTACATTGTACATCATCTGCATCGCCGTGTGGAAAGCAGCCAGAGCGGAAGAAGAATTGGCTCTGTGACCGTTTACCCAGCACCCCTCCTGGTTTGCAGAATTGGGAGGAGCATGATAGAAGATGCCGAGGAGGCCGGCAAAATAGCGCCCGGCAAGGTGTTGCCTCAGCCCATCAGCCGCGGTCGGAATGGGACCCTGCTGTGCTCAGGTGTCAGTATGCACGCCGCAAACCCGCCAACGCTTACGCTATTTGCTGCAGACCACGCTGGTCGAGCCCACATCTGGCAACACTGGCATTGCACTGGCGTTCATTGCTGCGGCGCGTGGCTACCGGTGCGTCTGCCCGCCCAGCACAGCACAGCACAGCACAGCACACATTTCTGCAGGTCTGCACGTCTGTTCTGTGGGGGCCAGTAGCCTGTGCTGAGTTGGAAGCATGCGTGCTGTCCACCCTGCAGGCTGGTGCTGACCATGCCCGCCTCCATGTCGCTGGAGCGCCGCATCCTGCTGCGTGCCTTTGGGGCCGAGCTGGTGCTGACGGATCCCGCCAAGGGCATGAAGGGCGCGATGCAGAAGGCGGAGGAGATTGCGGGCTCGACCCCCAACAGCTACATCCTGCAGCAGTTCTCCAACCCCGCCAACCCTCGCATCCACTACGAAACCACCGGCCCGGAGGTCTGGGAGGCAACAGAGGGCAAGGTGGATATCCTGGTGGCCGGCGTGGGCACCGGCGGCACCATCACCGGCACCGGGCGGTTCCTGAAGGAGAAGAACCCCAACATGCAGGCGCGTCGGCACCCCGGGGCGGCCTGGCGACATGCTTTCTCGCCCTCTCTCCTGCCTTGTGGCGACAGCTCCGCCCATGCGCACTGCCCTGCAGATCATCGCTGTAGAGCCGGCGGAGTCGCCCGTCATCAGCGGCGGCAGTCCCGGCCCCCACAAGATCCAGGGCATCGGGGCGGGCTTCATCCCAGACAACCTGGATACCTCCCTGGTGGACGGCGTGATCAAGGTGGGTGGGGGCAGCACCCAGACTTGCCAGCCGCCTGTTTGTCATGGCTGCTGCCACTTCCTCGGTGCTCGGCGCACGCCTCTGCCTGCCCTGCGAATCCCCGGCGTACCCCCACCAGCACCCCCCGCCCTGTTGCAGGTTAGCTCCGACCAGGCGGTGGAGATGGCGCGGCGCCTGGCGCTGGAGGAGGGCCTGCTCTGCGGCATCTCGTCCGGCGCGGCGGTCGTGGCGGCGGCTGAGGTGGCCAACAGGCCAGAGAACAAGGGCAAGCTGGTCGCGGTTGTGCTGCCGTCCTTTGGCGAGCGCTACCTCTCCTCTGTCCTATTTGCTTCGCTGAGGGAGGAGGCAGAAAACATGCAGCACGAGTGAACATTTTCGTAGCGCACGACGTTGCGGGGGCCGCCAGCTTTCCGTCATTGTTCATCATCGAGAACTGCCGCACACTGCCGCTGTAACTGGACGCGATTGTTGGTTTGGTTACATGTGAGCTCTCGCTGCCTACCCCTTGCCTACCCCTGCGCCTCCAGCAGCTCTAAGGCTGCCTCCGCCTGTGCCGCACTGGCCTCTGCATCTGCCGTTGCAGCCAGCGGCCACAGCGGGCATGCTGCAAGGGCCGCCAGCTTCTGCAGCGCGGCGAGGCACTGGCGTGCGGCGGCGCCCCCCTGCTCGCTCCTAAAGTTGACCGCCAATGTGGCGGCCGCACTGGAGTAGTCCTGCATGCGGACCTCATGTAGCCAGCGGATCTGGAGCCTGAGCGCCGTGTTGTCAGCAGCATCGTCGCTGAGGAAGCGCTGCAGCTCGGCATCGAAGTTGTGCGGCTGGTCCAGCAAAAAAGCAAACCGTCCCTCCTTCAACAGCCTGCACACACCACCAGCCCACAGTCACGACCCCTTCCTTCAAGAGCCGGCACCGCGGGAGATGTGTTGCTGACCTGTCCCAAACATAAGTGGTGAGGGGCGGATCCAGCCCGTCGCCGCGCTGCTGCTGCATTTCTTCGTACAGGTTCTGAAAATCGTGGGTTACTGCGAAGGCCACTTCGTAGAGCAGCCTGTTTGAACCATGAGAAGATGCCATGCCTTGGACGCGGCGAATCAACTGCAACCCTTCGACTTGATCTGCGGGCGCATGCACTTGATCTGTGAGCGCATGCACAAGCTACTGGCCCCTGAATCTAACGCACGTGCCAATCTGGTGGCATCGTGCAGCAAGCAAGCAGCAGAGGCATGCCACTGACCTTCTTGGCTCAGTGCAAGCGCTTGCTCCAGGAGCTGCTCCAACAGCTGGTCCCTGGCGGCGGCATACTCTATGTGCAGCTGCTGGCGCTGCCGACCGATTGGAGCAGCAGTCACGGCAGCAGCGCAGGCGTTGAGCAGGCGATCTGCGAGGAGCGGAGCAGCCAGGGCAGCTTAGCTCAGGGAAGAGCGAGAGGCAAGAGAGAAGGGAGGAGAAGGGGGAGACTGACCTGTCAGCTCGAACAGTAGCAGCACGCAGGGAGAAATCTGCTGGGGCGCCTCCAGCACCAGACGCGGGTGAAGCCTGCATGTGGCGGCAGACAGCAGCAATGAGAATTGAAAGCCCAAGTCATTACAGATGGCCTACGGCCTTTGATACTCACCGGCAGCAGGCCTCGGCGAGCATCTGTAAACCAGCTCGCACGTCTTTCCCAGCTGTCCACTCTGGTTCATCGAGGCCCGCCACCGCAACGTTGATTGCCAGCCCATACCACTGCTGCTGATGCGCCCGTTGCTGCATGGCCCCACCGAGCGCCACCTGCACCGTACACAATGCAATGGCATGTCGATTGCCTGCCTAGAAGCTGCAAGCCCGAATCTAAAGTGCCAGCTGCGCACACAACACGTGCCGGCAAACCAAACAGCCTTGCCTGCACCCCCTTGCTCAGCTGCGCCACAGCATCGAAGTCGACGGATGCTTGCCCAGGGTTCCTCCCCGCATTCGCTGCCACTGCTGCCACCTGCTTGAAGAACTGAGCCACCGTGGAGGTTGGCAGGGCATAGAAGACCTCCTCGGGCGCCCGATCACCGCTACCTGCCACGGCTTCCGCGCAGGCCTGGCCAGCAGCCACCACCACCTCGTGCAGCGGGCAAGGCCCCGCCTGCTGCTCCTGCTGCTTGCTCTCCAGCTCTCGCACATCCATCAGCGCCTGCAGACGCTGTCCATCCTCAAACAAGCACCTGCGGCGGTTGGGAGTGGCCCGGCCGCGCAGGTGTGAGCTGGCGCGCCACAGGCGTTGCGCTACGATGGGCCAACGACCGACCGCCACACCTGAGCACGCTAGCATGCAGCTTTGGGAAGATGCCCGCGTCGCTGAGGAGCTGAAGCAGCAGGTTTGCCTGCGTCAGCTTTTCCGCCAGCTGGACGCTGACTGTAAGGAACAGGAGGAAGGAATGAAGAACAGGTGGTAAACACCATCTGGATGGTTGCCATGTTGCCACCCGTGCGTGGGGTGGCGGGTGGCAGGAGGCAACGGCGGCCCCAGGCGGGCACCTGGCTCTCGCGCATTCAGCTTTGGCAGGGCATCCAGGATGTGGCCGTTCCAGCGTGCGATAGCATTATCGCGACCTGTTCCACGGAAGGCATCTAATCTGCAGTGGAACACAATGTTTGTGTGTGTTGGCGAGCGGCCGCACCGGCGGGCGGCGGCAGCCCCGTCGGTGCGGCGGCAATCAGCGAGCTTACTCTGCCAGCCGGGTTGCGAGGGTAGGGGTCGAGAGGTGGCCCTGGCACGCTGCGGCCAGAACGCTGCCGACCGTGCATGACTGGGGGTGCTGCATAAGGAGCTGGAGGGTGGTACAGTGCCTTCAATGCTGTGTGAGTCCTGCGCACAACCAAAGATGTCGCGACCACGCTCTTTGGGCTCATAAATTAAAGTACGAAGTGTATGCAGTACAGAGCTGTCCCGTCTCAAATTTCCCAGGTGCTCAAAACCCTCAGGGTGCCAGCTGCGGGGCGGCAGGCGGCGGAAGGGCTATCGAAGTGCGCTGGTGGCGTGCTGCAGCCCCATCGCCCCTCGCTGCCTCCCCTGTGCCTCGAGTGGGATCCTCGGCCATGCACGCGGTGATAGGGAGATGATAGGATCAAGGAGCGAGAGATAGGTTCTTGCCGAAATTGAGGGAAGCAGTACGAAGGTACACGCAGTACGCGGTACAGTACAGAGCGCTCCACGACAGCTGCGCCCTCTCCTCCTCCTCTGTTCTCCTGAGTCTACTTACATTGTCGTCCTCACCTTCTGCACGCTTTCAGCACTCTTCTTGCAGCCTGCACGACGCGGCAGACTCTGGGCCATGTATGTCGTGAAGAGAAGCGGGGTCCTCGCCCCGGTATCATTCGATAAAATTACTGCACGCATCTCCAAGCTATCATACGGCCTAAACCCCGACTTCTGCGATCCGGTGAGAGTGGCAGCTGGCCGAGGACTGTCTCTGCGGCCTCTCCCCCCTGCCAATCGCACCATGCCCAGCCTGGCCGCTCCTTTCATGGGGCGGGGCAGCAATGCCGAGCGCCTGGGCGGGCCGGCTGGCACGCAGGTTTAAACATGCACGGCCCTCCCGGCGGTTCTGTTGCTGCCTGCAGGTGCTGGTGGCCCAGAAGGTCACCACCGGCGTCTACAAGGGCGTCACCACCTCGGAGCTCGACGAGCTGGCGGCCGAGACCGCGGCTTCGCTCACCGCCACGCACCCCGACTATGCGCTGGTAAGGGGCCGCGGCGATGCGGGTGATGGCGGCAGCAGGGACAGCTCGCTGGCGATTGCCGCCGCGCCGCCGCCCACGCCGCTGCTTCTTGCCCCGCTGCAGCTCGCTGCCCGCATCGCCGTTTCCAACCTGCACAAGAACACTCTGAAGAGCTTCAGTGAAACGTAAGGGCGGCCAGCTGCCAGTGTGGGGCCTCCGACCGTGCCGCACTGCAGGCGGCGGCGCGCTTCCCAGCGCCTTGCATGTGCTGCGGCTGGACCCGCCCTTGCCAACCGCAAACGTTGCCTGCCTCTGCTGCCTGCCCCTGCGGATTGACCTTTTCGCAGCGTCAAGCTCATGTTCAGCCATGTCAACCCCAAGAACGGCGAGAAGGCGCCGCTGATAGACGAGAAGGTGTATGAAATCATCATGGAGGTGCGCACAAGCCCCCCCCCGGGCCGAGTCTCTGCTACTGTTCCAGGAGCACGGCTCGTTGATGATTTGCGCCGTCATTTGGGCAGGCGTGCCTCCCGCAGCTGCGAGCGGCATGTGATGACGTCGCAGCGCTGCGCCCCTTGCCCTGCAGCACGCGGAGCGGCTGGACAGCGAGATTGTGTATGACCGCGACTTCGACTACGACTACTTTGGCTTCAAGGTGGGCTCCATTGCTTTAGCAGAATTGTGTAGCCAGGCAGCCTTTGCAGACCTGACGGCGCGGCGCCCGCCGCGAGCTCGGCACCGACCTGCTGGCGCCTTATCCCTGCCTGCCCCCCGCCTGCCTGCCCGCCCCCCCGCACAGACGCTGGAGCGCTCCTACATGCTGCGCGTGAACGGCAGGGTGGTGGAGCGGCCGCAGCACATGCTGATGCGCGTGGCGGTGGGCATCCACCTGGAGGATGTGGACGCGGGTGCGCTGGGGGCTGGCGTGGCGTGCGTGCTTCCAGCAGCATGCCTGTTTCACACGCGCGCACCCAGGGCCGCCGCTGACATGCCCCTCCCGGCCGCCCCCCTGTGCTCCTCGCAGCGGTGGAGACCTACCACCTTCTGTCGCAGCGCTGGTTCACCCACGCCTCGCCTACGCTGTTCAATGCCGGCACGCCGCGCCCGCAGCTGTCATCCTGCTTCCTGGTCTGCATGAAGAACGACTCGATCGAGGGTGCGCACCCGCCCGCCCCGCCCGGCCGGCTGGCTGGCTGCTCTCCAATGCTGGGTTGCCGCGCTGCGCCTGCTGGCGGTGCCCCTCGCCACGGCTGCCGCGTGTGCCGCGCTGTGCTGCCGCAGGCATCTACGACACGCTCAAGGAGTGCGCCAGCATCTCCAAGTCCGCCGGCGGCATCGGCCTGTCCATGCACAACATCCGCGCCACCGGCTCCTACATCCGCGGCACCAACGGCACCAGCAACGGCATCGTGCCCATGCTGCGGGTCTTCAACGACACCGGTGAGCCAAACCACGGGCAGGCACAGCAGGCGCACCCGCTCGGCGCTTCACACCGCCGGCTCCCCTGCCCGTGCCCCTCACCCGGCAAGGGCATGCCGCCGCCCTGGATCCACGCCGAGCCGCGCCGTGGCCCCCCCGCTTCCTGCAGCGCGCTATGTGGACCAGGGCGGCGGCAAGCGCAAGGGCGCCTTTGCCATGTACTGCGAGCCCTGGCACGCCGACATCTTCGACTGGCTGTGAGTGCCGCGCCGCGTCGTTGCGCTGCCCCGCGCTGGTCGCCGGCAAGGGCTATTCCTCCCGTGCGCCTGCCAGCCCGGGCCACCGGTGGACTTAGCGGGGCGTGCTTGTGCGTCGGCGCGGCGTGCAGGGACCTGCGCAAGAACCATGGCAAGGAGGAGGCGCGCGCCCGCGACCTGTTCTACGCCCTCTGGATCCCCGACCTCTTCATGCACCGCGTGGAGGTGCGCGCCGGCGCACTGCTGCTCCACTCGTCAGCCGGACGACCAGCCCGGCTGCTGTGCTATGAGTGCCTCTGGCAGATGCCAGCAGGAGGTACCTCTTCTGCCGGGCTGCCGTGCACGCTGGCATCCACCCACCGACCCCACCCCTCGCCCGCTGCGTCGCCGCTGCCCGCAGGCCAACGGCGAGTGGAGCCTGTTCTGCCCCAACGAGTCCCCCGGCCTGGCCGACTGCTGGGGCGAGGAGTTTGAGGCGCTCTACTCGCGGTACGAGCGCGAGGGGCGCGCCCGCAAGGTCATCAAGGCGCAGCAGCTGTGGTTTGCCATCCTGGAGGCGCAGGTGGAGACGGGCAACCCGTTCATGCTGTACAAGGACTCCGCCAACCGCAAGTCCAACCAGCAGAACCTGGGCACCATCAAGTCGTCCAACCTGTGCACCGGTGGGGCGACGGCGCCGGCTGGCGACCCGCACGGGCGCCAGCGTCGTGTTTTTTAATGATTCGACGGGCCTGCCGCCGCTGCACGCGCTGCCGCTGCCCCTGCTCACTGCGCCCTCCGCCTCCCACCCTGCCCCCCGCCTGTGGCAGAAATCATCGAGTACAGCTCCCCCGAGGAGACGGCGGTGTGCAACCTGGCGTCCGTGGCGCTGCCGCGCTTTGTGCGCGAGAAGGAGCCCAGCGGGCGGGAGGGCAAGAAGCTGGTGGGCAGCCTGGACGCGGAGGGCAGGTGCGGTCCTGAGTGGCACGGCCGCCGCGCATGCCTGCGTCGCCTGGGGTGGCTCGAGGGCGTGATGCGCGGCTTCGTGCCTGCCGGCATCTGCCTGCCGCCATCTGCCTGTTCCGTCGCGCCCCTCCCCTCCACCCATTCCATCGTCCCCTGGCCGCTCACTCGCCCGCCCCCCGCAGGTACTTCGACTTTGACAAGCTGGCGGAGGTGACGGCGGTGGCGACGCGCAACCTGAACAAGATCATCGACGTCAACTACTACCCGGTGGAGACCGCCCGCCGCTCCAACATGCGCCACCGCCCCATCGGCCTGGGCGTGCAGGTCGGCTGCCGCTGGGCCGGGGGACGGCTGGGCCGCGGCCTGACGGCGCCGGGCAGCCCTGCCCGCCAGCCCGGCACGCGCATGCAGCGCGAGCGGGAGCTGACGTGATGCCTTTGTGCTCCCTTTGTGCCTGCCCTGCCCCCGCCTGCGCAGGGCCTGGCCGACACGTTCCTGCTGCTGGGCCTGCCCTTTGACTCGCCCGAGGCTGCGGAGCTCAACCGCCAGATCTTCGAGACCATCTACTTTGCCGCGCTGCGCACCTCCATGCAGCTGTCCAAGGCAGAGGGTGGGTGAAGCAGCCAACGCTGGGGGGCGCCAGGGGCCGCGGCCGGGCAACAGCGGGGTGACAATCGTTTTGCGGGGAACGTGGTTGCCGACAGCCGCCTCCCTGCCGCTGCCCGCCCCCGCACAGGCCCCTACAGCACGTACGAGGGCAGCCCCGTGAGCAAGGGCATCCTGCAGCCCGACATGTGGGGCGTCAAGCCCTCCGACCGCTGGGACTGGGACGGCCTGCGCCGCGATATCGCGCAGGTGAGCGGCCCCCTCAGGAGGGGGAAGTGGGGAAACGCGGGAATGATGTGCGCAGAGAGCTGCTGGTACTGTTGGCTCCTGCACCCGCGGGCCGGCTGGCTGTCTGTGGCTGCCATCCCCACGTGCCGCCCCCTGCCGCCTGCCCATGGCTTGCGCAGAACGGTGTGCGCAACTCGCTGCTGGTGGCACCCATGCCCACCGCCAGCACCAGCCAGATCCTGGGCAACAACGAGTGCTTCGAGCCATACACCTCCAACATCTATGTCCGTCGCGTGCTGTCTGGTGGGTTGGCGCCGCCGGCTCGACACGGTCGTGTAAACTCCCCGACCCCCAGGCTATTCCCTCTGCACCTTTCCTGGCTCCCTTCTCTGGCCTCCCTCATCCTCACGTGCCCCTGTGCTGCAGGTGAGTTTGTTGTGGTGAACCAGCACTTGCTGCACGACCTGACTCGCCTGGGCCTGTGGGACACCGACGTGAAGAACGAGATTGTGGCCGCCAGCGGCAGCGTGGCGGTGAGGTGGCCGCTTGCTCTGAGATGACTGTTGAGCATTGGACCCTTTGCCCAGCGGAACGCGCAGCTGCAGGCCCTGTCTGTTTGCTGCCTGACCCCCTCCCCCCCCACCCTCCCACCTCCGCCAGGACTTGGACATCCCCAACAACCTCAAGGAGCTTTACAAGACGGTGTGGGAGATCAAGCAGCGTGTGCTGGTGGACATGGCGGCAGGTGTGTGCCGGGCGTGGCCTCTCCCAGGGGCAGGGCCTGGCGCGCCCGCGTGCCGGCCCTGCTGAGCCTGCCGCGCCCAACCCCGGCCTGCAGACCGCGGCGCGTTCATTGACCAGAGCCAGTCCTTCAATGTGCACATGAGCGACCCCAACTTTGGCAAGCTCACCTCCCTGCACTTCTACGCCTGGAAGAAGGGGCTGAAGACGGGTGGGTTTGGCATGGGTTTGGGTGCTGCGGGGCCAGGTTTGGAGGCCAGTTTGTTGGAGCCCAGTCCCCTCTTCGCGATCCCCAACCCGAATCGAACCTGCAGGGATGTACTACCTCAGAAGCAGGGCCGCTGCGGACGCCATCAAGTTCACGGTGGACCAGCAGGCCCTGCAGCGCCGGAAGAGCGAGCGGCTGGCCAAGGAGAACAAGGCGACGTCAGACGTGGTGGATGCGGCAGCCAAGCCCAAGAAGGTGGTGGCAGATTTGGATGAGGAGCTGGAGCGCGAACGGCAGATGGCCGCCATGGTCTGCTCGCTGGAGAACAAGGACGCCTGCGTGATGTGCTCTGGCTGATGGCGATGCCGGCCAGGGCGCTCAGGCGCCCGCGCCTATCCCGCTAGCCAGTCCCGTCCAGATGTCAACTGTCACGCATATGTACTGTACCACTCCCCTGACTGCGCATTTAAAACCCATTCACCCCTGCAAACCTTCCTGACTCTGCAAACCTTCTCTGGTTAATAGCATGTACAACAAACGGAATGGAGAGGAGGGGAGCTCTGGGTGTACAGCTGGGCACGCCAGGTTTTGGTTTCAAGAGGATGGCCCAGATCATCGGGGCCTGATTACCTACTGATTATCCACGATGCCTCCTCGCTCCAGGCCGATGTCTGCAAACGCCCAGGGCAGCAATGGGGCAGGGCGCTTGCTTCACAACGTGGCCCGCGTTCGGCCCGGCCAGGCGCTGGTGGCCTGCGTGTGCATGTTGGCCCTGTTTGCTGGAATTCTGCAAATGAGCTCCAGGGACTCTTCTGAGCGCGTGGAGCTGGTGCTGTCGGGCGGAGCGTGAGCCCCTGCTGCTGCTGCTGCGCTGCACACGCCAACCATCTGCTCTGCTGTGGACCCAGACCGCTGCGCTGCGCCCGCCCCACGCCGCCTGGGCTCCGGCCCCGCTCCCGCCCAACCACGCCAACCGCCACAGTGCGGCCCGCCACCACATGACGAAAGACTCGAGTGCCGGCCCAAACCCAACTCCTTGCCACCTCCTCTTGCCGCTTCCGTCGTTCTATGCCACAGGGAGCGCGACCTCATGGCGCAGCAGCTGCACCGCCCCAAGCTGGAGCTCAGCGTTGCACAGCACCTGGGCCAATCAAACAAGCCGCGGCGGCCGCTGCCACATGACCTGGGCGGGCAGCCCTGGAAGCCGCAGCAGCTCGCAGCGCAAGTGCCCAAAATTGCTTTTGTGGTCACCACCAGCGACTCGCTGCAGCAAATCCGCATCTGGATCAGCTACCACAAGGCGCTCGGGGTGACGACCTTTTACATCTTTGCCGATGGGCAGGTGCGAGGCTGCTCCTGCCTCGACTCCTGCCTGCCTGCTTGGGTTGGCAGAGCTGTGGCGGCACGGTGGCCATCTGCTGCTGGCCACCTGGGGTGCACTCGGAGAATGAGCAACATGCTCTGCTCATTGTCATCTCGCTTGGGCCTTGGCATCTGCAGGCGGCGCGCGCCGACAACGTCGCCGCGCTGCGGGCGTTGCCAGGCGTCACGGTTGTGCTGCGTGATGCTGAGCTGCGGCGGCGGCATGAGAACAGCAGGTATACCGGCTATGGAAGCCCGTGCGAGTTGCAGGTCGCAGGACGCAAGGATTCTCATGCATGCTGCTGCACTTCCTGCAGGATTTGGAAGGAGTCGTGGCTGTCGGCCTTCTTCCACAAGCCTTGCAACCATGAGCTGTTTGTCCTGCAGAGCCTTAACATGGAGGGTGGGTGTCTGCATTGCCGTGGCAAGTGATTCCACGCTTGCGCAGCCTTGGCGTTCCTGCAACCAGTGCTGCATGCCCTTTGTCCTTTGCAGTTGGCATTGAGATGGCTCTGAAAGATGGGATTGACTGGCTACTGCATGTGGACACAGACGAGCTTATCTATCCCTCCGGCTCGCCAGCATACTCTCTTCAGGTGCACTCATTCGAGAGCGGGGGTGCCACTTGTGCGTTCTGCAGTTGCTCCACCCTGCAATGCGCAAGGTTCAATGGTGGTGTGTCTCGCTGGGCCTGCATGCAGGAGGTGCTGGGCCAGGTGCCAGCAGATGTGGACACGCTGGTGTTCCCCAATTATGAAAGCCTGCCGGAGCGGGATGATGTGGTGGACCCGTTCCTAGAGGTGACAATGTTCAAGAAGAATTATGCGCACGTGGTGTCAGGTGCGGTGGCATGTTGACCAACTGTTGCTGGCAACTTGAAAGTTGCGGGGGCTCTGCGCTGGAGTCTCTTTGGTCGAATGAAGAAAATGATTGATTCGAAGCAATCAATTTGCTACAGACTTGTACTTCAAGTCCTATGGCGTGGTAGCTCGCGGCAACCCCAACTATTTCATCACGTATGGCAACGGAAAGTCAGGTGGGGACCAAGCCAGGACTCCTTTCAATTCCACGGGCAACAACGCACATCCACTCCTCACATCCATAGGACCCCCCCCCACACACACACACACACACCTCCCGCTTGTGCAGCGGCGCGTGTTCAGCATGGCATGCGCCCCAATGGCGCACACCGGTGGCACTCGTATGTCAAGACACCCAAGTGAGTGCGCAAGAGGGTGGGGCTTACACAGGCTGGGCACCAATATTGAATCAGTTGCAAACAGCTACTAGAACGCGCCCACCACCCCCAAGCACTCACTGGCTCAAACCACTAATTCCTGCATTGGTCCCAGCTGAGCCTCTGGGCAAATCAGCGTGCTTATGTGATTCTCTCTTTTGGTATGCAGGGAGTGGAGCAGTGACCAGGCGGCTGTGTTGCACTTCACGTACAACAGGTTCAGGTACGGCGATGGGTGTAGCAATGCAAGTACTGCTACCGCCAACCCATGGAGGAGTTGCCACTGTCAAAGCTGCTGTTGCAACTGCTTCATGGTGGCATCGTACTCTGCTCTCAAAGTACTGTCAGCGCCCGCTTGCAGTGATCTAAAATCTCGTCGCGACCGCTGCGACTGCGCGCCAACGGAGGAGGATGCCAAGCGCTGCTTCATCCTTCCATTTGACAGGTGCGTCGGAAGTCACTGCCAGGGCTGTCTGTCATTGCATATGCATGACGGCAAGGCTATTTTTGCACGTCGAGCTTGTGTGCCACGTAGGTGCAATATGTGCGGGCCTGCAGGATGGCTTTCCTGGAGGCATCACTGAAAAACGACACAGAGCTGATGGATTGGTTCCGGTGCGGTTGGTTGGCTGCAGGGCCAGCATTGCCCGTTTCTCACTTGATGTTGTAGTTGCTGCAGTTGCATTTCTGCCGGTTCATCGGTCGCTTCCATTGAGGTTTCCTTGTTGTTTTGCAGGCAGCGCCTGGTTTGGAGTGATCCTGCTGTAGTGAACGACTTGCTGAAGAAGGGCCTGTTTACTCGCATCTACGAACCACAGGTGATCTGCTTGATATGTGATGTGGGCTCTCTGTGAATGGCTTGCAAGCAGCTGTTGGCAACACAAAAAAACACTTGTATTATTTGTGAACATGTCCTGCAGTTGATGATTCGTGGTTTCATTGCGGCGGAGAAGGCTGCTGCAGAAGAGGCTGCAGTCGCCGAGGCTGCTGCAGCAGAGGCTGCCCGCCTTCAGCAGCAGCTGGCCGTGGCACAGGCTGCAGCGCTGCAAGCTGTCGACAGCACTGGCGAAGGCCAGCACCCAGGGACAGCAGTCGGCACTGCCTCCTCGTCGACGCTTGGCGCTGTCCAGACGGCTGCAGCTATACAAGGGCAGCAAGCAGCCACTGCTGCCACAGATCCTGGGGCAGCAGCTGGCCAGCAGGATGCTACCGTGGCGACTGGCGGTGCAGGTGCCGCTCAGCAGATGGCCGAGGCGGGTGCTCGGGTTGATCCGGCAATGGTTGTGGATTCTCAAGCAGGCGCTGCGCAGCAGGCTGCAGGAGGTGTGCAGGGACAGCAGCAAGCCACAACTGCTACAGGTGCTGGGCAGCAGATCGTTGGCGCACACGCGGTGGCCACTACCGCCAGCGGCATCCAGCAACAGGCAGCCGCAGCTACAGTTGCTGCCAATGCAGGCGCTACTGATTTGACAGGTGCCACAGCGCAGAGCGGCACCATTGCCGGCCAAGGCGGGGCTGCGGGCACGGCTACCAAGGCCACAGCTGATGCCATGCTTCAGTAGCTCACTGAGGGCACGCATGGCGTTGGAAGAGCCAGCGGATTTGCAATCCGCCCCCTATTTGTTTCTGTTACAGATGCCGGCTGCTAGTTTGCTCAATGAATCGTTGCAAATGCCAGCAAGGCAACTGCGCCCTGGAAAAGTCCAAAAAGAACAGCAGGAACGCACCGACCGCTCACGGTTGCTGCAATGCAGTGACAATACTCGCAGGCAGGGATTTCTGGCGCAGCACAGGGAGTGCAGGCTGCCCTAAAAGCGCTTGATGTCCTTGGGCGGCTTGAACACGATGGGATGGCTGTCAGGTGTTGCATTCTCATCAGGACGCCACATTTTAATGCTTTTATCAGCCTCACACGTCACCAAGCGTGACCCGGTGACATCGAAAGACATTGCATAAATGCCCGCCTGCACGTGGAGTGGGGCAGCAGCTCCGTGAATGTTAAGCCTGCTGCATCTGTCGGCTGTCCATCCAGGCTGTTGCGAGGCATCAAGGATGATGCCACACCATAACCACAAGCCATCCCACATAAGCACCTCACTGTCCAGCGATCCCGGTTGCACGATGGTATCCTGCTGCTGGAAGCTATTGCCCGATGTCCAGTCCCAGAACCACAGGCTGCCATTGTCGGCACCTGCAGTCGTAAGGCAGGGCAGTGACACAGTCGTGGCATTGGGGGACATACACGCAGGTGCCACACCCAGGTCCGCACCACGCCCGACAATGGATGGCAGCCTGCCATACTGAGCAACACCCACCGCTTGCAAGCACTCCATCCTGGTTAACTGCCATACAGTTGAGGATTGCCTGCATGAAAAGGGGCAGCAGCAATGGCAAGAGACTGTCGACGGCTGGCTCTGCAGCAATGAGCACTCCTAAGCATCGCATTTGGCATGTGCCAGCGCACCCTCTGCTGCTGCAAGAAGTTGTGCAGGAAGTCGCCTTGCGGCAACTTGAATTTCTTGATGTTATCCGCGGCGCCTGGGGACAAGGGGGCCGCCAAACCGAGTTTGTGGAGGCAGCAACGGCGGAATGATGGTGCCGCCAGTTGCATGCCAACCATATCACACCAAACGAAACCCAACCAAACCAAACAGGCAAACACTGGGCTCACCTGAGGTGAACGTGTGCTCTGTGGGGGATGCCGCCAGCGCCCTGACTGCCTGCATCCAGGAGGACCAAGAGGAGCGGTTTAAGGACGTGGCATGCTGAGTTGTCTGCTGCGGAATCCACGAAAGGCATGGACCAAATCAATGTCCTACCATACCTTCTTGTGATGCGTCAGCGTGGCAAGCGTCTTGCCCATGCGCAGGTCCCACAGCCGCACTGTCTTGTCATGGCTGCCCGTGACCACCTGCACAGGGAACGCCAGATGCACACTGCCTTCAGCAAGGGCCGCGGCATGTTGTTGCCAGTAACCAATCATCCAGGCATCCACGAATATCATCCACACAACGCTTGCCTGCGGATCTGTCGGCATTGCCAGAATGGCTGACACGGTATCCTCGTGCCCGCTCAGGCAGTGCACCTGCACCTTGGTGCGGATGTCCCACACGCGGCATGCTGCAGGGGGCACCAGGGCGAGAGGTTCCGCATTAGACAGGCACCCCGTAGATCGGGAGTCAATCACGGTGTGCAACATGCACTGCACCTGCATCTCGGCCTCCAGTCATGATGATGTCCACTGTGGGGTGCTGTGCCAGGCTGTACACCCCCGACAGGTGGCCGTGGTAGTTCCGAATGACCTACAGGACACGTTTGAGCACATGGACCCCAGTCTCCCTTGGCAGCACCACACACCCGGCCTCCATCATGTGTTCTGTGCGACTCACACAGCTCGGAGATGGCGGGCGAATGCCACAAGACGCCGCGGCAGAGCCCACCTTGTTTTGCTCCAGATCCCAGCACTTCACCATCTTGTCCAGGCCACAGGAGAACATGTAGGGGTGCCGCGCGCTCACAGCCAGACCCGTCACCTGCGCACAAATGCCAGGCCAAGCAAGCGACGTGAAAACATGTTAATCACACTCTCAAGATGGAGAGCAAGCACACACAATGTCAGACAGGAACAAAGTACTATGAAATGTGTTGATGAGCTGGCAAGTCGTGCAGTGGTGCGGCAGGGTGTGCCTGCTCAATGTGGCCCGTCAGCGTGAGCCGCAGCTGGCCGCTGGCAGTATCCCAAATCTTGATGGTGCGATCAGCTGAATGGTGGGGGAAGGCATTCTGTAAATTAAACTGCAATGGTATTAACACCGGGCCTGGATTTCAAGTAGCTGCACATCATTGCTGCCTAGCTGTTGTTGCACCTGAGCCAGTTGCGAACCACTCGTTGCTGGGGTCAAAGGCCACGGAGCGCACCCAGCTGCAATGGTGCAGCTGAGGCTTGAGTTGAGTTGAACGCTTAGCGGCAATGGGACCCCCAGGCAACACCATACAGCTGACTGGGACCCTGCGGAATGCCTGCTGCAGTTGCATGCAGGCGGCAAGTCGCGCACCCCAGATGCCCCGCGATGACACGGTACATGCGCCAGGGTGCATGCCACACCGGCCTGGGCCACTTGCTGGGTAGCCGCCGCGCGATGGCCGCCGAGGGAGTGTACTCCTTCTGCGCCAGACGCAAGGACAGCCCTTCAGCGGCACAGAAGCTGAGGACTGGCTGGGATACAGCAACGGCTGCACGCCATTGTTCACCTGACCGCCTGCAGCTGTTGGCACCATCACGGTCCCGCCCAGTGCCGCCTTGGCCTCGGCCGTGATTCTGCCTGGGCCGGCTGGGCCGCCGTGCACCACCAGCTCCTTGCCTTTTGATGCTGCTGCCGCTGGCCTGCAGGCCGCACGGCAACGGGCAGGACCCACAAGCAACTTGACACAGTTGCATAGCAACACTAGCTGCATAGCAAAGTGCACACTGGACAAGAGGTGGCGCGCGGGGCAGATACAGCTGTAGCACTCACGCTTGCGCCGGGATGGAGTCTATGAGCTTTGCGGTGTGCGACTTGCTGTCTGCTGCCGCCGCCGCCGCTGCAGACCTGCCAGCCGCGGCCTCGGCTGCTGCGCCACGGGCACCTGCTGCAGCCGCCTCTCGCGGCTTGAAGCCCTGCAACATGCTGTATTCGTCCCTCATCTGCATTGCATTGGGAAAGGGCAGCGACGGGGTTGGAGACTCAACACGCAGAAGACGGGGTGGGCGCAGCCACCTCTCCAGCAGGGTGCGTCGGGAAACGCTGCCTTGCTGCCCACCTTGCAGGCAATCTTGACCCGCTGCGCATCCTCGTCCACCGGGACCTTCTGCCCGTGGTTGGAGACGAACAGGTCATGCGTGCGCTTCAACGACAGCAGCGTGATGGCTTTTACAGTCTTCCCCTCGATAGGCAGGTCGGCGGCCGCGGGGGCGACGGCGGGTGCCGGCGACATGCTGCCCCCTGTCGGCGGCGAAACTGCAGCACCCTTCCCTTCTGCAGGGTGGGCTAGGTGAAGAATGGTGGAGTGAGAAGGTCCATGCCCTCTGGCACCCCCATCAGCAGAGGGCATCTCACCAGGAACCCGGTCGACCGCGGCACTCTAAGCTCCAAGGGCTGCTGAGCGGTGTCGCTTGCTTGCGGGGCGGCCTCCTCCCGGGTTGCTGCGCCGTCGTGTTGCGGACGCGCAGGCGAAGGTGAGCTGCTCAGGGGAGATGAAGATTAACGCAGTCCCCGCCCAAAAAGCACTTAGAACCCAGCGCAGCAGCCGAGGTACAAACAAGGACAAGACAGAGCAGCCGACTCATCACAACTCACTCTACAGGTGACCGACTTACCACAGCACAGTATACATAGTAACCTCCCTGCTGTGGCATCAGTGACATCTCGGGCTAACCTTCGCTGAGCTTGCTGCCACGCTTCAGAATGGATGCGCGGACTCAGGTGCGCGTTGACGGAACGCTCTGCCGCTCCTCGCTGGGAGATGTAGCGGCGGCGGGCGGCGGGCGGTGGGCGGCGGGCGGCGGGCGGTGGGCGGCGGGTACCCTTGGCCGACCAGCGAGCACCGCACAACTTGCGTTGCTGCCTTTCTCTCCGGCCATATCCCTGTTGCAGCTCATCAGCGAGGCAATCCGAGTCATCCCAGACTTCCCCAAGGCGAGTCCGGAGTGCGGTGGGGGGCTGGTTCGCTAGGCGCCTGCCCTGCGCGGCGCCGCACCGCACTCCCTCCCCGTTGCCTGCCGCTCAACTTGATCACGGGAGTGCTGCAGCCTGGGATAGCGTTTCAAGATGTGACCACTATTCTGCTCGACCCTGCCGCATTCAAGCACACCATCGAAATGTTGGTCGAGCGATATCGCAGCATGGAAGTCGACGTGGTGGCAGGTGATTGTGGCGGCGCTCCTGTAAACACCTGTTGCAGCACTTTTTGCGTGAATTCTACACCAGCATCTGCAGGCTTCGAGGCGAGAGGCCTTATTTTCGGCGCGCCCCTGGCCATCGCTCTCGGCTGTGCATTTGTGCCTCTGAGGAAGCCCGGCAAGCTGCCTGGTGAGCTTCTGATTGCTGCACTGCTGAGCCCATTCATTTCACACGACACATGTTTTATCGGGTCGCCGAGTGCGTAAACCCTGCCTGCAGGCGCCACAATCTCCGCCGAGTATACCACAGAGTATAGCGTCGACCAAATCCAGATGCATGAAGGAGCGGTGCAGGAGGGGCAGCGGGTGGTGCTTGTGGATGACCTCATTGCAACAGGCGGCACGCTCCGGGCAGGCATAGAGCTTATCCAGAAGGCGAACGGCCAGGTGTTGGAGGCGGCCTGCATCATCGAACTGCCGGAGCTCCGGGGCCGCGAGAAGCTAGGAGGGCTGCCGCTGCACGTGCTAGTGACCAAGCAGGACTGCTTGTGATTGGTGTGTTTCAACACCTGTCACTTACCCTGCATTGCTTTTGGTCAATATTCTCAGCGCATTTTTGTACGGTGTATTTGCGTTACACATTAGCCACCCCTTGCCAAGGGCATTCCTTCATACGCCCATAAGGTTGCACCAGCGTCACGCCGCATCAAAATAGTGCGGCCCAATACCCAAAACATGGCAGCAAATTCTCGCCAGGAGCACATGTGTTGGTGTGCATACCACGGGCTTCATGCCAGGATTGTTTGGCCAACTCCATCGTCCCCCGCAACGGACAGGCTGCATGGTACCAACGGACAGGCTGCATGGTACCCTCATTTCATCGGCATTACCCCCACCCCACACCCACTGGTCATCACTGGAGTTATGGAGTACCTGGCCACCGTTGCTCACCCCCGCCGCATGGGCAGGAGCCGCATGGCAGCAGCTGCTGAGGCGGCGGCCGCCAGTTTTCACATTTCTTGTATCTACTCTGCAGTGCGTCCAGCGGTTGTTCATCCAAGCGAATCTTTCACCACATTCTGAGAACGCTGAGGCGTGCTAGCGAGGGGAAGTTCAGGTCTGACGGCCGCCAACTGCGATCTACTCTATCTCAGCTGCACAACTTGGAGACAGGTTGACGCTGGCGAAGCAACCGCTGGACGCACTGCAGCAACTTAATGTGTATGTGTGTGTGCAGGCGCGACGACTTGGGCAGTGGGCGAGTCTTCCTAGGAAGCGGGGACGTCCCATTCGCCCGTGGCGGGCGAAAGGGCAGTGTTGTGCGCGCCGCCGCTCTCGGCCGGCGCCGCCGCGCTCGCTCGCTCGCTTAGCGAGGAGATGGAGGAATTGATGGACCACCACGGGGCGGGACCCCCAGGCATGTACCAGCAGCAGCAGTACATCTTGGTTGACGACCACGACCACTGGCCAGAAGCGCCGAATGGGCTGCCCACCCCTGCCGCCTCCACTGCCGCTGCCACCCTGCTGCCGCCCCTGCCGGGCGTCCACACGGCCCCGCCTGGCAAGCCAGTCATGATGCATGCGCAGCCTGTGGAGGACGAGGCGACCGAGTCGGAGGAGGAGCACGCGGCGCAGGGGCGATCGGCGGCGCTGGCCTGGCACCACGGCCCGGCAGTGCACCGCCCCGAGTCGGCGGTGACGGCCGCCTCGCAGCCGTCACCCACGCCCTCGGTCAGCTGGACGGCGCCGGTGGCCCCCATGGCGGCAGCGCCAGCGCCAGCGCCTGCCACCAAGGGCAGCAAGGCGTCCAAGCCGCGCAAGCCGGGGGGCAAGGGGGGCATCACGCTGCGCCTGCTGATAGAGGAGGGCATCCTGCAGCCGGGCCATAATGTGCTGTCAGTTGTGAGTCGGCCCCCTGCTGTGCCTGCGTCCTGTGTTGATGGTGATGGACGCCGCAGAGCAGCTGCCGCTTTTCAGTGCCCAGCACCCCTGCTGCTGTTGGGGCGCCTGGTGCTGTTGGAACTCCAGCTGCCCACATGCCAGGGTATTGTGTATGGGAGGGACCTTTCTGCTCCGTTGTTGCATCCCCCAACCCGTTGCGGCCCCGCCCCGCGCCGCCGCCTGCAGGACTACAAGGGCATGAAGCAGATGGCGACGCTGATGCCGGATGGCCGCATCTCCAGTGCCATTGGAGGGCAGCACATGGTGTTTGAGTCGCCCTCCGCCTTCAGGTGGCATCAGGCAGCAGGGCGACCTGCCGCCCCGGCTTCTCTACCATGTTCTGGCCGGCCACCGCCTGCTGGCTCATAACAAGTGGCCCCTGCCTGCTCTTCAGCATCGGCACCCATTCCGTTCCCGGCTGTCTTGCTGGCCTGCTTGCCTGCAGCATCTACCTGAAGCGCCTGGTCAACCCCACGCGCAAGGCTGACGACGGGTGGAAGACTGTGCGGTACAACAACAGGCGAGTTGCAGCAGTTTGCGTGCCCATTTGTGTGTCTACAGCAATACGAGATGCATGGTCGTGGTGGGCTGTGAACCAGTCCGCCTTGCTTGCAATGGCCTGGGTGCAGGGTGCTGGAGCAGTTCAAGACGGAGCTGGCAAAGCGGCGAATGGGGGACAGCAGCAGCGGTGCACCTGCACCCGCACCCCCACCACGAGCCATGCTCTCTGGTGGCGAGCGGCAGCATGCTCCCGCACCCAAGCGAGCCCGGGTAGACTCCAGCAGCGACCTCACAGGTACAGTGCACGGGTGGCTCAATGTGTTGGATGCTCACCCCACCCCCGGATGTCAAGCTGGAGGCCCAGCAAGCCCTTTGTGACCCTTTCATGCTGCCCCCCCTTGTGCCCCTGGTGTCCCTGTCCAGGCGGCTCCATGGCTATGTCAGCAACTGTGAAGGAGGGCGACCGCAATGTGCTCAAGCTCAAGTTTGCCCGGCCTAAGAGGGCGGAGGAGGGGGCGGTTCCAGCAGCGGCACGGCAAGGCGTTGGCCAAGCGGCGGCAGCAAACCCGCAGGCCCCTGCGGCACCTGATGAGCAGGGGGAGCTGGGCGACTACTCACGGTCAAGACCACGCCGGCAGGTGCACAAGCCGCCGCGGTATGCAGCGCTGGGCCAAGATGATGAGCACGCGCTGCAGCCGCTGGAGGCGTATGGCCCGGGCCCGCCAGGAGCGCCAGGTTAGCTGCGAATCTGCACCCTGGCTGCTCGTGGGCTATACGATCATGGTCTTAGAGTTAACATTGCTGTCTCGACATCTCTTGTTTGTGCAGGCGCGCAGCCGTACGCGTTGTACGTCTCCCCGGCGGCCGTTGTTATCATGGACCTCCATGCCCACCTGTGCAAATGTGAGGTCATCGGCATGCTGGCAGGCACATTCGAGCCCACAACCAGGACTATCAGGTGAGGAGCTGGAGGAGGATCAACGGTTATTGTGGTGGATGCTGCCATGGAGCATGTTGCCCTTTCAGTTGACTGTATCTGCAATGCTCGCCTCGGGATGTCCAACTTTGCAGTGTGCTTCACGCACACCCAGTGCGTGAGCTTGCCACTGAGGATGACAGCATCAATGTAGAAATGGATCCAGAGGATGAATGGCGCATGCGGCAGCAGGTAGCAGATTCGGGCATGCGGTGAGTTCCAACCGGTCTGCCTAGGACAGTTCCACCTGATCGACGCCAAAGTAAAAGTGTCAAGGATGCTGTGCTGTTCTCGCTGTCCCCTTCGTTGCTGCAGGGTTGTGGGTTGGTATCACTCGCACCCCACCTTCCCCACACAGCCATCGACGATAGATATATATAACCAGGCACGTCCCTGTTGTGCTGCTCTTGCTGGGCAGCTCCAAGGCAATGAGCTGGATGCGCTTGTAATGGGACAGCAACTGGTGCTGTGTGCCCTGCCTTGCTGTGGTGCAGGTGCTGCAGCAGCACCACCACCGCGATGAGGCATCTGGTGCGGAGCCGTACATTGCAGGTGTGCCAGTATGCTCGCCAGCACCAGCACATGTTCTGGCATGTGCGCGAGGTTTTGAGTCTGTAAACACTTGAGCTGGCTCTTGCCTCCAATGCACGGCCACACCGCTGCAAGCTTGTGTTCTCTTGCTGCAGCCATTGTGGGCCCGTACGACAAGCGGCTGAACAGCCCTTGCAGCAGCATCACCTGGTTCTATGTTGACCACCAGCCAGGCACGCTGCCAAGCGCAGGCCAGCGCCCCGAGGACGTGGGCTGTGTGGCCAAAGCACTGCAGACCGTGCAGCTGCCGGACAATGGCAGCTGCAATGTCCAGGCAGAGATTATGGCTATGCCGGCGGGCAGGATGCTGGAACTTACACAGCGGTATGCCACCAAGCGCGACGCAGGTGCGCAGGGAGGGGTGTGTGCGTGGCTGAGCTTGCCATCAGAATGCAAATGAAGAGCCGGCAGGTGGGACATCATGAGCGTTGCCACTCCCCACGGTGCAGTTGACATGGCGGGCGTGTGGAGGGACGGCACCAGCTGCATCCAGAAGCTGGTAGCTTCCCTGCTGGTGAGCTGTCCGACTGGGCCATTTTGAATGCTCGGCTTCAACTTCATAAACCGTGGCATCATAAACCGCGTCATCCATACATGTGTGTATTGCCAACTCGGTTCCTGCGAATGCAGAGTCATCTGCCGCCAACGCAGTGGGGCCCCAGCCAGCAGCAGGAGTTTGGCGCCCGGGTGCAAACTATGTGAGTTTGCATCAACTGCCAGCTACCCACAATTGACCACTGATCCAGTGCCCGCTTTGCACATATCTTCTTGCAGGGTTACAGCCGCGCTTTGCACGCTACCAGGAGCACCGCTTGCTGAGCCTGTTGGTAGCGGCATTGCTGTTGCAGCAGCGGGGCCTGCCGCCGCGCCATCCCTAACTGACAGGATGGGCGCAGAACCAGAGTCGGATGACGAGCCTATCAGTGATGTTGATGAGTGATACCTACTACTACCAACTGTTTGTTACATTCCGTTGTCCTGACAGCTTCCGGTTCTGCTCCTGCTTCTTCTTTAATTGTTTCACGCGTTACTGGTCAATCCTGGTCGGCGCATCTGGCAGCACTTGGTACATGGGGAGCGCCACACTGTCTGCCGTCTTCAGAAACACCGCCTGCATAGGGCACCAGCAGCAGGCAGCGAATGGGAGGGGCGGAGAGGGGCGGCTCCAAGCGTAGCGGCCTGAGGCTGGCAGCCGTGCGCCCCGCGCGCCGCTACTCACTTGCACGCCGTCCCACTTGCGTGGCACCTTCTCTACTGCGGCTGCAATGGCGGCCAGCGTGTTCTCCACGCCCTGCTGCTCGCTCTGCGACGATCTGGCCACCTTGATCGCCAGGCTGTTGCCGCCTGTGCCTCAAACAGCAGGGCATTACAGGGGGGGCGCGTGTCGTACAGTCATCCAGCCGTGCACATCTGACACCCAATGCAGCAGCATGTGCAGCAGCCAGTGCATGCGCGCAAGCTCGCACCTGACCAGAACAGGTACGTCGCCTCGCAAGCCCTGCGTATCTGCCCCGCCCAGTCCTTGCCCGTCAGCCGCACCGGCACCGGCTGCTTCTTCTTCTTGAAGAATGCCTTGCCTGCCAGCATGGGTGGGGCAAACGAGGATGAATGAGGAAGGCGCTGCGGGCTCATTGGAGTGATACAATACAAGCAACCTGGGCTGGGAGCAACCAGAGTGCGTCCCATGGTCTGGTCCCGACGGCCCGCACCTAGCAGTTTGGGCAGTGACGGCAGTATCCGCTCGTCTGCTGCAAACATGTCGTAGCTATTGCACAGCTGCCGCTTGGCCTCGTGGCTCTCGTACTTGGTGCGCAACTTGCTCAGCCCCACCACCTTGGAGATGCCCGCAACCCGCTCCTCCCGCACTTTGCTCTTGGCCGCCTTGTGCCCCTCGCCTGCAGCCGCCGGAGGGGGTGCTGGGTCCCACATGTCAATCACCAGGCGCACCCGCTGTGGGCAACCTGCCTGGACCATGCCAGCGCGGCAGAGACGAAAGAGACGGCACACCTTTGTGGTCCTTCACAAACAGGCAGACCTCCGCATTCTCCGCCACATAGATGGGGTGTGGAATTGGGATGCGGATGGGCTTGTCATGCCGCGGCTTTTGCGGGACTTTCTTCAACGCAATGACCTGCGCGGCAGCGTGGGAGGTGGAAGTGGGCGCCGGCGATGGGCGGCCCGCCGGCAGCGGAGCCCAACGCCAGGGTAGCCTCTCAACATGCGCACACTGACACCAGCAGCTCGGAGCCGGCAAAAAACGAGCACACGCCGATGGAAGTCCTCTGCCATTCGGAATTCGGCATGCATGCACTTTGCCGTGGGCTGTTCTTGCGCACCAGGTAGAGGAGCTCATCCTCCTCCAGTAGGCTGTTCTTGTCTTCGCCGCGGGAAAATTTCAACAGAGCCTTTACCGCCTTCCTCACTATCTCCACATCGATATAAGAAACCTTGTTCATCTTGCGTATTCACAGGAAGAAGAAGAACAAGGCTACGTGAGTGACTCGGGGGGAGACGCGCCAGTCGACCAGCTGAGCTTGCCGCCACAGCGCGCCGCCACAGCGCGCCCGTCTGGCTGGCCAGGTAGTCGCCTGGATCTGGACCAGATCATCTGGTTGGTGCACGAGTTGGGTCACCAATGTCTTGCGTGCATTCCTGAACTTGCAGTTGTACCCCAGTGCGCTTTACCAGGGAGACGGGCGCCAAAGCGACCGCACCGTCAGTGCCGTCGCACACCCATCCGAACCAAAATGATCCTAGTCTCGATCTACTGGACGGTGTTTTGAATGAGCTAAGGTGAACATTCTGTGTTACTCGACGAGACCACATCAACTTCACGGGAAAGGAAAAACTAGCGCCCCCCGCAGAGACATGCTCATGCCAATCAGCAGGCTGGAAAATGGAATGGGATCGACCGCAATCAAATATTACTAACAGGAAAAATGGGGGGGGGGCATCTGATGAGGGGAGACAGAAGCATGTTATGATTCAGACATTGTGTATTCGGGTTGCATTTAGGGTGCAGGCTGATGACCGCATCCGACGGCTTCACTCCTTGTCCTCCAAATTCACCAGCTTGCACGACATGCTCCACAGCTTCTTGGCCTTCTCCATGTTGCTTGCCTGCACAGAGCAGAGCCACGAGGGGTCGAGTTGAGAAGGGGGGGGGGGGGGGGTGCGTGCCAAACCTGACCACTAGGTTTGGGGGGCCAATATGCGTTGCCCTGCTACTTGCCTCCTCGCTGAGACGGTTCTCCAAGGCGCCATCCACACTGTCGAACCAGAGCGAGGACCTGTTGTTGGGCGAGCGCGGCGGCGGCAGCACGTTAGCAGGCGCGGATGCGAAGGTTGCGGCTGAGGAAGCAGCACAGGCAGGGATGCTGAGCCCTGCTCGCTCTCTGCTTACTTGTCGTTATCCCATGACCAGTACACGCCGCTGTTGGCCAAGCTCGGGTCCGAAACAACCTTCAACCAGTAAAGAGGGCAAGCCGCCAAATTGAGCACAGGCAGCAGCTCAGCCCATGCTCCAGCGCACTTCGGTGCCCCCGCACCCACCCACCCCACCTGCGCCAGGCGCCGGCCAGCCTCAGCCTCGCTGACGTAGCCCTTGGTGATAAACTTCTGAAACGGCGGGAACAGGGTGCGGAAGAGGCCAATGTGGTTGCGGAAGAGGCCGGTCTCCGCGATGCAGCCTGCAGCCAACACGGGACAATCAGCAAGCGTCGTTCAGCCACAACGAGCCCGTGAGACCCCTGTGAGCAAGGCACAGCCCATCAAACGCGCTGCACTGCGGGCTGCGCAGTCACCGGGGTAGAGCGATGCAAACGTGATGCCGGTGGACTCGTGGTACCGCTGGTGCAGCTGGCGCATGGTGAGCATGTTGCAGACCTGCAGCAGTTAAGCAAGGGGTGGCACGGCGGTAAGGAAGGATGCCGCTGTGGCACAAACCACCTCGAGGGGCAGGCAGGCTGATGCACCCTGATCCAGGCAACCGCCGCCAAGCCTGCACCTTGGAGTCCTTGTACGCCTTGGCGCCGTCAAACTCGCCGCCATTGATCATGGAGCTGTTGCGGCCATCCAGGCCGGTGCTCAGGCCGCGCAGGTCGCCCAGGTCGGCCTGCGGGGAGCAGCAGGGTGAGTGGATGAGAGGCAACACGGAGCGTGCACGTGGCACCTGCGACGGAGAAGGCGGTATGAATGGGCGTCGCATGGGCATGTGCGCCGCACGGGCTTGCCTTTGGAGGCACGTTGCCTGCCAGCGTGTTGGTGTTGCCAGTGATGGAGCCGACGATGATGCAGCGGGGCTTGCCGGCGGGGTTGTTGGCGGGCGCCTGCTTCAGGTCGTCCAGCAGCAGGTTGACCAGCAGGAAGTGGCCCAGGTGGTTGGTGCTGCGGCATAGAATGGGGCATCCAGCAGGCACGAGTGGGTGCCCATCGCGCATGTGTGAAGCGAATGGCTGTTGAAGGCAAGCATGCTGGATTGGTTGGGCACCCTCAAAACATGGCCCACCACCACGCGGGGACCTGGCCAACTGCTGCATGTGGCCAGTGCCTTGGCTCACCCCACAGACAGCTCAAAGCCGTCGGCGGTGAAGGTGGGCTCCTTGGCGGTGGGCAGGTACACCGCGGCGTTGGCCACCAGGGCGTCCAGGCGGCGGCCGCTGCACAGGGGCAGGGTGGCAGGTTTAGGCTGGAAAAAAGCGGGGTGCGAACCATCACATGGGCGCTTGATCGAAGTTGCAGGACCGCGCGTGCGCCTGGACAGGCCAGTCTGCCGAGGACAGAAAACAGCTGCCGCCGTGGCGCGAACAGTGCGCACCTGTTCTTGAAGTTCTGCACAAACTGCCGCACGCTCTCCAGGGAGGCCAGGTCCAGGTGCATGACAGTGTAGGAGCCCTTGGGCATGCCCAGCTTCTGTGCCGCCTTCTCCGCCTTGGCAAAGTCGCGGCAGGCCATGATGACGTGCCAGTCACCGCTCTGCGCCAGGGAGTTGGCAGCGTTCAGGCCCAGGCCGGAGGAGGCGCCTGCAAGCAGTGATCGGGAAAGGGGGGCGCACAACGTGAGTGAGCACTGCCGAACGGGATGTGTGTGTCGACTTGGCGGCGGGCGGTTGCAGGATGAGTGCATCGGGTCGGCAACCCTCGAGCCTGTGCCGCTCACCGGTGATGACGACGGTGGGCTTCTGCAGGCTCTTGTCCTGCTCGGCCAGGGCCTTGGGGCGCGAGGCATTGGCAGCGGGCGCAGGGGGTGCAGCAACGGCCTGCACCGCCAGCGACGCACGGTGCCCGGCACTGCGCTGCGCGGCAGCTGTGCGCAGGGGGTTGGTGCGGGGTGAGGCCAGGTGGCTGACCCCACGCCTGCTGGCGGCGGCGGCGACGCCGCTCGTGGCGGAGCAGCGAGCGGCAGCAGTCGAAGCCATCTGCGGCGCAGGGGCGGGAAGCATGGGTACAATTACACCTCTAAGAGGCGCTCTCCCACTGGGCCCGGGGCTTTCGTGAAGAGCTCCCGCGGAGCAACAACTTTCGCAGCAAATGTACACACCTTCTTCTTTAGATGCAACACTGGTTGTAAACACGGCAAAACTTGGTTTACAAACAACTCGCCCGAGGGACTGGATGAGGATAAAGTCGGGAGGAAAGCGGGATTATATGATGGAATCCGGTTCGCGCTTGCATTGTGATTGGCTTCAAAGGAAGGGGAATCTTGCAATTATATAAGCTATGCAGCATGCTGCTGCTGCTCCCTGACTGCACAGCCCTGAGCTACTGCCTGCTGGCTGTTGGGCTCCTGCTGCTCTTGCTCCATTCGCTCAGGCTCTTGCACCTGTGTTAGCGGGTCCCCCTCGTCCCACATGGCCTCGCCACCGTCCAGCGACGGCTGTTCTGCCGCCTCTGCCGCCGCTGGCCCTGCTGGTACTGCTGGCGCTGCTCCTGCACCATACTCGCGGCGAGAGGGGCGGGCGGCCGCAGCTGCTGCGCTGGCAGCCTTCATGCCAGCATCCCGCTTACGAGTGACTTCTATTAGCTGCGCAAAGCTGCAGCCAAACAGGACGGCTTCACAGCCTGCCTGCTCACCCTCCCCAGCGGCCTTTGGTGCTGCTGCCGCTGCCGCTGCTGCCATGCCAGCGGACCCGGCACGTGTCGATGTGTCGGCTATCACCTTGCCGACTCCCGGTAGCAACTTCAACACCGTGCTTTGCCGCTCCTGCTGCACGACCCTCTTGGCCAGCCGCTCGTAGCTGGTGCGCTCCTGCATAGGCGAATGCAGCACACAAGGCTGTAGCCAGCGTTGCTGACGCCCAGGGCCCAAACTGCACCGCTTCCCGCTTCTCCCACGCCAGCGCTACCTGCTTGTCGTTGGCCATCTGCACAGCCAACCTCATGTTGCTGTACCGCTCCAGCAGCTCCTGTATGTGCAAATGGGCACACATGCAGCACGTCCGTGCCCCAGGCAAGGCGTCCTGTGCCTCTCCTCTGCCTGACGGCAGCGGCAGACCCTCTCGCAGCCTCTTAATACCCTGCACCCGGCAGCCCTGACCACCTTCTTCTTGCCGTCGGTGGGCAGCGAATACTTCTTCAGCATCTGGCGCAGACTCTTCTCCGAGGCAAAACTGGGGACAATCTTGGCCGGTACCGGCAGCGGCAGCCAGGTAGAAGTGCCGCCTGCTGGGCCGCAGTGCTGGCCGCCGGCATTTGCCAGGCACTGATCCACGTGGGAGTTGATGTAGAACCTGGGAACTGAGCGGCTGCGGCGGCAGCGGCAGCGGGGGGGAGAAGAATGAGATTGGCATGATGTGCTGGAGCAGCAGCTGGTGGGAACAAAGAGCTGGGCATTTCGCAAGCAGACGAAAGCGCATGCTGCAAATGTACCTGCAAACGGGGCAGCGCACAAATCCCGTCGGCGTGTCTGCTGCCACCGACCCTGCCGCGTCGGTCTGCTGGCGCTGCAGTCCGGCAGGCTGTCTTGCGCCCTCGCCCACTCCTCGTTTGCCATCCGCACGCTTGCTGCATGGCCCAGACCGGTGCTGCCGCTTGGGGGACTGGCTTATGTCGGGACTGGCACCGTCGCCTCCCAGGCTACTGCTGTCGCCGTCATCCTCGCTCATGCTGGTGGCCTCTGGCTCGCTGCTTCCGTCTTGGCTGCTGCCATCCCGCACCAACACTTGTCCCGTGCGCCGCCGTGTGGCGGCCGGTGCGCCGCTGCCGCCACCAGCATCCACGGGTGCGTGCTGCAGCGAGGCGCGCCGCTTCTTGACAGGCTGCCGCCTCCTCTCCTCCTGCGCTCCCTGGGCTGCTCCTGTCTGGGCTGCTGCTGCCACAGCCGCCCGCAGCAGCGGACGGGCCGCAATCCAGGCCGCTGTGAGTTGCAACATCCCGTGATCAACATGCAAATCGCTCGAGTTGCATGTCTTCCTGCAAAAGAGGCAGTCAGCTGTTGAATAAAATGAAGAACTCAAATGGCAGTGCAGACAACATCTGTTGCTACCTGCAAGTTGGACAACTCGGCTGCCCGCTCTTCTCCTGAAACGAGAGGTTTTGTCGGATGCATCTGCTGCAGAAAACGTGCCCACACTGATTGAAAATGAGAGGCGTTTGAATTGTTTCGTGGCAAATCGCACACGCTGAAGCTTGATCCAGATCATCTATGGCAGCTAATGCCTTTTCTAGAATCGCTGCTGCATCCATTGCATCGCAGTTGGGCCTCAAGCTTCAAATGTGGATCCTTCCACGGTGGGCTGCACCACCTACAAGCATCCGGAAAAAAATGGCAATATGCAATCAACGGTTGGACAGGCCGAGTCCTCCAACTACCTGGCCCACATCAACTGCTGCTGCTGCTGCTGCTCCTGCTGCTGCTCAAGAGCAGTAGGGCACCGAACCTTCAGTGTCTAAATGTCTAAATGGTTGGATCACAAGAGCGCTAAAACCTGTGACCCCCCCTGCGCGGCAACATCAACCAATAGTGAGAAGCGAACTCCTAATTTTTGCTGAATATATCATGACAAACCACCCGGTCCAGCCACCTTCACACCCTTAAAGTATTGAATCCCAAAAGGTGCGCACAAAAGAGCTGTCACGTGACTAGGCAGGCAGAAGGCGGCGGCGGCCAAATGCGGCGGTGGCCCACCTGCGGTGATGGCGGCAAAGCGAGGTCCGACCTGCCAGAGGCCCCAGCTGTGCTCAGACCTTGCAGGAGATGCTGGCAGCCGTCGCGGTTCTCGGGCTCCTGCGGCAGGAGTTGCCAGCGTCAAGGTCCCGGCAGGTCGCTGCCTCACCAAGCTCGACAGAGTTTCGGCGTGCTTGGATCACTTTTGATAGCAGAGAAAAGCCGTCGCCACGTTGGTACAACGAATTTTGCTTTTGTACAGCTTAGCGACACCTTCGATGCTCCTCCACCTGAAACCCCCCGGGTTTCATGAACACTGAGTCCCCTTTCAAATGTGACACTCTGCTGGGCGCTCCGATGAAACTCGCCTGTGTGCTCCTTCTCCTGGCGGTGGCAGCATCCCAACCAGTGAAGCAGCAGCATCAGCAACTGCCCGCCGTGCGCCGCGCCAGGTGGGGGGGGTGGCGGGCGTTCTGGGGTCGCCGCCACACCTACCGCCGCCGCTATGCTGCTCTACGATTTGTTGCAGTGCTGTGTTTGTCGTCTAGGCCTCAGTCGTGCCCCACCTGTGGCACTCTGGCTGATTGAGTGCAGCCGGGACCGCACGCTGCTGGTGAGCTTGGCCAATGGCCAGCTGGTCGCGCTGGACAAGCACACCGGCGTCGAGCTCTGGACGTTCGACAGTGGTGCTCCATTGCTGTCGTCTACCAATTATCATGATGCAGCGCGCATAGGGGCTGCCTCCTCAGCGCGCTTGGCAGACAATGGTAAGTAGGAGGCTCTCGCCTTTCCCTGCCCCTGCTGGACGTCACTGTTCACCGCTGAGTTGCGAGGTGCTGCTGTGGTTGGGATGCAGATGTCAGAGACTTGCACAGCGTGGGCAGCATTTTTCCTGGCACAGATGGGGGCCTGTATGCTACCTACCTTGCCACAGATGGTGGCAGCCCAAGCATACAGGCAAGCCAGTCGCACACCAGGCACAGGCACAATGTGTCGCCTGGCTGCCTACCCCCAAAAAGATGCGTGCGTGCTATGTGCTTCTTCGCTCTTCATGCGCTGGCAGCTCGCTTTTCCGTTTCTGGTTCTGGTCGTGCAGAGGCTACCAGTCAGCGTGTCTGAGCTGGTCAATCAGAGCCCGGTCAGCACGATGGATGGCAACATGCTAATGGGCAGCCAGCACACTTCAGTGTTTGTTCTGGATGGCAGGACCGGACAGTTGATCAGGTGAGATGTTGCATTTGTGCCACTGTACATGCTGGCTTCCTTTCACCGATTTTTAAGGGTAATCGCAAGTTCCTCTTGCAGAACCGTGTATGATTTTGATGGCGAGCTTGGCCAGCTGGATGCTGCCACCTTAGGTGATACACCTGTACACCTTCTGCCCCGTACGCCATATTGTGAAGCGTTTGGGCATCCGCAACATGACTGCAGAGAGCGTGCTTTATCGCTCAGAATTGTGCCAAGTTAGTGCCCACTAGCGGGGTGCCCAGTGCGCCGCGTCTTCCCTTGCGCGCTGCAGGTGCAGAGTCTGGCCTTGACACTGAGCTGAGCAGTGTGGTTGTCATTGGGCGCAAGGATTATATCCTGCGATCAGTACACCCGCAGGCAAGGTTCGCTCCTCTGTGATGCCTGTATGTGTTTCCGCAAAGTTGCTTGCCTCCTTACCACCTGCCACTGGATGCCACTGGTTGCTGAAGTCAATGCAGCTGCATGCGCCCCTCCTGGCGCAGTATGGCCTCCAGTGGAATGTGACGTGGGGGCGGGTGAATCAAATGTCCGACCTGGAAGTGTGGCAGTTTGGCGACGTGGACGACAGAGGTTTGCGATTGATTGCGACAGCTCACGATGTACTATGCAAGACCGCTCTCAAACTCGGGTCATTTATTGTGTCCTGCTCATGTTGCAGGTGTGCTTGGCAGCGCAGAAGCCCTGCCCCAGCAGCCCGAAGCACACATCGCGCCTGCAGACATCAGACTGCTTGTGGGGCCCGACTTCTCCCTGCGCTGCACGCACCCAGGAAAGATGTTGGGCGATGTTGCTACTGTGGGTGCAGTGGTTTGGTTGTTGCACCTGTGTGTGGCACGAGCTGCTGAAATGAAGCAAACTGGTAAAGTGCATGAGGATGCCTGACTGCGTCCCTCTGTATTGCAGGGGACGGCTGGGAGCAGTGGTTGCACCGGTTTGATGCGCTGCCCTTGGCTGCTTACCTGGCCAACAGCGGTGTCAACTTGTTAAGCCCTCGGCAGCAGCAGGGCATGGCGCCAGCCTCCGCCGCGGTTGCATATGCTGCCCTGCTGCCCACTCCTGCCGACGCAAGTGTCGGCCCAGGCAGCGGAGCAGAAAGCGATGCTGTGGTGTTGGTGGCGCAGAAGGGCAGCTTGTTTGGCATCCCCGCAGCGCACCTCACATTTGAGGCCGCCAGTGCAGAAAAAGGAGCAGGGGCAGCTGGGGGAGGGCAATGCCAGATGCCAGATGCCACAGAGCAGCAGCTGGTGCGGGAGCGGCAGATTATGGATAGCGCCCAAGATGGGGCACTGGAACTCTTCCATCAGCATCAGCGGCGCCAGTCAGCTGATGGAGGTCAGCTGATCCAACATGCGTCTTTGCAGTGCAAGCCCATGGCCTTCGACTCTGGCTACTGTGCATCCACCGTGCTTGGCGTGCATGTTGTGCAGCGGTATAGTGCCAGCAGCCTCCTGCTGCTGCCGTCATCAGCAAACGGCTCGGCAGCAGTCCCTCTCACCCAGAGGCAGCTAGAGGAGAAGCGGCTTGGCAGCTGGGTTGTGCTCCTTGCAGGCACAGCACTGGGAGCCACAGCATCAGTGATTGTGGTGGCATGGACACTGCGGCGACAAGCAGCGACCACCCAGCAGCAGCAGCAGTCGGTGATTGTGGCTGCACCAAGCAGCCAGAGCACTGCAATCCAAGCTGGGACCCCCAGCAGCAAGGGTCGGCGAAAGGGTGGCAACAGCAAACGTCAGCCACACCATCAACAGTTAAGCAACCATGTCAAGGGTTTGATGCAGCAAGCGGCATTGCTGGACGTGAAAGGCCAGCAGGCACCCTCGGTGGGTGGCTTGACGGCTTCCCTTCACGAGCCACAGCTTGGACACCAAGAGGACGACAGCCTGCCCAGCAGCTCAGCCATGGCAGATGGATTGACAAACCCCGCCATTCAGGCTCGGCAAGTCAAAGATGGTGTCATCTTGGTTGGGCGCATGCGGGCGAGTGCAATTTCAGTTTTGCCACTATGCCTTCCGTTTGTGCCGCCATGCATGTTGCTCATCCCGGACATTATATCCTGCTCCGCTAAAGCATTTTTCAGCTTTTCCAAGCTGCAGCTGTGTCTCCCTGCAGGTCGGGCCTGGTGTGCTGGGGTATGGCAGCGGGGGGACAGTTGTCTTCTCAGGCGAGCTGGATGGTCGACCCGTGGCAGTGAAGCGCATGCTGCGGCAGTTCTACGAGATGGCACGGAAGGAAATCAACGCCTTGATTCTGGCGGATGAGCACCCGAACATTGTCAGGTAGGCAGCCGCTTTGTACCATGACGCGGCGCCAACGTGGTGCGCATGTGTGCGGCCAGTGCTGCCTCGTGCTCTTTGGAATTGCATGCTGATACAAAACTTGTTTGCAAACATGTTGTAGGTGCTTTGCCATGGAAGAGGATCACGAGTTTGTGTACATGGCGCTGGAGAAGTGTAAAGCCACTCTGAGTGATGCCATGCAGGTGAATGCGCAGTTGATGCTTCTGGGTTCGGGCTGACTTCATGCTGCTCTGCCTCTCCACCCCCCAGTGCAGCTTCCTGTTCCGGTCGGTAGCCATGCCATTCAACTCATAGTTCATTGTTGCAGAGTGAGGCAGTGCGGCGCAAGTTTGTTGGGCCCGATGGCAAGCCCACGTCGTTTGCATATCAGATTGCCGCTGACATTGGCCATGGGGTGGCAGCGCTGCACGAGCGCGGCATTGTGCACCGCGACCTGAAGCCGCAGAATGTCCTGCTGACTGAGAGCGGAAGGTGGGCAAACTTTCCTGCCTGCTCTTCATGTGAATAGGAAGTTGTCTGAGTGGCGCAGCAAACCCTAAGCAGGTGTGCTTCTGGCTGACATACAGGGCAAAACTCTCGGACATGGGTCTCAGCAAGCGACTTGTGCCTGAGCAACTCAGCTTCGAGTCAGTTGGATCTGGAGGCAGCAGCGGGTGGCAAGCGCCGGAGCAGTTAATTAGTCGTAGCGGCGGCACTGCACGGCAAACCAATTCAGGTAAGGTTCTGCAAGTGGGTGGCTGAGGCAGCGGATGCTCGATGAACTGAACTACCCACGTCCACACATCCTGTGCAGTTGATGTCTTTGCTTTTGGCCTGCTGCTGCACTACTGCCTGACGGGAGGGCAGCACCCCTTTGGCGAGCTGTACGAGCGAGACCCCAACATTCTACAGCTGCGCCTAAACCTGAAGCATGTGCGGCACCTTCCGGAGGCAGTCAACTTGATTCGCGGCTGCTGCGAGCCTCAAGGTGGCCATGGTATTGACCCTTTTGGGTCCTTGGTTTCTACTCTGCCATATCAGCTTTCTGCCATATCAGCTTTCTGATAGCATTCTTTTTCCTGCAGATCCAGATTGCCGACCCGCCATGCATTCCGTGATGGTACATCCAGTGTGGTGGCCAGCGCCACAGCGGCTAGCCTTTTTGATCGCGGTCTCCGACCGCGTTGAGGGCGAAGACCGTGCGGTGCGCATGCAGCTGCACTTGAGCTGTGTACATGCATCGCCTCTGTTCACATTTCATGCGAGTTTAAACTTGTCAGGTTCGCTTTTTCTCATGGTCAGGAGGACCGCACGATGTACGAGGCGCTGGAGTGCTGTACACAAGATGCTTTTGGCTCTGGTGGCAGCTGGGCAGCATTGATGGATAGTGGCCTAGTGAACAACTTGGGTAAGCAGCGAGACTGCACCTTTCAGGTGTGATTACAGCCTCCAGCGGCTTCCTAGCAAACGGGGCAACCTGCCTTGCAGGGAAGTATCGCAAGTATAGCTACAGCAGCCTGCGTGACCTTCTTCGAGTCATTCGCAATAAGCACAACCACTTCAGGTGCCCAGCTGAAGCAAAGAGGGGTGATCTTGAGCACAACATATTGTGCAGCATGCGCACTCGCACTCGCGCGCGCGCCCCCCCACACACACCATGCCTGGCCATTGCAGAGAGCTCCCGGCAGACCTGCAGAAGAAGATTGGGCCCCTGCCCGGCGGCTTCCTGGGCTACTTTGCGGGCAGGTTGGTCCGCCAGCCAGGAACAAGACGATTGTGCCCCTATGTTTTGCCTGCCTGTCCTCGCAACATGGCAAAATGGTCCACTTGGCATCTAATGCAGGTACCCCGGCTTGCTGATGACTTGCTACTACTTCATGCTCAAGTGGTGCTCACAGGAACACGTCTTCCAGGTGCGGCTGCATGGTGCAGCAGCATAGCAATGGGAACCACGAGTGCAACCTGATGGGTGCCGCTGACCACTCCTATCTCTGTCGACTGGTTGCTGCTGGTCGACCCCCGGCTTGCGTGTGCAGCCCTACTTCCCAGCTGAAGCAGCTGCTCTCTTGGATCACATGGCACCACGATCAATTTGCCAGCCTCTGCTCGCAGCAGATGCAGCGGCCATGGGGAGCAGCAGCAGGCTTCAGCAGGCGGCTCGATTAGATGAGTCGACGCAGAGCAGTATGGCACCTGTTGTGGACCCGCTATTGGCAGCAGACGCTGCCATACAGGCTGCAAAGCACGCATCTGCGGCAGCAAGCGCCGCAGCGGCGGCGGTGGCATTTGCACCTAAGGTGTCTCCACTGCCGTCTGCGGAGGTAGGCACAACGCCTGCCAAGCTGTTGGAGCAAGTGCACCATGAGCCATTGGAGCGGCAGACGGGGGCAGCATCCGGCCAGTTGACGTCGAATGGCGGGGGGGCACCCAGCAGCAGCACGCCCACACCCATGCAGCAGCTGGCATCTGCTCCGGCAAGTGGAGCACGGCCTGCACGAGGGTCTCGCCTGCCACCAGGGCTGCTGCTGGAGCCTTCACTGCCTGAACACGACATTGCCCCAGGTCAGCCCACGCATGCACTCAAGCCCAGAGTGCACGCGCCTGCTGCGTAGTGCTGGCCTGACACTGCGGTTTGGTTTCATCGGTCTCATGTGCAGTGAGCATAGTGCAAGACGAGCAGGGAAGCGTGGCACTATTCCCTCAGCGTCCTGGACAGCCAGTGTGTGATTTTTACCAGAAGACCGGCCATTGCCGGTTCGGGGAGCTGTGCAAGTACCACCATCCAGCGGAGTTTGCAGTCCGCCTCAACCCCCGGGGCCTGCCCGTGCGCCCTGGCCAGCCAGTGTGCACATTCTATCAAAAGACGGGTGAATGCAAGTTTGGGCCCGCCTGCAAGTACCACCATCCATAATTTATTGAAACATCATCCATGTAACCCCATGACCTATTCAACTAACAATTATGAATATCGAATTGGCAAGCATCTTACATTGTTTTTGCAAGCATCTTGCATTTTTTGTGGAGTCATGCCAAGTACTCGTAGCCATGCTCCACGCGCTGCAAATATTCTCTGTCGATCAGTGACTCTATGCGCTTCTTCACATCTGCCTGCATCACAATAAAGGCAACTTTTGGTGGTAAAAGTCATCAAACAATGCATTGTGCTCCCGCTGCGGTCAGCTGGTGAGCAAACGCCCCTGCAAGCATCTCTGCTGCTCACCTGCCCCGTGGGGAAGCGCAGCTGCGAGGCCAGCTCGCCCAGGAGTAGGTTGTGGCTGAGCGACTTGCGCATCTTCATGATGCGCACAATGGCAGCGTCTATCTGATGGAAGCGGTCCTGCAGCACCTGCTCGTTGGTCTTCTTGCTGTCCTCATCGCTGTCACTGCAGGTGACAATTTGAATTGTGTGCCTTTGAGTACCTGCGCTGATGCAATGGAAGTAGGTTTGGTGGCGATAGTGCGCCACAACGTCAAGCCCGGCACTCACTGCATCTGCAGGTTGTTGATCTTAACACGGAAGAGCCGTGAGGTGTAGGCCTCATTGAACTTGAACACATCCTGGGGGCCGATTTCAGCGCTGGCCGGCTCCTTGCGCAGCACCCTGCAGGAACACACACATAACACTGTTGAGTAGAGATCCATCACAAATGCGGTGCAAGTAGGAATCATTGGAAGTTGTTGGGAATAATCGCAGTGGTATACACGTCGCCCCACCCCACCCACACCATCACCACCCTCACTTTTCTTTCGCCAACGACAAGCTGGCCAGAGTGCGCCGCAGCTCGCTATCTTCCAATTTGAGAGCTGCCTGAATTTCGCTAAACGTCAGCTGCTCGCTCTCATTGAACAGCAGCAGAACGGTGGCCTGCGTTGTCAGAATAGTTGTAGTGAAAAAGGTCCAGCCGTGCCTGTATTTCGAGACGCACCGCAGCATTTGTCATGCACGCACCTGGTGCAACGATGCCTGCAGCTCTTTCACTCCCATCGGGAACTGCGCTCGCACTACGCAGTTGCTAGAGGTGCTGTGCCATGCCAGCTTTCGACCGCCGTGCTTTGAAAGATAGTATTCTGCAAACTCCTGCAGACGAGCATGGGTAGCAAAGATAAAAAAGCACATATTGCATACACAGGAAACAGCCAGGTCGTTGTAGAAACACAGGTTGCTCCTGAGCACCGACCTTCTGAGCCCGAACCAGCTCAGTCGGCAGCAGACAGTCAAAAGCACGGTAGCTGGGCCAGAAGCCGCTGGTGAGGACCAGCACATTCATGTCCACAATGCTCCCTGGCTTCGCTGCAATGTAATGCTTGAAGCCGGACATGATATCGCTTGAGATCTCAATATCCTGATAACACAATATAGGAGCAGCGGACCTAGTCAAAAGAAATAGAACATGGATACCAAATCGCAGGGCATCCCAACATACCTTGAGCATCCCTTCTAGCTGGTTTGTGAACTGGGGTCCACATTCTGCCTTGATCTTTGATATGCACAGCTTCTCCGCATCCATGCTGGCACTCCGGCCCATGAGCAGCCGGCGCGACATGATACGCTTGAAATACGCGGCGAAGATGTCCTTGCCCTGGTGAATGGAATGGGGCCCACAAAGGACACATGTGAGTGATTATGTACAGCTCCAGGCGCTCAGCGAGTGGGCGGGACTGGGCCCGACTATCTGCGGGCAGACAGACCCTGCCTGACGCCCAGCAGCTCAGCGGGGGCGAGGCAGCAGGGTGAAAGGGGCATCAGGGGAAAACCGAGGTTGACAGGCCCTTCCCTTTCACCTGGACGTAGCGGAACAGCGCCAGCGCCGCATCCAACACTTCCTCCAGGCTGCTTTCCTGTGCCCCCGCCTTGCTGCCGCGCCGCAGAATGCTGTCCAAATACCTAGCTATCAGCTCGGCTGGCTTGTCTGTGCGGGAATTCAAGCAGGCCTCGAACCCTGCAGTTGCCACAGGCAAGTATGTGCTGGCAAGTATGTGCAGATGTTTGCCTCTGCCTCCGTTACCTTGGAGTGTGCATACACATTCCAAAAGCATTCCAATCCATTGACGCTCACCCTCCTTCAGTGCCTGGGCAAACTCGGCATGGTTGGCGAAGCTGTTGCGTAGAACAGACAGCATGTCCGCACGGAACTTCAGCATGCGCGACACCATCTCCTCCTCCTACAGAGCAAAGCAGAACGGCCACCCATCACGTAACGGAATCAAATGGATCAATTTTGATATTGGAAAGCCAACAAAGCATGTGCATCGACCACTCTATCCGGCCAACCCACCTTGTGCTCATCCATCACCACAGCAGACCCAGCAGTCCTGATGTAATCGCGGAAAACAAGCCGCAGCCCTTGCAATGCGCCTATTCGAGCGCACATGCTGCACAAGAAAAGTGCAGCAAGGCTTGCTGTTTGCAGATGGGCATTTTAATGTGTGGGCAAAACACATAAAAATGGCCGTGAACCGCTCCTTTCACTTGTTGCCTCTGTCATCACATTTCCAACCAACCTGTATAGCCGTCCAAGGTCCTGCTCCTGGCAGGACGCCAGCAGCCGCATGCTGCTGTCTAAGATGCTGCTCATGTGCGCCTCCAGCAGGCATTGGTCGAGAATGTCTTTCAGCGGTTTACGAAGTGCGAACCCCAGATACGCCTCGCAGCGGTTGAACTCTTCTGCCAGCCGCCGCTCACAGTGCACAAGGTAGGCGGCAAGCTCCAGCTCCTGCGGCAGGAAGGGAGGTGGCAAGCAGATCCGCCTGGTGTTAGTGCAACTGCATTCAAGATCATCCCTGCCATCGGGGGTCAAAAGTTCTCACAGCGACCCGATGTGTCGCAAAATGTGCAGCAGGCAAAGCCAGCAGCGTAAATGTGAAATGCACCCCCACCACATGCCCTGCCGCACATTAATCAAACTGCTTCCTTCGCGGTTGTAGTACTGTATGGCACTGCTGAGCAGCATGTCGCGTGCCCCATCCTCGTACAGCCGCAGATTGGTGAGCATGGCCACTGTGTGCTTGAGCAGGTAACGGTTGACTGCCTCGCCGCTGCGTTCCGCCTCTACAAGCTGCAGCATGCTATCCACTATTCGCTGGTGCACCTGTGCAAGGCATCGCAGGTAGCTGTGTAAAAGGTTGGAGAAGCGGCAGACAGGCATGGCATTGAACCATGAGCCTCGAGAAGATGCAGCATTCAAGTGCAAACCGCAAGACAAAGTCCAGAAAGTGCAATGCATGGCGGGCAACAGAGATTCCACCGCCCTCCCGCACATGTGGCAGCGCCTGCAGCTGGCAGCGCAGCTGATGCAGGCCCAGCTGGAACACGTTGAGCGTCCCGGGGTTGCTGACCACATAGGCACGGTCCAGGTACAGAAACACCTGCCTGCAAGGCAAGAGCAGGGCGATGCAGAGTGGGTGGTTGAATGGGCTGCGGGCAGAGTGCCACCAGTGCACTGGCGTGGCTGCCGTAGGCAGTGCTACTGGCCTGATCAGGTCGAGGTGGTGGGAATAGTGCTCCCACAGGGCCACAAGCCGCTGCAGAAAGGTGGTGGTGTCCAGCGCCAGGTGCGACGCCAGTGCCGCCACTTCTGCCGCCGCACAGCTGCCGAACTCGTCGCCCAGCAGGGCGTGCAGCGCAGGACCCTGCTGCGCCTCCACTTGCGTCTGCACGCTGCTGAACAGCTCCTCCAAGCTGAACACCTCTAGAGTGCGCTGCGTATTGTTGGAGCGAGCCTGAATAGCCCTGACGGCCGCCCGGAGGTGGTCCCTCTGTTTGTCATTTTCGGGGTGCGTGATCGAAGGAGCCTCCCTGAGCTTCACCACGAGCTTCTTGGGCCCGCCTGACTTCGGACCCATCAATGCTATAACCGATCGGAGGGCGTGTGGGAGGGTGGCAAAATCGCATGAAGGAGGCTGCTCGCCGAGGCGTTCTGTACCTTCTCATGTACCTTGCGTGCCGGCCCTCTCGATTTTATGCCCCTCTTCACGCAGAACTTGAGCCACTAACGAGCGCGCCTGTCGGCGTGTTGACCAGGTCACCGCCCCCGCCTCCGCCCCCGCACTTGCGCACTGCGATGGACGACTCGCTGGCACCCATAGCGCTGCTGATTGACTCGCTTCGTTCTCAGGATCCCTCGCAGCGCCTCACCTCGGTGAAGAAACTCGCTGTGATCAGCAAGGCCCTCGGTAAGGCACCGCGGTCTCCAGCGGCCACCACCGCCACCAACACGGGGGTTGACCACGCGCCCGCCCGCCGCCCTTTGCCTGCCGTTGCGCGACCCCCCCCCCCCCCCGCCCACACACACACCCGCCCTGCCCGCCTCTAGGCGAGGAGCGCACGCGCAGGGAGCTGATCCCTTTTGTCAATGAGAGTGTGGATGACGAAGATGAGGTTCTGCTGGCGCTGGCTGAGGAGCTAGGCGAGTTTGTGCCACTGGTGGGCGGTGCGCAGTATGCGCACTTCCTTTTGGCGCCGCTCGAGGCTCTGGCCACGGTGGACGAGACAGTGGTGCGGGAGCGCTCCGTGGCCTCCATCTGCAGCATCACTGCGCAGATGCCGGCGGGCAGTGTGCAAGAGCACCTGCTGCCCCTGCTCCAGGTGGGTTGAGCCGGGGGCCGGCGTGACAAAGCAGCTGTGCTGTCAAACCTTGGGCTGTAGAGGCTTGCCCACGCGCCACGTCGTGAACATGTCATGCTGCAGAGGTTGGCCGGCAGGGAATGGCCAGCACGAGTGTCGGCCTGCAAGCTGTTTGCCACGGCATATCCACCAGCACAGGTGCAGAGCTGTTGCCCGCTGTCAGCCACACGCCACCTTCAGCCATTTTGGTCTGCATCATCTGTTGTCAGGGATGCAATATGTCTGCCTGCAACCGGCTTGGCATGTCAGTCAAGCTGCACATGTTTGTGGCGGTTGCAGGAGCAAAACCGTGTCGAGCTTCGGGCAGCATTCCTTAAACTGTGCCACGATGAGACACCCATGGTCCGGCGAGCAGCAGCACAGGTATTGCGCATGGCTTTATGACATCCACGCCTGCCTTGGCCCGGTTTTGTGGAAAGCATTGCAATTAGTGATTGCGAATTAATTGTATGCTGGGTCGACCTGGGTTGCAGGCACTGGCGCCTTTTTCAGAGATGCTGGAGCCGCAGCACATAAGGGAGGACATCCTTCCGGCGTTTGTGGATCTTACTCGAGATGACCAGGACAGCGTGCGGCTGATTGCAGGTAACCATGCCAGCCTCTTACATCTGCACCTTCTGTCTTTGGCAGATGAAAACCTTTCATTGCTTTGCTGCGCTGCTACATGCAGTGGAGGCAGCGGGGGCGCTGGCAAAGGTGCTGCCGCGGGAGGAGGTGGCAAACCCTGTGATGCCAGCAGTGGTGCAGTGTTCCCAGGACAAGTCCTGGCGCGTGCGGTACAACGCGGTGCAGCAGGTACGGTGTTTGTTGCGCATGCATGTGTTGTGTCAGGTGCAGCGACTGTTTGGCTGTGGCATGGCTCCTCACCAAGCTTCCATCATGCCTGTAGCTGCCAGCCCTTGCGGAAGCATTGGGGGCTGAGACTGCAAGCTCAGAGCTGCTGCCGCTCTACCTACAGCTGCTCAGGTGCAACCAATGCACTTGGCTGGCACACCGCATCAGTCCAACTAGCAGTGCGCCGTGCCTCCATGCCCCTTCATACGAGGCATTATAATTGTGATCTTCGCGCTCTTTGTGCAGAGACAATGAACCCGAAGTGCGCACAGCAGCAACCGGCAAACTGTCGGCATTCGCCAGGCTCCTCCCTGTGGCTGACGTCACCAGCCAGGTGTGCTGGGTGATGGCTGGGCTTGCCAGATATGGTGGTCACCGGTGGAACAAGCTGCGTCTTTCACTGCGAACGACCCACTGATGGTATGCACTTGTCTTTGCAGCTGCTGCCCCGCGTCAAGGATATTGGCGGCGATGCCAACCAGCTGGTGCGGTCAGCCCTGGCGACGGTGGTCATGGAGCTGGCGCCCATCCTGGGCAAGGTGACTTGACTCGCCCTGCGCTTGATCACCAGTGTCTGGCGCCAGGCGCGCTCCCACACAGCCATGAATACTGGCGCTGGATCAGCCTTCGCCCTGACCTGCCCCTGGCGCTGCTCGACGCAGGGCGACACAGTGGAGCAGTTGCTGCCGTTATTCCTAAGCCTGCTGAAGGATGACTGGCCGGATGTCCGGCTGGCCATCATTGGCAAGCTGCAGGCCGTCAATCAGGTACCTCATATGTCGTCTCTGCGCTGCTTTTACCGACTTGCCTGGCGCAGGTGCAGGCCCCGCATTGCATTGACTTCCGCAGCAAGCTACTATCCCTGGTGCAGGTGATTGGCATCGAGCTGCTGGCGCAGACGCTGCTGCCAGCGGTGGAGGACCTTGCAACCGACAAGCACTGGCGCGTGCGGCAGGCAATCATTGAGCATACACCGATGCTTGCGACACAGGTGGGTGTGTTTATTTGTGTTCTGACTGTCGCTCTGCTGGCACTCGGCTATGCTCGGACTTCCTCTCGATTTTCCTTTCAGATCCCCAATACCCCCCCCACACACACACCACCCCCTGGTCCTGGCACCGCCGCAGCTAGGGGCTGAGCTCTTCCAGCAGAAGCTGGGACGACAGTGCATGCTTTGGCTGCAGGTACGCAGTGGGGCTGCCAGCGCGGCATTTTGTTCATTTTTTGCTTCCTCCTGCACTTGCAGGTGCATCCTCCTGCATATCCTCCTGCAAAGTGGATAGCACCCACCGCTGTCTTTGTTGTGCAGGACCCTGTGTACAGCATCAGGGAGGCGGCCATTCAGGTGCTGCAAGCAGTGGGCAAAGAGTTTGGACCAGACTGGGCGCGCGAGCACATTGTGCCCCAGGTGGGTGGCCGTGCGTGTGTGTTTTCAGCAGCAGTGTTATTTTTGTGTTTTCTTCCGTTACCTGGCTTGCCGTTGCCTGCTGCAGGTCCTGGCCCTGATGAACAGCGACAACTACCTGCACCGCATGACAGTGTTGAGTGCCATCGGCGCCCTGGCGGGGTCGGTGCACAAGGACGTGGTGCACAACAGCATGCTTCCCGCCGTGGTGGCCTGCTCCAAGGTGTGGGATTGCCAGGGCGGGCCTCTTCGGCCGTTGCTGCGTGCCCTGCATTGCATTGCGACCCCTCTTGTGCCTGCCCTTGCAGGACCGCGTGCCCAACGTGAAGTTCAATGCCGCCAAGATCCTGCAGCAGCTGGCGACGCTGTCCGACCCCCCCGCCATCAGCCAGACAATTCGCCCTTGTCTGGCGGAGCTTAGCACAGACAAGGACAGCGACGTGAGGTTCTTTGCTCAGAACGCTCTGGCGGTGTGCGGGGGACCATAACCCTGCCCACCGGGTGTGCGGCAATCACAGTTATCCGTCATCCCAACCATGCCCTCTACAAAACATCTTCATTCCGTTGCCGCGGGTGCCTTGAAGTAAAAAATTCATGAACGCAAAGCTGCTGCTGCTGGGGCGGCGGCTGCTGCTGCTGCGGCGGCGGCGGCGGCGGCGGCGGCGGCGGCGGCACGTCCACGCTGCTCGTTTTCTCATTCCTATGGAATTGGAATCTAACGTGAATGCTCACAGACAGGGCTCAATTTGTTAATAGATAGATGAGATGGAAGTGATGATGTGGCCAGAGTGCTGCGTCGTTGATTCAGCCCTCACAACCCACATCCGGCACCTCCCGACTCCTCTTCTTCTCAGGAGGAGCACAGACTGTCCCCAAGCTCGTTGGCCACGCCCCCGCGGCCCTCGACCAGATACGATGCTCGGAGTGGTGTGTGGCGCTGAGAGGCGCTGCTGCCAGGAGCCCGCTGTCACGCTGAATTGCGCTGGCTTGATTGCTGCTGTTGATTGGTGGGGCAAGGCACTGGAGGCTGAGGCGATTTGGGCTGCGTGCCCCTACCCACCTCCCCCACTCAGGCAGGAAAGGGACCCTCCCCTCCTCCCTGTCACCGCAGGCAGTTCGTGCCCCTTCTGTGGTGCTCACCACGGGCAGCCGCTGCCAGCGCCGCCCCGGCGCACCGGCTTTGCCGACTCGCCGCCGCCACCTTACCGTCCGCAAGGCTGCTTCTGCGGTTGATGTGGGCCTGGCTCCCTGCCCGCCCCAGGTGGGCCAGCTGAGTGACGATCAGCGCCAGGAGCTGGCCAAGCAGTTTGGCTTCAGGTGAGGGGCGCCACAACTGATGTGGCGCAACCGCAGCCAACGCCAATGCCAGTTTGCGCTCTGCAAACTGCAGCTCAGCGAGGCCTGTCGCTGCAGGTCCATCGGTAAGGAGCTGCCCAACGACGTGACGCTGCAGGACATCATCAAGACCATGCCACCGGAGGTGCATGGGTGATTGCACTGGGCCTCCCACACCCTGCTCCCAGCCTTGCAGCCCGCTCTGCCTCAACCCCGGCATCGCCTCACCTCGGCAAGCCTGTTGGCCGCGCAGGTGTTTGAGCTGAACATGTGGAAGGCTTGGTCGGCGGTGTTTGTTGCGGTGACCTCCTTTGCAGCCTCGCTGTACCTCATTTCCATCTGCCCCGCCCCACTGCTGCCGTTTGCCTGGGCCCTGTCTGGCACCGCCATGACTGGGGTGAGTCGCCGCCGCTGGCGCCAGCTGGCAGCAGGCAGCGCATGGGGGGCCTACATTGCAAAATGAGTTGCCATGCACACCATTGGCAACTCTGGGCTTCACTTTCCATGTGTGCCTACGCCGGCCCCCGCCGCCGCAGTGGTTTGTGGTCGGCCACGACTGCGGCCACCGTTCCTTCAGCAAGAACAAGCTGGTGGAGGACATTGTGGGCACCCTTATGTTCATGCCGCTCATCTATCCCTTTGAGCCCTGGCGCATCAAGCACAACCAGCACCACGCGCACACCAACAAGTGAGCGCCTTGGTGTGTGGTTGCACGACGCGCTCCCTCTGGCGCCCATTATCGAGCGCCCGCTGTCTACCTCTCTGAACCCTGCACGCGCCCTGCACTGCCCCGCTACTGCTCCGCGTGCAGGCTGGTGGAGGACACCGCTTGGCACCCAGTGCAGCGGGAGGTGATGGAGAAGTGGAGCCCGGTTGAGCGCTTCCTGTACAAAACCTTCCTGGGCAGCCCACTCAAGCTGTGGGCATCCGTCGGCCACTGGGCGATCTGGCACTTCGACTTGAACAAGTGAGGGCAGCGCGCCGACCGGACTGGCCTCGCTGTCATCCTCGCTGCTCATTTGTGGTGCATCGCTGCTCCGCCTTGAGCGCAGGTACACTGAGCAGCAGAGGCCACGCGTGCTCACCAGCCTGGCGGCGGTGGGCCTCTTCATGGCTGTGGGCTGGCCACTCATTGTGTACTACACCGGCTGGCTAGGCCTGGTCAAGTTTTGGCTCATGCCCTGGCTGGGCTACCACTTCTGGATGAGTGAGTGCGCATGCTTTTTGCTCAAATAGGAAGTTGCATCCCCCTGCCGGCACCGGGCCTTTGGCAAATGGCATGTCCGCACTTCCACCGCCCTGCAGGCACCTTCACCGTGGTGCACCACACCGCGCCGCACATCCCCTTCAAGCCCGCTAGCGAGTGGAACGCGGCCAAGGCGCAGTTGTCGGGCACCGTGCACTGCGACTACCCGCGGGTGCGTGCAGGGGTGGCGCTGGGCTTTCAGCAGCTGTCCAGGCCCGCAGGCAGAGCGGGGGCAGTGCTGCACGTGCCCACCATCAGCCGAACCACCCCTGACGGCAGGTGCTGACTGCTGGCGTGGCGGCCGCCGCTGCCGAGTGCTGCAGTGGGTGGAGTTCCTGTGCTTTGACATCAACGTGCACGTGCCACACCACGTGATGTCCAAGATCCCTTGGTACAACCTGCGGGCGGCCACTGACAGCCTGCGCCAGGTGAGCTGCTTGCGCGTGCGTGCACGCTTGCCCGCAGCGATCTTGCTCTGGCCCCACCCCCTGGCGCCGAACCAGGAAATTTGCTGAAGGAGCGAGTGTGCTCGGCCTGCAGAACTGGGGCGAGTACATGACGGAGTGCTCACTCAACCCACGCATGCTCAAGGTGGGCGGGGTGTTGCAGCGCTGCATATCAAGCCTGGAAGCATCACTCTCCGCTGTTTTCTGCCATGCACAAGCCCTCGATGTCTTCTCGCCTTGCTGTCTTCTCGCCTGCAGTACATCTTCACGCACTGCCACGTGTATGACGAGGAGCGGAACTATGTGCCGTTTGACTACAAGGTACGGCCGTGGCTGCCGCCGGATGTGGATGGATTGCCTGCTACCTGTTGTTCCAAGCATGGCATCTGCCATCACATTCTGGAGCCCCCGACCGCCCCTGGATGCAGGAGGAGGAGCCCTTCTTCGCGGCGCAGCGGCGGATTCTGCCAGAGAACATGTGAGGCCTGGACTCTACGGAGGACGTGTAACTGCCAATTCTTCTTCTTCTTGAGAGAGCGCATCAATTGATGTTCCCCAATCATACACTCGTATTGTAAAGTTGTTGAAAGGTGCAGCCAGGAGATTGGTGGTGGTGCCGCCTACTGCCTGAGCGGGCATTTGCTGCGAAATCTCTATCAATGATAGACATCAAGCCGGAAAGCACACAGGCTGGGTGGTTTCTGGAAGGTGCAGGTAGGGCCGACAGCAAGTTTCAAGTTTGTTGCACGGTCGCGGACAGAACAAGAAGATGATACCCTCACATTAAATGATCAGCCACACAGTTTGAGTTGCAGAGCAGACGAGGCTTGACGTCCCACTCATCACCTGGATCTAAGTCGCCCGACCTCCTTGGGCACCGCTTCGGCGTCCACGGGCCTTTCATATCTGGGAGCGCGCAGCAGAGATGGCGAAGAGCAAGGTGAGGGGTGGGGCTCTTAAGATGCAGCAGAAGCATGATGCGGTCGAGACTGACGTGCGGCGAGTGCTGACATACACTCGGACATCTGCAGCCGGCAAGCGGCTCAAACCGGCAGCGGCTCGCGCGCCTCAAAATACCACACCGGCCGCAGCAGCGGTGGTGCCGCCGCCTGCGCCAGGGCGCCGCGCGTGCCTCTGCTTTTGCCAACAGTTGCCTGCTCTCACCCTTGCTTTGCAGAATCACACGTGAGTTCCCCGACGCTTACATACATACAACTTCCATGCGTTTGCACTGGAGGTTGCACGCCAGTGCGACCTCAGCAATGCGGCCGAGTAGCTGCTTCTTGGGGGACCACAGCAACACGCAGCAGAGTTTGTTGCGTCTTACTTGCTTGCGCCACCTCCTCTGTATGCAGGGCGCACAACCAGAGCCGCAAGGCGCATCGGTGTGTGACCCTGTGCTTGCAGACCTGGCTGTGTTTTGTGTTGTAGCGTGCTCCGTGTTGCATGGCCTCCCGCCTATGGCCTCCGTGGGGACCTGTCTGGGGACCTGCACCTTGCTACATTTCTATGCTGCTGCCTGTCTGCAGGAACGGCATCAAGAAGCCGCAGCGCCAGCGGTATGCCAGCCGCAAGGGGTGAGCAGTTGGCGGGAGTGTAGCTCGGTGCCGTGGAACAAGAGTCTCTGCATGTGTGTGGTGCTTCTCTGCGCATGGGCCTGAGGTACCCCCTCCCTTCCTGCCATGCAGCATGGATCCCAAGTTCCTGCGCAACCAGCGTTTCGCGAAGAAGCACAATGCCCAGGCAGAGAAGTAGTTGTCCGGGCTTGTGTCAAAGCGTGTAACACGAGCTACGCTCGCATCCCACAAAAGAATAGAAATAGAGGTGGAACATGTTGTGGTGTGTTTACATTGGGGGTACTCTTGCCAAGAGCAGCGTCAGGAATACTGCGGCCTGAATACAGCGAAGCAGTATTATAAGCAGTTTCAGAGAGCGGGCCGACCCAAACGCCAGATTCTGTTGGTGCCATTCGCCCAAATGGCACGCATCAGAACCGCATGGAAGCAAGGGAGGCAGTATATAGTTGAGACGTCTCCACAAATGACCTCAAAAAACTGACAGAGCAAAAAGAAATCAAATGAAATGTCGGGTGGTACTAGTCGGCATCCTGGCTACATCCTTGCTCGCAGCAGGGCTGCTGGCAGCGACACCAGCTTGCGCCACTTTGGCACATATGCCCGCTGCGTGAAGTTGTTGTAGTCGTTGGCCTCTATTGCGTCCAAAATTTGGCGGTACAGGACGAGCGCCGTCCTACACATCAAGAGCACGCAGCCCAGTTGATTTTTGCCTCAGCTCTGTTGATCAGGCTTAGGGAATGAGCAAGGGAGCGTATGTTTTGCTGAATGAACACCATGGCGCACGGCAAGGGGCATGGCAGGCTGCCCCAAGGTGCACACCAGACAGGCCACCGCGCTTCGGCATCAAGCAGGTTCACGCCGGCTTCTGCCTCGGCAAAGATCTGCACACAGACTTGGGGGGGCACACAACGCGCAGGGTCGGTCCATAAGAGCAGAAGAGGTCGCCTGCAGGGGATGGCTCAGTTCTCAACAAGATGGCTGCAACCTGGCCTTGTGAACAAAACAATGGTAACATTGCAAAGCACCTGCCGCGCACGCGCTATCTGAAACTGCATGAAAGCCCGCCAGCGATCATCAATACGCCCAGTGCTCGCTGCAAAGAGTGTGCCATTTAGCACCTGCAAGTGTCAATGCCCAAGACTTAAGTTACGCGGATGGAGGCCGCAAAGTGACGACCGAGGCGAATTAGGGGTTCGCTGCACGTGTTGCAGCACATCAAAGGCCTGCATGACTGCAGCACGCTGCCAAGAGCCATCGAGGTGTTGCACACCTCCTCCTCCCGAATCTTAAAGGCCGCGAGCTCCTCCAGCGGAATGTAGATGCGGTTGCGCTGCGAGGCATCCTCTCCAACGTCACGCAAGATGTTGGTCAGCTGGTTGGCCGTGCCTAGCGCCAGTGCAGCGCGATACACATTCTCTAATGGCCCCTGCAGACCAGATGGGCATTACCGTGTTGAAGGAAAACACAAAGAAAGTACTGTGTCACAGTGTGCAGTTTTGGATGCGGCAGCCCCAGAGGTGGCTGGCCTGGTGGCGCGGCAGCCCGCAGCGGCACCCGCCTTGTACGACTTGTCCACGCCCATTACCGGCACGCTCATGAGCGCCACGGCGCCGGCCACGCGGTAGCAGTAGTCGTACAGCTCATCGTAAGTTTCATACCTGCAGGTGCGGCGCAGCCAGCAAGGCGTGAGGGCTGGGCTGGCGCATGGCGCGATTCCACCCAGATCATTGCGGCTCGGAGCACCAGCACCAACCGCTCACCGCGACTTCACGAGATCCATGCGCATACCACCAATCATGTCCCTGCAAGCAGCAGCGCAGCAAAGCTGCATGATCACTTGCCACAGCGTCATGCGTGTTCACAGAAGCTCCTGAAGACAACCTGAACTCACCGAAAGGGCTGAATGTGGACGGGGAAGCGAGAGATGGTGTCTGTGAGTGCTGCATCCAGCGCATCATAGGGTCGGCCCTCAAATAGCGCGTCGAGCCGGTTCTCCCAACGATCCAGGGCCTGCAGCCATGCAGGCAGGCACGGTTGAGGCTATGGACTGTCTGCCAGGCGTCCAGCTGATCACCTCAGCTAGTGTGGCATCGCCGCTTGCGGCCAGACCGCCAACTCACAGCAGGCGTGATGCGCGACGCGTTGGGGCCATCCACCAGCTCATCTGTGCGCCTGCGGCCCAGCAGCAGCAAGGTTGATCCAGCCCCCCAAGGGCAGCGCGGCAGTGCAACGGAAACGCCAAGCCGGGTGCTGCGGAATCACCCTCACCGGCACCACACGTAGATGGCCCAAATGGCTTTGGCCTGCTCTGGAGTCATCAGCTGCGTGCCCAGGAAGAACGTCTTGGCATACTCGCTCGTCACCTCCCCACATCTACAAGCAAGCAGCAAAAAAGAGCAATCCACTACGGGTCGGTGACCACCGCGCAGGAGGTTGTCTAACCACCAACACTGGAGGGAGGAAGGCGCGCATACAGCTGTGAACCTTTCTGCATTCCCAGCCAGGACTTTGGGCAGGCAAGAGTGCGGAGCTGCAGGGGCGCAAGGGCAGGCGGCGGTGGCCGCACAGCCCCGCTGCACCAACCTGTCGTAGGCTTGCAGCAGCTCCAGGCCCTGCCACTGCTGGCTCACGCGGCGCTGGCTCTCCCCCCAGGACTCGTGCAGCCCTATCTGGAGCCAGAGTGCACGCTCCTCCACCTCCCTGCCGCTCAGCACCTTGCTGGCCAGCGGCTGCACGGCGCCTACTGCAGTTGTTTGAGTGGTGCTCTGCTGCGCCACCGCTTGCAGGCAAGAGCCCCGCTTGCCCACTCGAGCGGCTGGTGGCCGGTGTGAGAAGGGCTGGCCAGCCACAGAAACCGTGCATGCTGGCCACATTGCAAAGTGTGCGTTGACACATCGCCTCTCCGAGCATGAGCCTTACGGCGGAGAGGAGGATTGGGCACTACATTTCGCAGTACAGCGAAGAGAATTGTCCCTGCTCTCTGGATCTTTCAACTGTATAGCCCTTCTGGATCTTTCAACTGTATAGCCGTATTACATTACAGTAGGAGACGCCAGCATGCATGCAGCACTCGGGACACCTCGTGGCCAGAGGGCGCAACTCACAGAGCAGCCTTCTCCTTCAGCTTCTGGTCCGACACATACTCCTCCTCCTGAAGCAGGTAACAAGGTGCAGGAAAAGCAGGTCGCGGGGTGAAGGCAGCATGGGAGCCCAGGCAGCATGGGAGCCCAGGCCACTGCCTGACGAGTGCCATGTGCAAATCCATGCAGGCTGTCCCTCGGAAACAGCTTACTGCCCCACCTGCAGTCCTTTTCAAGGCACGACCCCCACCCTCTTCTCCTCCTACCCGTGACACACACCTTTGGAGCCAGCACGGTGACGACGTCGGGCAGCGGGGTGCGCGGGCCAACCTTTCCGGTGGGGTCCCACTCCTTCATGATCCGCACCTTGATGCCCAGCACGCCCTGGAGAGGCAGGGAGGAGGGAGACGGGGGGAAAGGACCAACGCGTGTGACAGCACAGCCAGTGCGCCAACGCCATCGCAACCGGGCATCAAGGCGGAGACGACAGGCAGCGCGGCGCCACTGCCCACGCGCCCCTGGCTCGGGCCCCCCCCTCTCTCCTGCCTCCGCCTACCTGGCGCAGCAAGACGTGGCGGGTGGCGGAGTCGATGTACTCGTGCACTGGGTTGCCGCTGGACACCATGTAGCCGTCCTTGAACTTCATGCTCTTGGCGCGCTGTGCGCGCAGCTTGCCGGACACAATCACCTCGCAGCCCTTGGCGCCTGCGGGGGAGTGGGGGGGGGTCTGGCAGGC